AGCAACAAAGAAGAAGAAAGTCTTTGATATCACTTCAAAGCGCTTAGCTGATACAGGTGCTGAAGAATATATCGGACAAATCAAAGCCGCAAAAGATGAAAAACCAAAGCCAAAGAATGAAGTTCCTAAATACAAGAAAGAACATGAAAAACTTGTTGAAGCTATGAGAAACGCCAGAGAAAAATACGAAAAGAGGGATTAGCACGGAAAGAATTAAGCCTCCTGAGCTTGCTCCTATTTGCTTTTGCATCTGAAGGACTTTTGAAGCCAACGAAATTGGATAGTCAAACCTTATGCTCGCGGATGAAATTTCTTCATCTTGAAATAGTCCTACCAGCATTTGTAAAGATATAATCTACCCGGTTTGTATCTGCCTATCTCTCTCTTTGTTGCTGATTTCCTGCAAATTTCTTCGTGCTTTTGAATTCTGTCAGCAGCAAATCTTCTGCCACAAATGGAGCATTCGACAAGTTCAACATTGTCATCGGCATATGGAGATGGTGGATTTTCTTGGGGCACTGGAGCTGGTTGGCTTCTGGATGTGCTTCTGGATGGAGGACGATTGTTGTAATAATTATCTTCTTGTTCGTCATCAGAGCTGTTTGCAAATTGATTTTGCTTTGGCTGTGGCTTATATGGCTGTCTGGTTTGCTTTTGCTGCGCTTGGCCATAACGTTGTTGATAATCATTGCGATAATTATCTTTTTCTTCCTCTTCTTCGTCATCATCGAAGTTGTTATGATGGGAGTTGCCAAATCCTTGATTGAATCTTTCATTGGATCTTTGATTTACGTAAGAAGATGTGATTTGATTTGGATTTTGCTTTGGCTTGCGATTGAATACAGCATCCTCATCCATTTCGTCAAAGTCTTGATCATAAGTTTGTTTCGGTTGAGGACGGGCTTGCGTTGGCCTCTTATTGAAGTTTCCGTAATTATCATCATCTGAATCTGATTTATTATAGTCATATGTCTTCTTTGTAGTACTCTGGAATGGTGTCGTCTTCTTTGTATCTCTGGCATATGGTTTGTAATGATATCCTGTATCTTCTTCCTCCTCTTCTTCTTCTACAGGTTCATATGCAGAGTAAGCAGGTTTCTTTGGCTGCTGATTCCTTGTATTTTGCTGTCTCGAATTTTGAATGCCGTAAGGTGAATTATCAAATCTATCATTGCTTCCACTTCTAAAACGAGGAGAAATATCATCATATTCATCGTGTTGCTGAGTTGGTGTTGCTCTCTTCTGGGTAGTTACTGAATTTGATGTTGTATTTTCTCTGAATGATGAGCGCTTTGGTTCAGCCTTTGTTTCTGGTGTATTTCCTGTCAATGACTTAACAAATCTCAAAAATTGAATTCTATGACCAATTAAATTCATACCTAAAGCTTTTAAGTGTTTATCTTGAAGCATCGGAAGAACTTCGCCATAAATATCTTGCTTAACAAATTCCTGAGCATAATTACCAAGACCTATTTCCTGAAGTTGCGACGACACAACAGAGGGTGTCCATTTTTCGTAAGCAGACTTCATTTATTTCGAATTTTTAAACGTTCAATATTCCCTTTCAATGATATTGAATATATCTGATTGTATAACTAATAGATATATACACTGTATCCAAAATCATGATATTTGAAGTAAGTAATATCAAATAAATTGAGAGTTGTTTATAGGTTATCGAATATAATTTGACTTTGAACATACGTAAGAAGATCATACGTATAATATACCTATTTCCACTGAGAGCAGAGGTAATTATGGTGAAGCTAAGCCTTGAATTTTTCAATCTCAAAATTTTATTGATTTCAAGAATATTATTTGATTTGGAAGACAATATTCTCCTTTAGTACTCCAGAAATATAAATAGCTTTTCTATTCAGGTGACCAACTTGTAAACATGGAGATAACTTTGTAAAAAAAATCAACGGAAAAAAAAAGTTATCAAAGATGAGTGAAACTTCTGTTGCGGAAAATATCATAAATAAATATCAGCGCGCGCTCAATACTCGTGTATTTGATCCTAAACTCCTTCCTGCATTTACATTCTCAACTGTTGATGAATTATGCCAAGAAGCTGTCGAATCAAATAAAAAATTACCAATGCTATTAAGGATCGATCCAAATTTAGTAGTCGTTGGCGATATTCACGGAAATTTTGCAGATATTCATAGAATATTTAGGATCTTTGGGCAACCGCCTCGTACAAAGTTTCTATTTTTAGGTGACTACGTTGACAGAGGTGCTTACTCATTCCATTGCATTACACTTCTTCTTTCATTACAGATTTGTTATCCAGATAGATTATTTTTACTTAGAGGAAATCACGAATTCTCTTTAATCTGCAACATGTACGGATTTTCATCAGAACTTAATCAAATATTTGGAAGATCTCAAGCAAATCAAATATTTATGCTATTTAACGAAGTTTTTAGTTGGATGCCCATTTCTGCTTTAATTGGCGGAGTAATTTTCTGCGTACACGGAGGTTTAGCACGCAATCTAGAAAAGGTTGATCATATTGATCTCATTCAGCGCCCAATATTAACGTTTGAGCAGAGTCCAATTACATCTGACTTAGTTTGGTCAGATCCAGGCGAGATCAGCGAACCAATCGGTCCAGGTGTCAGAGGCCATGGCGTTACATTTGGTCCGCGCGCTGTTGCTTATTTCTTGGCCAAGAATTCTCTAAAGATGCTGATCAGAGCTCATCAATTTACATCCAAAGGTGTTCACTCATTTGCAGGTAACCTAGGCATCACAGTTTTCTCATCCAGTAACTATAAACCAGGCTTGAGAAACAAATGTGGTGTAATCGTTATCGAAGACACAGGAGAACTCCAATTCTTCTGTCTTGGTGATGATGTAGAGTCAGAAACAACACCAAGAATCATGGAACTCGATGCAAGAATGATGGGTCTCCAGAAAAGTGAAAAAACTACTATTGGTATACCGGATTCTCCTATGCACAACGGTGGTTTCCGCTAATCTTGTTAATATTTTAAATTTGTGTTTATTAAATATCAATATTTTCTAAATTTTATACAATATTTTTCAAAAATGTGTCTAATAATGATCAACCATTATATGTTCCATCAAAGATATCTTTATCAATAAAATATTATCAACACTTAAATCATTACTCATATTTTTTATTTGAAATTAATGATTTCAGAACATGTTTCAAGGGATATATTCCCAACTCAAGGGATAAATATGAATTTCTTTATTAATTAATGGATATTGCAGATAATTTTTCAGATTTTTAATTCATAGGAAGAATTATCTCATAATATCTTTATTTTATATTAATAAAAATATTTGTCTGGGGAAAAAGAATGTATTTCTGTATAGTATATATATTTTATTAACATTAGAAAAATTGAGAATCTTTTCTATAAGAGAAAAGCTTTCTTTGTATAGAACTATCAAATATCTGGGCTATAGAGGCAACCATATTAAGATCCTCCTTTCCAGTGAGCTTCAAAATTCTAATAGAATCATTGACGTCGTCTTGTGACAAAAATGGAAGGGATCCTTTATCTAATTTCTCCTGAACAACAGCAATCAAGCTAAGAGCAAGCGTTACAACGTTGTTCAGTTGCAGTTGGCAGATCAAATTTAAACTTTCTGGCGGCATCTGCATCATTATCGACATTGTGGCTAATGCCCATGGATAACGTGTTGCGTTGTTTAATAATTCTCGATATTGGGCCTTAACGTGTGCAATTCTTTGTTCTTTTTCTGGATTTTCGAGAGGAAGAGCAACCAAATAGTCACCATATGATCTTTCCTGCAGATCTTGGTAAGGAGAGAAGATTACTTGCATTTCTGGAAGCCTAATCAATGTCGTTGGCGTTTTAAAAGTTAATAAAATTTCTTCTGGAGTTGCTACTTGTCTGGAGATAGTTTGGATGGAGAGACCTTGTATAGGAGCTGGAAGATACTCTAGTGGTGCTGTTTCTAGGATCTGAGAAAGTGTGAAATGCGCTAAAAATACTGCAATTTTGTATGCTTCGTCTGGATTGTTTGATTCTATGATAGTATTCATTTGCGAGTGGAAATGCGCCGAAAGAATTAAAGATAAGAACGGGGTTTCCGTTGGATGAATTGAAAAATCCGGTAAAGTTTTAATTCCTGCTTTTGAAAGGACTTCGAATACTTCATTTGCATGCTGAATAAGAATATTCAATTTGTTAATGGGAAGATTGGAGTTCAAAGTCGTTTTTGCAAAAATTGCAATTTCTTTGCAGGTATCTTCAATATTTGAGATGAATTTTGTAGTATCTATTTGATTTCTGTTAAGAATAAGTGAGACATTATAATATATTTTTTCTTTTTTCTGTGGAATTATAAAAAAGGAAGATACAATGAAGAGATTTAGTGAAGGAATATCTGTAGTTGATGTTAAAAACTGCGAAAAAGCATTATCTTCTTGTCTATGAACATTCGAAAGGGTTAATTTCAATAATTCGATTAAAGCTATTGGTAATTTACCATGATTCGGATACCATTCATGAACTATTCGAACACCATATCTAATATCAAATGAAGCAAGTGCAGCTGCAAGAAGGGGTGGACTCCCTTCTGATTCTTGCATTCAAAAATTTTTTTTGATAAATCTCTAAAATTTTGATCTCCTGATTGACTATGAAATACATATTAAACAATATCCAACAGAATTAAGTGAATTTCAGATCCAATTTTAAAATCATATCTCTTATTCTTTTGTTTCATAATAGATCCATACAGCAAGATCTAGAGCTCATTAACAAAATAATAATTGAGGTTTAAAGGGAAAATATAAATAATATATAAAAATAATTTACAAAAATATAATAAATTATAAACAAAATTAAAGTGCCATAACTTTGGCATACTTAGATCTAACTTGGACTTTCTTCTTATTTCCGTAAACAGCGCATGTCGTATTCACTCCGACAGATGCCCATTGCGGAATAATACCCGAATTCCTATATGCATCATTCTCCTTTTCCAACTGTTCATATTCTTTCTTTTGCGTTTCAATAAATTTTTTCGTAATCGAAGGCGTACCGTTACAAAAGTAACGTCTCGGCTTTCTATCAAAGTGCGAGAATTTAGATGCACTTCTATGATCGACAGGAAGAGTTTTATAATCGCGTTCTTTAGCTTTGAAATCGTCAAGATGAGTGGGTTGTATAAATGCTAATGACTCGGGAAGAACCTTTGTACCACTTACTTGGAAGCCATGCTGGAGTTGCGGTAAGCCACGCTCAGAATAATAAGGTTCACATTGATAATTTCTATTTTTTGTTTTAGTAGGGCAAGATTTGGATGTTGCAGTGGGCTTTTGTGCACCAGTATTGTATACTTTCAGCTTCTTGACAACATCCAGGAAAATATCGTCAGAATCAGAATCTTCCGTGATGAGGGTCTGTTTTTTGTAAACTATTGAACAATTTTTGAAAGAAATTGTGAGATAAATACAATTTTTGAATACAGCGATTATTTTCAATTCAAAATCAAAATTCATTAAATTTAGCCATCGTATCTAAACTATTATGATCACCATTAGTCTTCAAATTACTCACAAAATTAAATTCTAAAAAAACGGATTTTTATAAAAATAAATATATCTAACATCTTGACATCTGACTATGGAAAATTGAACTTATAGCACACAAATCCTCTTTCAATGAGGAAGCTGCGCCTATCCTGCTTATTTTTAAATCTATATAGTGAATCAAGGATGAATCTTGTTTTGAATTCTCATATAAAACTATTTGATTTCATCAAGCCTAACTTTGTTAGAGATTAGTTTTATGAAACAACCTAATTATAGTTCGAGAAATTGAAATCTCCCTCCGAGAATAAAAATCTTCTTCATAAAATTGGAGGCCACATTATGGTATTGATCTAATAACGATTTCATTTAATCATATCTGCTATTTAATTCTAATTAATTCTGAAATGTCGATTATCGTTGAAGGAATTTTAAAAAATCTCACTGACATCAATAAAAATCCCCGAGAATCAAATTCTAATGAAGTTGGCTCTTATAATTAATCGATAATAATATCGACGCAAAATTTAAGTTGCTATTAATTACATGAAGAAGATATAGACTAAGCGGCTGATAAATTAACCCAAAATTCACAGTAAAACATTAGATTATGGGTTCTGATTCAAAATCTGAATATTTCAGTGAATTATGCAAAATTAGAATAAAATTATAAGAATCACAGAATTATCGCATCATGAGAAACATAAAATCTTCCTGCCAAGTCTACGCAGAATTGGGAAGAAATCAATTTTCGACTGAAAATTTCTCAATTTCAAAAATTGAATGATTAATAAGATTTTATGTATGCCAAGAATCATCATAATGCCATCAATATCGGTTGTTGTAAAGAAAATAAATTGTGAGCAATCATTGAAATCTTTAGAATCGTTTTGTGTATCTTTAGATTTTGATGGACGAAGTGCAAATACAACCAAATAATCCAGTCGAGCCATTGTTTAATACTCAACCTTCTTCCTCAACAGTCCCTTCCTCAACAAATAGCTCTGCAAGCGATGATGTTTGTATGATCTGCCCTGCCTATGACAATTCATGGCTTTACTGCGCACACGATACTCCAAGATGCAAAAAGGCAACTCATGCATTCATTCAAAAGGGAAAATTACCTACAGTTTGCGAGCGACCTCAGCTTGCTCAGTATTTCCAACGACAAAAGATAACAAGCATGCTAATGAGTGACTACGATAGGGCTCACAAATATAATGAGCTTAAAAAGCAGTTTTCAGAAGCTTGCGCTTTATATGATATAAAAGACAACAAAGCCAATTACCTAGAAGAAGTTGAACGCAAGATTAACAGTACAGAAGATAGTTCTACCAAGTGCACTGCAAATTGGAACAAAAAAATGCATGATTTCAAAATTGATTGTTTATACAAACTTGACGATCTTAAAATCAAACATTTGGCTGAAATAGAGAAATTTAATGACTACTGGACAAGTGATGACGTCGTAAATCGTTATTCCAGCCCTTCTTCAACACTTCGAGATTTATACAACCAAGAAACTAAATTTATTGACTTTAAAGACTACAACCAAGCTTCTATTATTCGTTCCCGGCGTAAGGAACAAGAGAAAAAGGAAACAGAAGCCGCACAAAACCAATTAATTTCAGATGCCAAAGTTAAGTTAGAGGTACTTAGAAAAAAGCACCAATATGAGTTAGATAGATTAGAAGCGTATTATATAGAAGGAGTAACCAACTTAAAACTCAAGAAAGAAAAAGAAGAATTATTATTCGAAAAAAGATTGACAAAACTGAAGAAAGACAGAGAAAACCCAGTAAACAGAGCACCACTCCCTCAATCGTGGAGGTTTTCGGAGATGGGGACTCAAATTCCGATGGCTGTGACAACTCCAAGAACAAGAGTGAAATTAGCGAATTTCAAGAAGAGCAAACAGATCACCAAGCTGGAAATTAAGGGTATAACGTCACGCCCTGCAACATCTCTCCAGCGCGTAAGGTTATCTTATTAAAATATGTATTGTTTTTTTATAAATAAAATATAGACATGTTTAATGTTTTTATTTATCAAGGGAAAGCCATCTACAAGTAAACTTCTCTCTATCATGGAAAAAAAGTAAAAAAAAGACAATCAAAATATAATCAATATGATACACTGAAAATGCAGGAAATCATCAACATGTTTTTTAATCGTTCCTTCGACAGTTTTTTCCTGTCTTCGACAGTTTTTTCGGGGGATTGTATTTCATTTCAAGCTTTCCAGTTCTTAAAGTATACTTGATCAAAAATTGTTCCAAATACTTCGATCTTTTTTCTTTGTAATATTAGGGATATAAAATGCTACAGATTTTTGATAATAATTTAGAAGATGTTGATTAATGATTATATCTTATAACTTCTACTTTACTATTGACATCATACCATTTTTGATCAATAAAAGTAATAAAAATACATAATTTAATATCCGAAATCCGTGATATCATTGTTTTTCCTATTCATAACATTGAATTTTTTCCCCTTAATGAATAATAAAGATATTTTAATGTCTGATCAAAACGTTCGTCCAAACAAATATGGGGAACTGCGAAACAAGTATAAATACTACATCGATTTGTATAATGCATTGTATCAGCTTAAAACTGAAAAGGAAGAAGAACTCAAAAAAATTTACAAAAAGATCCAAACAGAATTGATCGACTCAAAGAGATTCCTACCCCAACGCATTGTTGAAGATATTTTAAATATCATTCCGTGTAATAATCGCTATACAAAGTCATATTTATCTCTTGCTAAATTCATATGTGATGACTATCATGTCAAAGAGATCAATAGGATTAATCCTATTTCAAACTTCTTTTTTTACAAAGAATATGGAATTAAATTAGACAAGTCATGTGATTTCGAAAAAATTAACACAGAAGAGTTGGATATTCTTACAACAGATACAATTTACAGGGCAATTATGAATAATGACTTAAAAAGACTTATTTCATTCACCGAAAGAGAAGGTTTTGATAAAGATAAAGAACTTTACAACAAATTATATCAATGTCCTACATATAATTTATCATATCTTGACTTATGTTGTTACTATGGAGCAATTGACTGCTTCAAGTTCTTAAGAACTAAATTCAACTCAGAAATAACTCGTGTAAGTCTTGAATTTTCATTTTTAGGCGGAAATCCAGATATCATGAGTGAATGTTTGAAATATCAAAAACCAGATATGTGGTGCATGATATATGCAATTATTTCACATAACATTGATTTTGTTACATTCTTGATGAATGAGTACAATTTAGATGTGAAGATAAACAATTGTCCAAAATTTAAAAATCTTGAATCATTATTTGTCTATTTCGATAAAACTAATGATATTAACAATTGTTTTGCTTATTCAGCGATGTTTAATATTCCATCCCTTTGTGAATATTTCCTTTCACTTGGTGCTGATATCCATGCAATAAACGATGATGGACAAACAGCTCTTTTTGGTGCAGCTTCTAATAATAGTTATGAAACAGCCAAATTTCTTCTTTCACAGGGTGCAGATACCAATGAAAAAAATCGAATTGAAATGACTGCTCTTCATATTTCAGCAAAAAACAACTATAAAGAATTAGTCAAACTTCTTATTTCACATGGTGCAAATGTCGATGAAAAAACTCCTGATGGAAGAACCCCTCTTCATCTTGCTATAAAAAATAATTGTACCGAAACAATTGAACTTCTTCTTTCACTTGGCGCAAATATCAACGAAAAAAATATATGTGGGACAACCGTTATTCATACTGCAGCATATCAGTGTAGAAAAGAAATAGCCGAAGTTCTTATTTCACATGGTGCAAATATCAATGAAAAAGGTGATAATGGAAAACCTGTTCTTCATGAAGCAGCATATAATAATAGTACAGAAACAGCCGAACTTCTTATTTCACATGGTATAGATATCAATGAAAAAGATAATGATGGACAAACCGCTCTTCATATTGCTACAGATATAGATAATTAAGAAATCATCGAACTTCTTATTTCACATGGTGCAAATATCAATGAAAAAGATAATGATGGACAAACCGCTCTTCATATTGCAGCATATAATAATAGTACAGAAACAGCCGAACTTCTTATTTCACATGGTATAGATATCAATGAAAAAAATAATGAAGGAAAAACCGCTCTTCATTATGCAGCAGAAAATAATAGTACAGAAACGGCTGAAGTTCTTATTTCACATGGTGCAAATATCAATGAAAAAGATAATGATGAACAAACCGCTCTTCATTTTGCAACATCTACTAATAGTACAGAAACGGCCGAAGTTCTTATTTCACATGGTGCAAATATCAATGAAAAAGAAAATCAAGGAAATACCGCTCTTCATATTGCTGCATATACTAATAGTACAGAAACAGCCGAAGTTCTTATTTCACATGGTATAGATATCAATGAAAAAAATAATGAAGGACAAACTGCTCTTCATATCGCTGCAGATAATAATAGTACAGAAACAGCCGAACTTCTTATTTCACATGGTATAGATATCAATGAAAAAGATAATGAAGGAAAAACCGCTCTTCATTATGCAGCAGAAAATAATAGTACAGAAACGGCCGAAGTTCTTATTTCACATGGTGCAAATATCAATGAAAAAGGTGATAATGGAAAACCTGTTCTTCATGAAGCAGCATATAATAATAGTACAGAAACAGCCGAACTTCTTATTTCACATGGTATAGATATCAATGAAAAAGATAATGATGGACAAACCGCTCTTCATATTGCTACAGATATAGATAATTAAGAAATCATCGAACTTCTTATTTCACATGGTGCAAATATCAATGAAAAAGATAATGATGGACAAACCGCTCTTCATATTGCAGCATATAATAATAGTACAGAAACAGCCGAACTTCTTATTTCACATGGTATAGATATCAATGAAAAAAATAATGAAGGAAAAACCGCTCTTCATTATGCAGCAGAAAATAATAGTACAGAAACGGCTGAAGTTCTTATTTCACATGGTGCAAATATCAATGAAAAAGATAATGATGAACAAACCGCTCTTCATTTTGCAACATCTACTAATAGTACAGAAACAGCCGAAGTTCTTATTTCACATGGTGCAAAGAATAATGTTCCTACATAAAATACTTCACTTTCATTTCTTAGATGAATTTTATTAGAAGTAAAAATTATTTAGCTTTTCATACAGAGTCTAATCGTAAAAATGATTTTTATTACTTTTCCATACTTTTATACTTTCATCAAGAATTCCAAAATAGTGCAGAAATTGAAAACCGCTGCACTCCTTCAATATTGTTGCAAGGTAAAGAACTGTTTGTATGAGCCCCAGAATGAAAAGCCTGCCTTTTTAAAGCCAATAAACTAACTTTTATCATTAAGAGTGGTAATATTAGAGCACTTTTATATTGATATTTGTTGATATAATTTTTAATATTAAAAAAAATTATTTTGGAAAAAAGTGGAAAATTGAGAGAATTTTGATCGTCTTTTTTTAACTTTTTTCCCACTCTAAAATAACCCGAAAATTGAGAGAATTTTGATCGTCTTTTTTTACTTTTTTCCACTCTAGAATGATCCATATTTTGAATATTGTTGCAAGGTGAGGAGCTATTTGTATGAGAAATTTGGGAGATTCAAAACTAAGAAAATAAAACTAGATAATATGCATTTTTCTGCCATCAGAACGCGGAAATACGGACTACCTTCTAGATTTGGAAAATATATATTTTATGTTGGGATTTAAAAAAAAAGTTCGCAAAATGGCGAATTGCGCCACTTCTAATTTTTTTGGCGAATTCGCCATTTTTCAATTTTGAAACTACATTAAAGGGTTTGATATTTTTATTTTGTGGAATTTTCGTTTTTTATTAATAAAGGGTCTAACATTTTTATTGCGTGGCAATCTTCATGATTGACGCCAATAATCCGTCAATTATTCACTTGAATTCAAAATGGTTATCATGAGCATCATGACTATACGAAATAAAGTTATAAGCATACTGTAACTATTTGACATATGCAAAAAAGTGACTATTTGACATATGCAAAAGTGATATAGTATAAATTATGTCACTTTTTGAGATCGCCGAATTCGAAAAAATCAGGCTGAGTTAGCGAATTTTAAGTAATTCGCCATTTGGCGAAACCGTTTTTAAATATCTACTTTAGTTTTTTAATAAGATAACTTTTTAATTACATTTTTACTTCTTCTTTTTATTTTGCTTCTCGATCTTGTGAGCGAGTTCACTTCCATAGAGATCAACAAGTTCCTGGTAGAGATCGTTAGCTGTTGTCTTCATTCTCTCTGGGTGTTCAGCGAAGCAAACTAACAATGTGTCGGAGATAACTTCGATTGGAGCACCGAGAACGTTGAAGATGAAGCAAGCGAAGAGGCAAGTGAAGATAGCGCAGAAGACCATGAATGAGTATTGGTCATCGCTGTTATACTTGGAGCCAATGACGTAGTATCCGATGAGAGCACCGAGAATACCAGATGAAATAGAGAAAACGAACCAGTTGTATGTGACAGAGATGTTGATGATGCAGCCAGAGCAGATAACGTTGGCGAACCTCTTGGATGAGAGTTCGAGCCATCTGCGGCAGCCTTCGGAGTATTTGACACCGAATGTAGCGCAGTAGATGAGACCGTAGTGGTTGAGGAAGCTGAAGATCCACTCGAGGATGCAAAGGATGCATTGGATGATGAGAATGATGAAAAAGAGGATGATGTTATTGGTAGAGATGGAATCAACGAGCCATCTGAGTGTCTTGATGACAGCGAGAAGGAATCCAGCGACGGAGGCAGAGCCGAATGATGTTGTCATGGCACGCTTGTATGACTGGAGAACTGGGTTCTTAGGGAAGTATTCTGTATCGTTAAGGAAGTAGTATGAGGCGGCAAGTCCAGCACCTGTCATGTATGTGACGTAGTAGTATGTCAAGTTGGTCCAGAAGAAGGAGAAGACGGCCCAAATGTAAAGGAAGGCTGTGTAGCCGAGGTAGGATGTGCAGTAGATCATGATGGAGAAGATGATGTTGAGAATGATAGAAACAACCATCTGCAAGAAGGTGAAGAAGATGAGGGATGGGTATTTAAGAATGAGCTTCATTGTCTTTCTGAAAACTGCAGCGGAGAATGGGATATACTTCCTGAGGCAGCAGTAGCAGATAACTGTGATAAGACCAACAAAAGCTGGAACAACCAAAATAGCCCACAATTTGATGAAGTAAGCAATGAGGACGCAAATGATAAGACAGATAATGAATGGAAGCCATAAGCCAAGGTGGATGTAGATTTTGGCACCAAAGATAGCATAAACGAAATGGAGAATATTAATAACAACTCCAATACCAATACCAGTTCCAACACTGTACATGACAATCTGGTTGGCTGTAGCAGTGGAGCTTTCAGCTAATAAGCCTCTGGCGTTGGAGCTCTTGCCCTTGGACGTGGCCTTAATCAACAAAAATATTGTTAAGATGAGTGAAACAGCGAGCTGGATGTAGAAAGCAATAGCCCAGCCCTTGTCGTTCCACTTTGTCTCCTTCTTTGTGTTTCCGGAGAACTTTTGTGGCTCGAATGCTTGAGCACCATTCCAATACTCGTAATGCTCTGTAGCATCGTTTGGAATTGAGTACCACTGGTTAACCTGCATGTTGTGGTATTCAATATCATCGTACTTGTAGTTGACATTGGCCTCGTTTGCTGGTGGAGGTGTTTGGTAACCTGGTGGAGGAGCCTGTTGGTACTGTGGTGGAGCCTGCTGGTAGTTTTGTGGTGGTGGCTGCTGGTACTGTGGATAGCCTTGTTGTGGAGCGCCTTGATACGGCTGTTGTTGCTGATACTGTGGATATCCTTCTTGTGGTGGATAGCCTGGCTGTGGTGGATAGCCCTGTTGTGTTGGATAACCCTGCTGTGGTGGATAACCCTGTTGTGGCGGATAGCCTCCATCTTGAGGTGGATATCCTCCGTCATTACCATAAGGATTCGACATTTTTAGGAGTATAAATTTAAAAACGGTATAAACTATTCAATTGTAACGGCGCAATTGAGAAGTGTATTTTATACAAAAATTTCCAATATTGTGTTATATCTCTGAATTCGATTTTAAAGATAAATTAATTTATAAGAAAAACCTCCGGAAATTTTTTTTATTCAAGACCAATATAAAAAAATCAGGAATGAATTGCTGCATAATTTTAAATAATCATTATTTGTTTTTCCTCAAAAAGCAATTTCAAATGTTTCAAAATGCGTCTTGAAATATTTGTTCCCAAACAATAATCTGATCAATCAATAGTTTTTCTAATTAATTCGATTATGTTTTTCAGGTGCAGATATTTGAGAAAAATAACCGTTTCATAAAAATAGGAACTATTCAATCGGTTAGCAATTGAATTAAATAGGAAGCTACCAAATTTCTATTATTAATTAAGATTACATAATTTCAGGTGATGAAATAAAAATAATCGTATTAATGCTAATAAATGAGCAAGAACATGTTGTGCAATGATAATAAAGCAATTGCAATAGAAAAGGTTTTTTCACTTTTTTATTGTCATCTAATTTCCTTTCGACAATTTATTTCAGAGCTTATTTTGACTTCCACTTGACAACATTCACGTATGCGATGCATTTTGTCTATTAATATAAAACAATTTAGCAAATTTAAATTTTGGTGAAAATTTTGGAGATTTATCGGCCAGTAACAAGAAAACTAAAATCTAACAGCATTTTACTTCTATTTTGTTAAATTTTTAAACCCCAACTAACTCTTATATTGGGTTCAAATATTTAAGAATTCAGAGAAGTTGTACTATCCTTTCCTTTTGTTGCTCTAATACTGTAAAAATTCAAGAACCACCCACTTAAATGTTCTTTCTTGCTTTTGTTGATACCCTATTTGACTTTCTTTTTGAACTACTAAAAATCATAAAAAAAAGTCGTTTGGATTAAAATGCAGTTAGAATCACATTGGACATCTGCCCAATGATACATTTTACTATTTGTCGATCCAAAAATAATGATATCTTGACATTCTGAAATTGATACAATATTTTATTTGTACAACCAGACATTTTTGGCCTCTAGGTGATAGACAATATATATTTAGAATCTTGTTATATTCTTTTGTGTTATATTTTTTATTCAAGATAATTTTAGAACTTAATTATCACAATATTAAAACATTTATACTCATATATATAGATACATTATAAAACATTACGTCCGTAGTTCATTACGTTACTATTGGAATATTTTCCATTCAGTAATTTGATTACGGAGAAACAAAGCTTCAACTATTGATGCCCTCTGGCAAATAACAAAAATTAGTAGAAAAAGTTTAGCAGATTTAACTTTTAATAAAAAATATTAAAATTATTATCTGTTTTTGAAGAGTAGTTTTGATTGAAAATTATTGTCTTATAGGTAAAAATGATAACAGCTCATTCCAAATTTTCAACTTATGTTTTCCTGTTTTTATCGTGAAGATTGAAGTTTTTCTTTTTGAATTTTGAGAACTTATGGAAAGGATATTGGTGAGATATTTCAGATTCCACAAAACCAAGATAGGAAAAATCCTCATGAGATATGGGAAGATGCTTCTTAGTTTCAGTTTTAGGGCAATCGGGTTCTTCAATAACGCGTACATTTCTAATTTCTGATATTTGTAATTATGAAATTTGCTAATCATTTTGAAAAACAATAGAACAACATACAACGTAAGAAGACCTGTGGTACTTACATCAGTTGAAAAATCACAATCTGAAATCTCGATATGAAATTATCCATATTTCGTGCAAATTCTACATATAATTGAGATCAGTGCAGCATTAGCATGTGAATTCAAGTATTAGTTTTCGGAAGAAATCAATATTTTATGAACCGATCAAAATTTTTCCTTGATTCAATTGAAAAAATCAGCGTCACATGAGTAGGGGTAATTTTAGCTAAAAGTGACACGCCTGTAAAAAGTGACACTTGTGAAGGGTGTGATTACCGATCGGTAATTTCGACAGTTTAGAATTTAAATTTTTTATGGAACTGTTGCGAGTTTCATAAAGAATTTAAGGAATATAAGCAAAGATTTGAATCAAAATCTTAGACCTAAGCCGCTCGATTCGCTCGCGGCTTCCGCGAATTACAGATCAGCAAAGATTTGAATCAAAATCTTCGAACTAAGCCGATCGCTTCGCTCGCGGCTTTCTTTATTATTTTAAATTTGCATATTTCCATCAAAAGTTTATAAGGTAAAAAATTTCGTTTATATTATTGCAAAATAAAATCTTCATTATCAAAATAATATTAAATGATAATATAATATAATTTATAAACAACTATTATTTAATAAAGTTTAATTGCCAAGGTTCATCTAATTTTTTGATTTTTAATGTTTTATGAATTTTATTTATCATGTATATATCTAATGAAGATTATATATGTAGAAGATAAGTACCTTAATATGTACGTAAAAATTAATGAAATTTATTTTGAATGTAGAACCGAGCAATTTTCAAATTTTGTGCTTTTTTTGAATTTTCTCGATACCAGATAAGTTGTGTTGGCTAAATAATATATGGATACAATGTGTCTTATAGATGAATATATGCACAAAGTTTAAGAGGCCATTTTCTTTCAGAAACCGAGATTTGTGAATTTTTTCAAATTTTGTGCTTTTTTTGATATTGAAATTTCATTTCATTTTTTTGATGCATATCGATGCACCATGCAAACTTAAAGAAAGGCTATCTTATATAGATGCTATGAAAGCTGTCATTGATAACGAATGCCATGCAGGTTGTCCATATCAATTAAAAAAAATCCAAATTTAGGGGGAACAAAATTAAAATTCAGGTGCAGTGCAGATAAATGTGAAGCATGTATCTCATTTCTAAAGGATGATGAAGAATATATCCTAACAGAATATAATGGAACACATAATCACAATCAAATCAAAGATGAGACAAAGAAATACCACACATTATCACAATGCTATCGTCGGGTACTTATTAATTTTATAAAACAGGGGAGTGATCCGAAAATGGCTCAAATTGAATGCGACAAAAAACTTGATCTGGATGATCCACTTAACAGGCCATCTTTTTTGAATGCATCTTCAGATCAAATGAAAACAATTCAGGAAAAAGGAAATAAAAAGATCAAAGGTATTCAAAAGTACGATGATAATCAATTCAAGTCAACTCAATTATTTAAGGGTATCAAAGAACAAGAGTCACCAAAAAATTTAATTTATTTCGATGTCGATAATTACAACAAACCAAAGAAATTAATCTTTTATTATGCTTCTTTCAAATTTCTGGACATAATCAAAATTGTGAAAGAGCATTTTATTGATGCAACCCATTCATTACTTGAATTTAAAATGTTGTTTTACATGATATCAGCCAAATTTCCAAATACACATGCATTCCCAATTTTTCAATTTGTCGTTTATCCAAACACTTCAGAAAATATTGCATTCTGTCTCAAGGCATTTTTTAACTGGGCAAAAGTAAAACCAAAATATTTTATGTCAGATTGTGCACAAGAAATCGAAAATGCGATTATCAACTCTTTTCCAGAAGTTATCCTTCATTGGTGTGCAGTTCATGTAATGAGGGCGTTCAGAAAAAATTTGAAAGATTATGCATTTGAGAGTTCAGTTAAATTGATATTAGATACAAAAATGAACTATCTTGCATATGGCAGAAATAGCAAGAAAGAATGGATTGAACCAACGTTCAAAAAAATTCTGGAAATAGCCGAAAAATTCCCAGAATTTTCAAAATACATACAAAATCAATGGATATCAAACCAAGAAAGATGGACAGCCGCTGAAAGAGATGAAAATTTAGCTCTCACAAATAACATTTCAGAATCGATTAACAAAAAAATTAAATATTACTACTTTGGCGGAACAATTTTCATGAGATTTGATCGATTTGTGATGAAATTAATCGATTTTATCGTTCCTTCATTTTATTACAGAATTTCTCAAGATAGAAGGCTCAGAGACAAAATTCCAAATCCGTTGCCATCTGAAAAAAAGCCAAAAAAGTCTACAATCAGACTGGATACAGAAAAATGTATAATGCTCACTGATAAAATTAAATCGTTAATAGTTAACTCGTCAGCAAACTTAAATACGCTTCAATTGGGTTTAGATGACCTACTTGATAAAGTTGTCAAGGCAGCAAAGGTTCAAAAACGAATGACCCAGTATTTTTTCGAAATTAAGTATCCCAATGGAAATCAAGCTTAGTATTCTCACGCAAATTACAGAATTTGGATGCAATACCCCTCAATTCATTGTTGAGAATGCCAAGTCTTTTCAAGATAAAATTATTACAGATTTCCACCTTCAAATTTATACAACATTATAAAAATTTATGAATAAAAACTTGATATAAAATAACATTTTTATTTTTACTAAGAAAAAAAGGTTTTTGATAATAAATTTATTTTATTTCGAAAAAGTAGCAATAATCGTAAAAGGGTATTGATAGGCTTGCTAAAGTAACTAATTTTAGCTGTCAAATACTTTTGTATTTTGAAGTAAATTAGTATAAATTTGTTTTTACTTTTATTTCGAAAAAGTAGCAATAATCGTAAAAGGGTATTGATAGGCTTGCTAAAGTAACTAATTTTAGCTGTCAAATACTTTTGTATTTTGAAGTAAATTAGTATAAATTTGTTTTTACTTTTATTTCGAAAAAGTAGCAATAATCGTAAAAGGGTATTGATAGGCTTGCTAAAGTAACTAATTTTAGCTGTCAAATACTTTTGTATTTTGAAGTAAATTAGTATAAATTTGATATTATTTTAACTCCCTTTGAAAACCTCAATTTTCCATACAGAGGGAACGGGAATAGCATCCAATATTCCCTGAGAATGGTTGCGCATTCTCAGTTCCCTCTATATTTCGAACGAAGCTCTCATCGGTCTTTTTTTTTAATACTAAACGTTTTTTTCCCCTGTCACTTTTAGCTAAAATTTGGGTTTGCCGGCGTCACATCACATCATGTCGCCAGACCATTTATACAATCCCATAGATTATCGCCTTCATCATAGGATATATGAGAGTTATAGGACCATTTATGCGTACAAAGAGAAAATTCTTTCAAATTTCTTTGAGCACACCTGTGAAAAAGTGGTTTTCAAACTAACAAATAATCGTTAAGAAATATGAACATATTATTCATAACAAATCTTTCTTTGGAAAAAATTTTTGAACACTCAAACTCAAAATCAAATGGTTTACTCAGTTAAATTCCTACAAGATTTGCCAATAATGTTCCCGCAGCGATAATGAGATGTAGCCGAAATTTGTAAAAAAATATCGAGCAATTCTTTTAAAATAAATTTTCCTAATTGAATTGACAACAAAACACTTCACAAACCTGTTATGGAGAACGAACCGAGCGAGAAAACCCCAATGTTTATGAGCATTTTATCACCAGAAGATAAAACTGCATACGAGGAGTTACAGAATGTGTTAGCAGCACCAGACCATCGATATAATAGAAATAAGCGAATCGTTACTTTCCAAGATATGCTAGCGCAAATCAAAGCATTTTGCATTAAAGGTGATGTAAATGACTGGAAACGCTATCTTGTATGTGGAATTTGCTGGATTGGTTCAGATATCGCTATAAATACACGCCAACTCCGTATATTACTTGGAAAAAGCAAATCAACAATCAACGGTGCGTTCTCCAAGATGGGTTACGAAACATTACCGTTTAAAAACAACGATTCTGCCCTTCAAGAGAAAATTCCATTCTTGAAAGGCAACTTCTCTGAGAGTAGACAATGGACTGTTAGACGTAACATACAGTTATCATCACAAGAAACAGAAAAGGCAGACGCTGTGCAATCTCCTGAACCAAAAACACCTGCGCCTGTTGCAGAAGAAATTTCTTTCCCAGATCAGGAATACTCGCCCATCGTTGATGATATGACAACAGAATTCAATTATGATTTGATTGAACCTATTGTTCCGTTCAATGCAAACGACTATTACCTAGATTAACTCAATTTTGACCAAATTCAACTTACTTACCATGAAATAGCAACATATTCAAGTTATCGATAGCTCGGATATTACTAACTATCGGTTTTTATATCTATTTTAACCTCGTATTCCATAATTTTTCCTACCAATCCGATAGCTAATTCAATTCCGATCACAATTTTTACTGTCATTTTGTGTCACTTTTTATATTTTATTTATCCATCAAAAGTGGTACTTTAATCAGACATGATTCTATAAAAGTCGTACGACTCTCATGTCTTATATTTCAAAAGTTTATTATGACAGTTATGACTTAGTCAGTATTTAGTAATAAATAAATTTCTAAATTTATTAAACTTGTCTTGGATGTTTTTTTAATAATGACTGATAAACCATATTAAACAATCATAGAACAAACTAGTTCATTATAGTTGAAGTTTATCTTGATATTTGTGAAAAAATTTGATAAAATTAGACATATAAACAATATTTACAAACAATAATATAAATAATTACAATTGTATAAGCTGAGCCTGAGTTGGCCTCCTCTTTCCTGTGCAAATAAGAGCTAATTTTGTCTTATTTCTTGAAGTGCTTCCTCTTAAGATCATATGGTTTCCAAGAACGCACAATTTTGGCAAGATTGAGATCTTTTGGAGTGGCATTTGCCTCTGAGACATACATCCTGACTCCACGTTTAATGAATCGAAATTGGAGAGTTGATATTCACATTTCAGCACGTGATAAGCAACAGACTCATGATCTTCGTTTGATTCGCTGTCGCTAAGACCAAGCGATATCAATTTACTCTTAATCTGATTTTTATCGATCCTGAAAGAGTTCAACTTTTCTTCTACGTATTTGATATTATCTTTGAGCCATGGATGTCTCATGATCTCAGGAAGAGTAATTCTTTTTGTTTGGTCTTTTGTCAACAATTTTGAAAGGAGATCAACAAGACCGAGACTAAGGTTGTTAGGATATTCAACTTCTTGGAATACAATTTTCTGTGCAAGTTTACTTAAGTTCGCGTCTTCAAATGGAAGATGTCCTGTAACCATTTCATAGAGAACAATTCCACTGCTCCAAATGTCACAGCTATAACCATATCTTTCACCAAGGATCATTTCTGGAGAAGCGTATGAAGGAGTACCGCACTGTGTTCGTAAAAATTCAGTCTGCGATTTTGTACTGCTGAGACCGAAATCAATAACTCTGATGTTTCCTTTTGCATCGAAAAGGATATTATCAGTCTTTAAATCTCTATGTGCTACATTGCATGTGAACTGTAAATGTTTGAGAACGAGGATAATTTGAGCAAAAATTATCGACGCACTCTCTTCACTAAATGGACCAGACTCATTTAGTGTATTTCTTATCGTACCGTTACTTACATATTCCATCACAATGAAAATGCTATCCTCATTTTCTAAGACTTCGTAGAAGTCCGTTATAAAAGGGTAAGGGATTTTCTTCATAATTTCTATTTCTCTCTTGATAAGAATAAGATGGCGATCATTATTATCGATGATTTTTGGGATTTTTTTGATTAAGGCCAGTAGCCTTATGAACTGCACAGTAAACTTCACTGAAGCCTCCATTACCAATTTTCCTTTGGATATCATAATCTTCAAGCAAGAATGACTTCATTATAATTTTTGAATGTTGGAACAAATTTTGAACAGTTGTCAAAGTAAAATTTTTTAAATGAATCCTAAAATGTTTAGAGAGAATTTTAATTATGAGTATTAGTTGCAATTTTTGAATGTGATTAATTGAATCGAATATTTTGGAATTGAATAACTTATTGAAAATAAACAATTCAATTAGATTATTCAAAATGTCATCTATGATAGTTTAAAATATTTGTAATTCATTTAATCTAATATTTCATAAATCTAAAGTGAATTCTTTTCAAAATTAAACTTAAGAAAATTGAAATGAGAATGCCATTCTTTTTGAAAAGATATAATTTGATTTTTATTAAGAAATAGTATATTTTAATAAGAAAGCATTATTATATAATTTAAATTGTTCTCGATTTTTTCATTCAATTTCATATCATATCGTCTATTACCTTGCTTATACCATACTTGTTTATTTTTTATCAAAATGACTCGAACATAAACAGTTCTCAATTTTATATACAAATACTTTCTTATTTCCTTTTTAATAAACTCCCTTGAGTTATCTTTGATTCCACAAATCATATAATCATTTTTTCTATTCAATCTCAATTTTGAAAACAAATCATGACCTTCAAAAATAAAAACAATTAAATTTTATAATATGTTGTATTTTATTGTCCTGATTTTTTTCATATCGATTTTATATTTTTTTGTTTTCTCCTTTAGAAAGCTGGTCATTTTCATATAAGAATGTAATAAACTAATGTGCATTTAACCAAAACATATTCTATAGAATGCCTTAATTCCAAATTTTCATAATCTATATCATCAAAATCAAATCATTACCGATCACATTCTCGATCTTCTTATGCTATTTATAGTAAAGAATTTAATCCTCTGAACCATCAACTGAATACAGTAATCTCGAATTTAAATTCCAATACACATGTAAAATATTTTGAAATCAAATTCTTATTCATATGATAATATACCAACACAGTTATTACAAGAAATAACATATATCTTAACACTCGATAACAATTAATTTACTTTAATGCATATCAATTGTCACCTATCTTTCTAAATTGATGACATGTATAACTTCACATAAATGTCAGATATCAATTGTAATAATAATCATTAAAAAATCCTAAACTTTTCTCTATGATTTGTAACGTGTAAAAATTAGCTTCATATCTAATTAATATTTAATTTAAAGTCTGGTAACAATACTAATCAAACTGGTATAAGACACGTTTCAAACTCTTATCATTGGCAAACCTACTTGGAATTTCTCATAATGGATTCAATAAAAATATTTAAGCTCTGAATTTCTATTCATCTGTTAATTAATGATGAGTGGTGAAAGCTAATTGATCTCTAAATAGTTACTCATTCATAACAACAATTTTTCAAAAAGATTTCGAATTCGAATTAGAATATAAACAAATAAAAGTCTAAAAAAGATTTTATCGCGTTATAAATAATACAAATAAAAAAGCTAAGATAATGAAATTAAGAATTCTTAACATTAGAAAGGAAAATCGAAGCTGGTTTGCTCATTGAATCATTCTTAAGCAGAACTTCGAAATATTTCACAAGGGGAGGTGATTTCTTGAAATGTCCGGCCATCTTTTTATGAGATGACAAAGTCACAAAAATTAAAGCAGCAGGCTTTGTCAATTCCGAGCTAGTCTTGAGGAAAAGCGCCATCATATCCAAGAACAAATTGAATTGTGGTGCATATCCTGCTTGAGCGCATGTATCCAAAATTAATAAAACTCCTTTAATTGTTTTAGAGTTCTTTGCTTGGTATGCGCTCTTTAATGCGTTGCAGAGTGCATCGAAGAAGAGAGAATCCGCTAAATTGTTGATAAATTCCTGATTCAAATTTGCACGACGTAAAACTGGTCCTAAACAAGCGGATGATTCTTCAAGAAGCATTGTCATGCATTTGGTAAGGAATGTAGGGAACAATCTTGCATGCAAAAGGTAGTATCTCAAATTATAATGAGAGAATAAATACAAGAACAATTTGAGAGTTGAACTATTAGCGAAATTCATCCATTTCGTGATCTTTGCAATCAATGACTTGTTTTCTTTACTCAATGTTGCATATTTAAGTACAACAAGCGCCATATCCGGATTATTGCATTTATCTCCAATTGTTTTATACAACAACCGACTTTGTGGTGGATTGTTGCATGTAGAAAGCAATTGGATGCATTCTTTTATGCAATCATTCGACTTTAATCTTGTTATGATCGCATCAAACGGAATTGGATCATCATTCTTCCTCAAATGATAGTAAGCAACAAATGCCTTCTTACATGTAACAGGGATTTGTGATCTAGTGTAAGCAGAAATGATTGTCAAAATTTCATCTCTTCTGTATTTGTAAAAAGTCTCAATTTGGGAGAGCATGTAAGTTATCTTGAGGAATAGTGTTCCGTTCTGAGTATTAATATACTCTCTTGCGTAGTTAAGAAGGAAATCCAAAACTGGATCTGGATTACTACACTTACTATAGTTAGGAATAAAGGAAGCGAATAGGTAAAGTGTTGGTCTTGGCATAGATCTCAACAATGTACCTAAAGCTCTGAACATTGTCGAGCCAACAGCGCTTGGATCAACTCTGAAGACTGTTCCGATCAAATAGAGCGAAGATTTCTTGAGTTCATCGGAAGTAACAGGGATAAGGGAGTAAAAGTGGTATCTGTTCAGTGTTTTGATGAATTTGGAATTTCTTTGGATCAATTTGTTGAATCCTGCAAGAATAAAGATAATTATATCCTCATCATTGCATTCTGAGATGATTTTGGCAAGTTCTACGTAGACAGGTTCGAATTTTTCCGGTGAAATCGAATTAAATATTTCTGTAACGGTGGATTTGAAGTTTGGATCTCTGTAGTTCTTGATAACATCTCTAAGTTGAACTTTCTGATCGATTTGTGGTATTTCTGCCTTGATTTCCTGAAATTCTTTGTCCAATTCTTCTTGTGTAGGCTGTTTTTCGGCTTCATTCCTGGAGAGAACCAAATCCTGTTCAAAGTGGAATTCATCGATTGGAAATCCGAGCGTTAATTTCATCTGATCTTTCTTTATCGATGATCGAAGTTTGTTTTCAAGATTCATGATAATTTGACGCTCAGTCTTAGTAATAAGGAAGTTAACGTTCGTCTTTCCGGCCTTCTTTTTAGCTTCTTGTTCGTTATCGAGCATTGTCGTAAATTTCGAGATAACTTCGGGATCTGTACCTTCAAAAGCGACTTGTCCGCTTGCAAACATCTGGTATATCTTAACAGCAGAAGGTCTGCCGTTTGGATTTTGGCTCCAACATAAATTCATCAAATCAATGATTGATTGGGAATTCTTACGTGTTAATGTTGGCCTTTTTCCTTTAGATGTGTCGTTGAAGATAGTATTCACATCTACTTTGGAAAATGGAATACGTTTCTCAATCATGTGGAAAAGAAGCATTCCGTATGAATAAATATCGACTTTGAAATCGTAGTTATTCGTATTTAATATTTCTGGAGCCATATAAGCAGGAGTTCCGACATGATCTGACATAAATTTTCTTGGTTTGCAAATTCTCGAGATACCGAAGTCGCAAAGCTTTGGTAAGAAGTGGTGGTCGAGAAGAATGTTTGCAGCCTTGATATCGCGATGAACAATTTTAATTGAGTGAAGATGACGAATTGCATGAATAATTCCTATTGCAATCATCGTAAGATGAGTTCCTGAAAATACTGGAACTTTGGAGTTGAGTTCTTTGAAAAGATGAATGTTCAAAGCACTATTTGGCATATATTCTGTAATAATAGAGTAAGGCTTATCAACGGTAAATCCAACGAATGGTAGGATAAATCTATTATGAGATTTTGCCATTGTAACAACTTCTCGAACGAAATTAACAAGATTTTTGCCGACAAGTTTTTCTGCGAAAAGTTCTTTGATTGCAACAAGTTTTCCTGTCTTAAGATCGTTCGCAAGCCATACTTGACCGAATCCTCCTTTACCAATAAGCTGACTGAAAATAAAATCAGAAATTTGACGAACGAAAGGCATATGTTGCATGATTAAACGGTATAAACTTTCATATAAGAATGTTTCTGCACTTTTAGTTGCAAGAGTTGTACTATTATCGACAGGTTTAGGGAGATAACTAAAAAATGTCGAAAAACTTCCAATTGATTTTCTTCTTTGATTTGTTATTTTCTCTTCTACGATGTGTAAATGTGAGAAAGAGTATCTTCTGCGCTTTACAGGTTCAGGAATATTTGATTTATCTTTTTGTTTTCGAGGTTTTCTGAAAATTCTTTCTGTTTTCGGCATTGATGGAATCCTAACCTCCTTTTTCATCAAAAGAGGTTTATCACCAATCAAATTTAAGAGAGGAAGATCTGCCATAATTTAATTTTATAAAAAATCATCACTTTTACGATATTTTGAGAGTAAATTTTATTTTCACAGGTCGACTGGCTATTGATCAAATGTTAAGGATGATTTTGTAGAATGAAAGCAAATTAAAATGGATTGAGTGCGGAATTCAAAATTGTTATTTACGATTCCAATTTCAAACAAACAAAGAGTATGAAATTTCAACTCATGATGGAAGTATCATATCATACTAGTTGTTGACATCAAATTGTCATAACTTTCAGTACATTATACTATAATGTTTCATCATATGAGTCAAAATGATACATAATACTCTTAGGAGACAGAACAGTTATGTTACACTTCCTTCTTCCTCAAACACTTCAAATTGCGCTAAGTATTCATAAGTTCATGGCTCAGGTTCTTGAAGAAATATTGATATTAATGCGAAACGAAAATGGCACTTTTTGGTTATTTGGGAGATGACATCTTTGAGCGAATCATTAGTAAATATGAGTCAAAGAGAAAATCTTAAACAAAAGTTTGTTGATGATGAAATCAGATCTGAAAAGAGAAAGCAGATGTTTGCTTTGTTGACTGCAATTAGAGAAGCAAAGCCAGATTGCTTATCAGACGAAACAGATGAAACAAGAAATAGATTAGAGAGACTAGAAAACTTAATAGAAAGCTTAGCAGATTAAATCAAAACCTCCTCAATATTATTTTTAAAATAATAGTGTTGTTACATGTCAGTTTCATATAACGTATCTTGGTTTTTTGTAAATAAAAATTACGGATGTATATTAGAAATAATATATCTTTAGATAAATTGTCAATTTTTCATTTTTATAAAAGATTTTTTAAAGACTTACTGCCATCTTTTCACATCCTATAGCTTTCATCATTATTTCATATGATGTGTTCTTATATCTTTAGCTTTTTAGTTAGAATTTCCAGATGAAAAAATTCAGCATAGATTTGAAACCTAATATAAAGAAAATATCATTTCAATTCCATGCACATATATGAATGATACATCATTGGATCGTCATTGAATGAATCAAACAGGAATCCATTAATTTTGATCTCTTTTCAGAAAATAGTAGAATAATTTAGGCAGAGAGGTTATATACATTAGTAATCGCCTATTTTCAAACAAAAATATTGAACTTTGAACATCGATATTTTTTTGAAAAGTGACGATATGGTCGACCTTTTCGATGGTGAAGACAAACCCATTCCTCTCATCACAGGCTAAGAAGACAAGAAAGGCCTTCTTCAACGCTACAAAGGATGACAAGCACCGCCAACTCTCCGCCAAGCTCAACAAGGAGCAGGCTGAAACACATGGTGTTAAGCAACTCCCAATCCGCAGAGATGATGAAGTTTCCATCAACTCCGGCAAGTTCGCTGGCCGTGAGGGCAAGGTTATCGCCGTCAAGCTCTCTGAGAACCGCATCGTTGTCGATTCATTCACACGCGAGAAGCTTAATGGTCAGACAGTCCATGTTTCCGTTCACCCATCTAACTGCCTTATCACAAAGCTCAAAATGGACAAGCAGCGTAAGGAACTCATCGAACGCCGCCGTGCTGGCCGCGAGAAAATCCTTGCTAAGCTTGGCCACAACAAGAAGTAAATCTGACTGATAAATTTATATTGATACTTTATAAAATTAATCTGAATATTTCTGTGAATAATAATTTTAACTCAAAAGCGCATTAAGAAAAGCTAAGATTCATTGTCCAAACACTGTAATTCTGTTTGACAAAGGTTAATCTGAATTCCTTATCGGCATATAATATCCAATGACAATAACTAAATATTTTAAAAATCTCATCTAATTAAACTATTATCTGAATGAAATCGATTCAAAAAATGATATATTGATGCAAATAAATCCCAAAAGATATCGATTCATAAAGACAATCATGCAATCTTTAAAAATGAATCCATTTCATAAAGAAAATCCAGCCGAAAAGTAATTGGACCTTACAATAGTAGTTTGATTGTGAAAATAAAAAAAATAATTTGAAAACAAGGTCATATTTACATGTAAAAACAATTAAATTAAAACAAAGTTACATCATATCAAAGTAGTTTTCGTTATCATCCGAATTATGACTAGAAAACCAGCTGAAAGTAGAAGGATTCGAGAAAATGTCGAAAAGTTGCTGTTCGCTTGTAGTTTTCTGATCTAATTCGATATTTGAAGTATTGTTCATATTGAAATCCATACTGGCTGTTGGTGGAGTAATATACTGTGTATTCTCGTTTTGTGGCTCTTCTTTAGGAGCTTGGTATCGTACAGTCCACTGGCGTAATTCAGCAGTGTTACCCCTCAAAATCGGGATGCCCTTTAAGAGCTCCTCGCATGTAGAGGATTTATATGTAACATTGGGATAGCCAATTGCCTTGAGGGAACCGTTAATCGAAGATTTGCACTTAAAGACTAAGCGCTTAAGAGCCGAAATATTTACAGCAATTCCTCCTTCGAATTGATAAACTCCGCAAACTAAGCAGCGTTTCCACTTGTCCACTTCGTCGTGGTTTTCAAATAAAGAGATAGCTTCCAAAATCTCTCTGAATTCATCAGCTCTTTTATTTTTCTTATTTTTATTGGAAGGAGCTGTAAGCGCAGCGCATATCCTGTCGTATGTTTGCTTGTCAGCCTCGTTGAGCAACTCCCAATGATTGGGACGATCAGGCTGTGTAGGAGCTTGGACCTGATAGCCAATCATAAGTAATTTGTCAGACCTGCCACTCTCAAAAATTTACCGCATCGATTTCGCTTTAGAAAATATATTGTTGAAATACATACATTATATTTCATTTCGTAAATTTCGTTTCTTTCGACAATTCCGGGAATGTAAAAAAGATCGCTATGATTGAAAGAATGATATAAATGACTATTTTCCTTTACTATTCGTTCTATCCGCATTCTAGGCAATATCTTCATTATAGACTTCCTAGTTTCAAACATCGGCAAATCATCAAATTGTCGATTCGTAAGTTTTTTGCCTAAAATCGAATACGGATAGAATCAGTTATATGATAATTAAATAATTCAACATTGCTATTTACGATTCATTAAAAATATAAATGACAGAAATTGAATCATGGTTTTTGATATATAACAATTCAAATTAATAAAAGAATACGTATTTTATAACATATTGTCTGCTCCTCTCTCTCCGATAAATCAATGGAGACGAAATTTTATATAACTCGTGAAAAAAATAGTTAATTATTCATTTTTTAAATGAATTAAATTACCACAAGACAATTTGTATCAATCAAACTTTTATTATAATTTTATGTTTTTTGAAGTGAAAAATATAATAAAATTATGAAAATCCATATGGAATACATTTTTCTAGTATTACAATATTCTGTTCATCTGGTTTTGTACCTTAATTCATAGCAGGTTATGCCCTTTTGATGAAATGGAAAATATGTATGTGTTTTCATATGATAATCTCATCTTCTAGAATTGCAGTAATGTGTGTGGTGTATAAAATGTATTTTAACGAGGTAAAATGCAAAATATTAGAATCGAATAAGTTTTATAAGCTTATTGATGGAAACCATATTGCCTTTGACTTTTCTATTGTAATTTTATCATTTCATATCTATAAAACTGCACTTTTTGAAATGACTCAAAAATTATTTCGGAATTTGGTAATTAATTGTATTACCATGATAAGATATGAGCGTAATAGCACATTATTTTCATATTTTCGCAAAATTTCTTATTTTGAGGGATGACTCAACCGTAATGAGCAAAAGTAATCAAGGCCTCTCAATCTCTTTACAATAATATTTTCAGAGTTGTAAAACACGATATTAAAAATAAACTAATTGGAATTTCATCTGCATCGGCATGAAGATGAATTGTCTTTACATTTTTATCATTACTGTCACTTTTTCAATTGATTTAATATAACTTGCAATTGGAACATGTGTTTATATCATCTAGGCGATCTTATGAATTTGCACTCAAAATTTGAATTGGATATTTTCAATTCAATTATTTTTATATATTTCATCAGATTGATCATCATGGACTTAACTATTTTAGATAATATCCATCCTGTCATTTTATCGCCACTTGATCCAAAGTCTCCTTTCTCAACGAAATACGAAACTTCGGACGAATATTCTTATGAATATTCTTTTAATTTTGATGATGATTATAAGTCATTACCATCAAAAACGCCCCTTGAATACGTCCCTAATACTATTTCTAGTATTAATAAGCATCAACAGCTGATCAGATGTCAATTTATTGGGTCATCTGATGAAATCAGAAATGATTTCAGAATAATAGTAATAGATTGGTGTATTAGAGTCTATTTCGAAATGAAGCTTAATATGGAAACGCTTACTTTAGGCATTTACATTTTTAATTCAATTCTTAGAAGGAAAGGAATCAAAAGATGTCATCTACAACTTTTTGCAGCGACTTCTCTTTGGATTGCATCAAAAATAGAAGAAACCAGCACACCCACTTTATCTGACTATATCACTGTGTGCAGTGACAGCTATTCTGCAAAGGAATTCTATGCTTGCGAAAAATATATACTTCGAGCAATGAATTACGATGTTGCTTTTGCGACACACGAATTTTATGTACAGCTTGCCTTGGGAACATTTTTTGCCTCCGAGAAATATCAAAAGGCTGTTGAAATAGTTTCTCTTGTCAGCCTTTTCCTCGATGATCTCACAGATCCTCAAAATATTGCTTCAGCTATTTTGAACGTTTCCTCGTCAATTACTCACGAAAGTGAATCGATATGGAAGTTATCATTCCATATTAATGAGCCTGCTGTCAATGATCTGATTAGGCAGCTCTCTGTGATCTTTAAAGCGCAATTGACTTATAAAAATGGCATTATACGTCAAAAAGTCAAAGCATACAACGAGAAGATGAGCTCGAATAATATTGCTTAATCATTTTATTGTTTTGTTTGTAATAAATATTTCATGTTATTATCTTTATAATTCTGGTCTGACCATTTAATTGTTAACTATCAATGATGATGTTCTTTGAGTTGTTTCAATAAATTAAGTGATTTTTAAAGAGATATCCTCAAATGAAAGATTCAACCTGTTCTTATTATTATGCAAAGGAAATTAGTGGATTAAGATAATATACTTGCACATTACATTATATTTATTATGGTTCCAAAGCATTTTAATAGAATTATCTTTTATCTTACGACTTTCATATTCATAACTCAAGATAAAGTTGTTCTCTCATATTTTGGTGATTGCACATATCAGTAAGCAAAATCATGATTTTTTGACATTTTTTTGTATGGGAATTCGAGAAAATCTTGAATTCCCATCAGATTTAGCAGAAAACATTGTTTCAAAATGCATTAAGATGTTACCAGAATCCAATAATGTTGTGTGTATGATTAATAGCGCTACAGTAAGATATAACGGAGAAGAATATGATCCTATTTATTGTTGTGTCACTCCATATTCAGTTTTTATATTTCGAACTATATTAGGTGTTACTTCACAACTTGTTCGAGTCGATTTAATTGAACTAACAGAATTTGTTTGCTCTGATAAATTAAAAGATGGATTTTTATTAAAATCTTCAGCTTCAAATCTTATTATAAAAGGCCCAAATCACATTAAGCTTTCTCAAATTATATACAGAAACTATCAAATGCTTATAACAAAGAATGATAACACTGTAAATACCCAAATTTCTGTGAGTGATAAGTCATTATTCCCTACCATTGTAGTCCCCATGCCAATTACGCAAATATTTCAATATGCTTACGCTACATATTGTGCAAAATTCGACGAAGAATACAATCATCTTGCAGCAACCGTTGTTTGGAAACTCCTAACATCAGGAGACTATTGTTTTGATTGCGCTAATGTTCCAGAAATGGAACATTACAAAGCATTTATACATGCAACTTCAATTTTACCTTGTTTTTCATTTTTTTCAAGTCAAAACAAAACTTTTATAAATCCATTACGTGCTCTAGCATCTTTTCTCATACATAGCGAAACAATTAAAGGCGTAGCTATTTCTACAGGTTCAGATGATGATGATTTAACAAAAATTGCAACGCTTTTGCAGAGATTTAACACAAAACAAATTGTTATGTGGAAAATTAGTGGTCATTATTACAAAGGTATGTCAAAATTCGTTGCTTCACTTGTAAATATGAAATCTCCAATCAGAATGATTGATTTATCAGACGTAAACATGTCAGAAAGGACATTAATATCTTTTTTCCAAGGTCTTGCTCGTAATCACAATCTGTTTAAACTACATTCTCTCAATGTAAAAGGTTCAAAATTCACAGGACGAGTTAAAAAATCTTTTGTTGATTGGCTGATGAAATTACACAAACAAAGAGAGTTTAATTTGAATGTTTTAGGATTATCAAATACAGGAAAATACGTAGGAAAAATCTGTAATGCATTATGCTCTACAGAACAGCCATTACTTCATTTGGATGTTTCTTTTAATGAAATGAGTGAATGGGCACAATCTCAATTATTACAATTAGTTTTGCGAAGTAAAACTTTGAGAAGTTTGAATGTTGGTGGCTGTAATTTAAGTGTTGCAAACTTAACTAATATAATAATGACATTGTCAACAGATAACAGACAAGACTTTTATAAGTTCTTCATGTCACAAATGAATCTTTCAGGAACAGAATTAAGTGGTGCAATTTCGAGTTTTTTGGAAGCGAATTCTGAAAGATGGAGTTTAATTAATTTGGATAATGCAAGATTTGATGAAGGTAGTGCGAGAATGGTCTTAAGTGTATTGACTAATCTTAATAACTTAACAAATATTTCTCTCAATGGTTGTTTCACTTCGAAACTCAAAGGAATTGGTGAAAAATTGTCAAGTTTATTGAAATTGAAATTTTTGAAAAGATTGACAATTTGTGGTGTTGAAAAAGGCAGATTAAAATGGGAATTATATCCTTTACTAAAGGATTTATCAGAGAATAGGACTCTTGAATACTTAGATATCTCTGATAACAAAATTGGAGAAGAAGGAATTAAAATTTTAGATAGGTCTTTAGTTCGAAATTTTTCATTGAAACAACTCGAAATTGATAAGAATTTAATATCCACTGTTGATTTGTTGCAAATGATATTAAGAAGATGGAAGTCTAGACCACATTCTTATTACATGACATTCCCTTATTCCGATGCAGAAGATATTATTAACAAAGAAAGTTTTTCAAGTAAAGAAAAAATGAAATTGAGAGTTAAAATGATTGAAATCGAGTTATATTCTCAATTGTCACAGAACAGACTTTTATCTGAAGAAAGACCAACGAACTGCCATTACAATGTTCCATTGCAAGCTGCTCAATATTTAGATCAAATGAATAAAATCATCGAAAATAGTGAAGAAATGAAAAACAAAACAGTTTTCGGCTGTTTTAATTATTCTCTTCATCTTCCATTTCCTTTCCAAAGCGAAACAAAGGAAGGACAACTAGACAACACAGAAACAATTGATATTGGAGATGCAAATGTTTTCGATACAGAAAATTTGACAAAAGTAACAAAATTTGATCCATTTCCTAATCTTGATAACGAAGATGCGAAGAAGGAACTTGTTCAGAATCCAGCAGATGAAATACCAGCATTTCCTCCAGCTAAAAAGTCTTCTTCATCAAGGAAATCATCTTCTGCGAAGAAATCAAATGCAAAACCTCCAGAAATCCAAAAAACTGAAGAAAAAACTGAAAAGAAAGAAGAGAAAAATGATCTCCAAAACATCATGAAGAACGATGATGATTTCGACACTGGAATAAGAACAAAAATATCTCCAATCGAAGAAGCAAAACTCAATGAAATCGATGATGATTCAGAATCAGAAGAAAAAATTAAAAAAGCTATAAAACCAGCACCAAAAATCAAGAAAATAATCATAACTGATTCGGAAGATGAACCACCAATGAAGAAGCCATCAAAAAGACCTAAAAAGGAACAAGAACCAGTAAAGAAAAAGAAACTTCAAGAAGAAGAAATTTTACCTAAAAAGAAGAAGCGAATTATTAATGATTCTGATTCAGATGATGAAGTAATTTTACCTAAGAAGAAGAAACAAGTTATCAAAGATTTAGATTCAGATGAAGAAGATATTTTACCTAAGAAGAAACGAATTATTAATGATTCAGATGAAGAAGTGATTTTACCTAAAAAGAAGAAGAGAATTCTTTTGGAAAGTGACTCAAATGATGAAGAAGAAATTCCAAGGAAAAGTAAAAAATCAACACCGAAAAAAGTTTCGAATTCAAATAGAAAAGTTATCAATATGGATTCATCAGATAGTGATGATATTTATGCTGAGAGATTCCAGCCCCGTCTCAATGCTTCAACTGGCGGAAGATCGACTTTGTTTGAAGATGATTCAAGTGATGAAATCGAGAATTTCAAACCTCCAAAAAGATACAAGAAAAAGGCAATTAATATGAATTCAGGCTCTGATTGGCAAGACAGTGACTCAGATTCGGGGCCATTACCAGTTCCAAAAAGAAGGCCTAATGTTAATCCAAAGTTTTAATAATTTTTATGTTATATTTTTTTACCATGTAAAACTTTTGTTTTTTAATTTATCCGATTTTTATTTCTTGTAAAGTCTAAAATATAAACGATCTCATCATCTCTTATTATCAATATTGATTGACAAACTCATGCTTGTATAAAATGCAAAGTTATGGAATTGCAAGAATTTATCTGCTCATCCCAAAAATTTTATTTGTATCGTTGATATTCATGGTATTTTTAATTCTTTTATATAAATGATTATTTGAGTTCTCTAAAATGATCTTTATATGTCCATAAAAAGATGGCAAGCAAAGGATTACATTTTTTAACCTTGCGAAGTTTTATTTTCATTTTATTTAGCAATAATTGGCATTAACCATAACAAGACAATGTATTATGTTTTGAACTCCAATTTTTTCTTTCAAATTTTTATTTTATCTTCACATAAAATATTAATTATCAAATTAATATTCTGTATCACCAGATGTATCATTTCTTTTTTCAAATTTTCTCTAATAAATCTATATCTCTCAAAAATTGAATCAAGTCGATCAACTATTCAAATTTTGATTTGTAAAATATCCAAAATGATTTTTTACGGATTGCTATTCCTGAAACGATTTCCTGATGAACGCATAAAGTTGGCGATGGCCACAAAAGTTAAAAACTCATTCCCAGAATGCCAAGGAAAGCTAGTTGAAAAGAAATCCGGATTTCAGGCACCCTCAATCAATTCTAGAGAAGTGAAAGCAGGAGAATTCTTTTGTATATATGGAGCAGCTATGGTAGCATCAAATTCAAATATCAGTGCCAGTTCTTATTTTACAAAAGTCTTCAGAGATAAAAGTCTTGTAATTTCGGAAAAAGTTATTCCTCATCCATTCATTTTAACAAATAAAATAGAAAAAGATGATATTGATACTGTTGTTTATGATATTGGTCATGTTTCAAAAATATATTGTGACAAGAATTCTGCGTCAAATTGTGATGTCCAATACACATTCATACCTCAACCTTTCAATATATCTACAATAATTTCAATAAATGGCCATTCAATCAAATTTAATGATGAACATACTGTAATTATTACTTCTGGCCAAAAATCTGTAATGAACAATGATGTCTATCTTAAAATTGAGCAAAATAAGAGCATTTCATACAAATCCCTTTCTTTTATAATTACGAATCCTGATATGAAAAAGCTTCAAACGAGTGGAATTTCAAATAATTTCAAATATAATGTTTATAGTGATACTAATACAGATTCCGCCCATGATATTCTTATTACACTTTCTTCTTCGGATAAATATTATCCACCGGCGACACCAATGCCAACACCATTCCAGACACCCTTTAATACACCATTTCAAACTCCATTTTCAACGCCACATGCTTCTCCAACACCATTACCAAGTCCATCAAGATCGCCGCCTCCTAGATATCCATTTCCAAAAATCCCTTCACCTACAGCATTGACAATTCCCCACGATAAGTTAATAAATGAGATTGATGATAATACAGATCTTTTTGATGCACCTGATTATTACAAAGAATTCTTTTTCGATTTTGATATTGATTTTCATAATGATATAACAATAGTTTCAAAACAAATTGATGGACAAAAAAGATCAACTAAGAGTTATTATCCAGATAATTTTACCCATAATTTAGATGCAGAAACAGTTATCTCTAAGCAAGTGATAGCGCCAAAAAGTGGAGATATAAAACCTACGCCATCAATACCAAGAAGTTCAAACACAGCTGTGATTGCACTCGGAACAGTTTTGGGAATTGTTTTAATTATTACTATCTTGTTGATTGTAGGTTTAGTTTTGATCATAATGATGATAAAACGATCTGCTAGATATAATAAAGAAGAAGGATCTGATTCAAGGCAATTTGGATCTTCTGAATCATTCGGGTTTGTTAAATAATTGTTTTAATTAAAATTTTATTTCGAGCTATATTTTAATATTCTTAAAATCATAAAGAATCACATGCATTTTAGATGTTATTATTGATGCATGAATTTTCAAAATCTTAAAAAATTAAAAATAATAATTAACAAAAATAATAATTATTTATTAGCATAAATATTAACAAAAATTATAAATAGTTTCTATAGTTTATTAATCGCATCCCTTTATGTTTCTAGTAATACAATAAAATTTTCGGACAAGATGCAAGCTCTGCATGTTGCAAATCCTTTAGATGAGAATATGTATCTAATACTGGATTCATTTATCGGATTTAATCTAAAATTGTCTATATCATTAACAAAAAATAACTTTTGTTGCCTGAAGAATCTAAATACAACAATTTTTTGAATTTTGCAAAAGGCAAAGGCGGCACCTTTAAAATTTATGACAGAATCTGGAATTATCACAATGTTTAAATATTGTAATCTGCAAAATCCAGAATAGCCAACCGTAGTAACGGTGCTTGGTATTGTATAACTTATTACATTTTTGGATGCGGGAAAATGAATAAGTACTTTTCGATCTTTCGAAAATAAAACCCCATCGATAGAGCAAAAGTATGGATTTTGCTCATAAACATCTATTTGTGCAAGTGTTAAGCATGAATCAAATGAGTTATAAGGATCATATAGCTTTTTTACGTTTTTTGGAAAATATAAATATTCAATCTTTGTTCCGGTAAAAGAATCATCATTAATTGTTGTGAGAGTTGATGGGAGAGTAACATTTCGGAGATTTGAAAATCGTACAAATAATCGTGAAGGAATAACCAAAAAATTTTCATCAATAGTAATATCAATATAACTAGTATAGTCAGTTACTTCACTCGGAATCGATACAGTTGTATCTCCTTTGAATTCAATTAATAAACTCTCTGAAATTTAGAGTACACGAGAGAAAAAAACTGATATAATAAAAGTGACAATTTTAAAAGGATTTCAGTGAGAGATTTGCCTATAAACAATGACAAAGAAATTCTGACATCTCATTATATTCATACTTTGAGCCTACCACCAAAGCGTTCTGTTGAAAATTATCTGCAATGATATCAACTCTATTAGCAATTTATGTTATCAATTATTGTTATTATCTACTTCAAAATGAAGAGCTAATATAGCCATACTTAAAAATATTGAGTGAATAATATTTGACATGATGACTGTGGCATGAATATATACCTATCTTGTATAGATTGCTTTCATGCGTCAAGAAACTATTCTTGAATTTTTTTTTATAATGTTAATTAATAAATCAGAAGCGTATAAAATTACATTTTTACATTGGAAAACTAGAAGAATTATATAACAAGATAATAATAATTAAGAAGAAGAAATATGATAATTATAATTTCGTTTTTCTTTTGCATAATCAAGTGGAGTTTTTCCATAATTGTCTTTGATCAAAAACATTGAAAAATTTCAAAGTATCTATTCATTGCTACTATAAGGTTAGTAATGACTGATCTATAATTATTTTGGTGATTGATCAGTTTTCTTTATTAATCTTCTCAGTCTATTTTGAAGACTAATTGCAACAGAAATTTCTGAAACAGTGTTTTGTTCTTTTTTCTTTTCTGCGGCATTTCTCATTTTCTCTTCGACTTTTAAGCATCCATTTTTCAGGATTTGCAGAACTTCTGATGACTTGAAATTTAAATCATCTGTTGCTTCAGATAATATTGTTTTCCCAGTAGTTCCTGGTGCTCTCATTGTTGGATCTGCTCCTTTATCAATAAGGAAAGAAATAAATTCTGGTTTACATAAACTCGGATTTGATATTGCTTCAGAAAGAACAGTTCTCCCTTGGTTATCCGTAGAATTAATATCAATGCCATGATTAACTAGAAAGTCTATTGCTTTCGTCGCTTTCTCTAATGGTTGTGCTGATAAAGCATAAAATGTTGGAAATTTTCCTTGGATATCAACTGTGTCGCAAACAACGCCTTTCTTAAGGAGTAAGTTCATCAGTCCTATATTACCTGTTTCCGCACAAATATGCATCAAAGAGGCTTGGTTTGGACCAACTAATTTCGCATCTGCTCCCCATTTAAGCAAAAGTTTGACAATTTCGGGTTTATCAAGTTGGATAGCAAACATTAATGGAAATTCTCCTGTTTCTTTTCTAAAATTGACATTACAACCGAATTTTAGAAGTAATTCAACTCCATTATCTAATCCAAGTCGAATTGCTTGGAAAATTGGAGATTGGACAACAGAATATTCTAAACTATAACCATAGCTTAAAAGAAGTTTAAGAATATCGATTTTTTCTTGCTTAATTGCGACAACAATTGGATTAAACTTATTTTTTGCATCTGACTCAGGATCCATGGCGCCAAGGTCTAAAATATACTTGACAAGCATGTAATTTCCTGTTTTTGTCGCTAAATATAATGGTGTTTTGCCAAATGCTGTTTCATTGACATTTACACCCATCGAAAATAAAAACTGAGCGCATTCTATGCTTTGCCCTAATATGGCGTAAATAAATGGAGATATTCCATCAGCCGATTTTACATTTAAATCGTCAGTAAAACGATAAAGTTCAAGAAGGCACTCAAGAGAATCATAATATGAAATAATATGCGATAATGTAAGATGTTTTGTTGGTAGTCCTTGAAACGGAGCTAAATTAGTTTCGAAATTGTTGAGAGAGTAAATTGCTTCTTGATTCATCAAGCCATCACCAGATGGGATGTAGTCCTTTATGTATCTTTTTAATTTAATGCTATTATTTTGAACAATTGTATTAAAAAGATCTCTATTCATTTGACAACATGTAAAAATGAACAATTGATCTTGAAACAAAACTTAAAAAGTACATTGAAATGATATTTCTATTTAGAAAAAACAAAAAACAAACAAATTAATTATCAAAATATTTTCTTTGATTGAATAGAGGTTTTTTGGCTCGCGAAGGTGGAGCTCCACCTCCATATTGATTTGTAATAACTTTCCAATCAGATCCAAGATCGTTTGGACTCCATTTTTTACCCCAGCCTTCAACTTCAATTTCTGGTTCACCTTGGATGTCCAATATGTTTTCTGATACTGGCTGTGCAGAAGGTAAGTATCCCTCTGGATATCCTGTTGGATAAATATTTTGATTTTGAAATGGAGGTGGCTGATTTGCAGTTTGGCTTGCATTTCCTGTATCATCTGGAGGAAGCATTCCTGGTCTGTTATAATTACTGTTTTCATGGGAAATATTTGATGATAGATCATTTTTATTGGAATTTGGATTTTGTGATGTATTAAATCCATGATCTAAGTCACTGTTTTCAGCATTTTCTTTCTTTTTATAGCCACCTGAAGTATCTTCATTTGTTTTTGGCTTTTCTGAAGATTTTTGTGAGGAAAAAGATGTATTACGATTTTTTGTAGTGTTCTGTTCGGATTTTTCTGAATTTTGTGAAGATTTGTTTCCCCATCCTTTTAAATCTTCATCAGAATCGGATTGTTGATAGTTCCATGGACTTTTGCTTGTTCCATTGGATGATGTATTTTGATTTTGATTAGTTGTTTTATTTCTTTTGGCTTTTTGATATCCGCCTGAAGTATCTATTATTTTTTGTGGGCCATTTTGCTTCTTTGTTTGGAACTTAGTATTAGCAGATGCCCATACTGCATCGTCATCGCTTGAATCATCATCTACCCATAAATTTCTAGACATTTTGTCACTTTTTATATCAATTTTTTTAGACCCAGAACTTTCTTTGATTTTTTTCAGAAACCAGGCTCAAACTAAGCGTTTCTCGATATCTTAAAAGGATTATGATGTGTGAGGTTGTGTATTGGCATAATAACTTATATATAATACTTTTCAAGTAAAGATTCCCAGAAAAATAAAGGAAGCAAATAAATTTTTATTGGCGCAACGCGCCACTAATTGCCTAAATAGGATTTTAAAGTTTCATTTTTTTATTAATGGATGATGATTACAAAACAGATCTTGTAGGAAACTATAGAGAAAATGAAGCAAATAGCCAAAATGAGGAAATGGATGTATTTTCTTTCAATGATCTTAATTTTAAATGTATTTTTTCGAAAAATGTCAACGATCGGATAGGCATATTAAGAGATATAATTTCATGTTTCGAATCAGGAGCCAAATGCTATCAATTACCTAAAACAGTCATAGGAGCAATTTTCGATTCAATTAAAAACCAAGAATCTCTCGAATTATCAATGCTTTCACTTGAAATACTAAATATATGCCTTTCTCAAGATGAAAAACAAATCAATCTTTACTTCACACCAAAGATTTGTGAAGATTTACATGAAATCATTCATAATTCTAATGATTTAGACCAAATTTGTTTATGTTTCTTATGTGTTTCTTCAATAGCAAAAGGTTTTGAGATGGTAAAAGATCAATTGGAATATGAATTTTTTATTTCCATAGTTTCACGAGGTTTTGAAATTGCTTCCTCTTCAGATGTACCAGATAATAAAAGAAATACTATATTGGCCCATTGTTTGCAAATAATCCCAGTACTTTCGGAAATTTCAATTCCAAATGAAAAATTTGTTGAATATATTAACAGTATCATACCATATTTAAAGGATTGTCTTCAAGTAGAAACCCTTAGTTCTGATACAATTGTTTTAATTTCAACATTTATTGAGAAAAAATTTGAATTAGTTTCAGATATCTTTAACAACCAAGATTTTCTTACAGATATCTTTGATTTGATCGAAGATGATCCAAAGATCAATGTGAACATCATGAAATTAGTTCATAATCTTGTTTTACATAATATTTACATTTCTCCTTTTGTAATTAGTTCTTCATTCTTCTCAAGCTTCACTGTATATGACCAATCGAATACTGAAGAGTATTTACAAGAAGTTTACAATGTTTTAGGCTGTCTTGTTGATTCTTTCAACAAAATTAAAGATGATTTCGAAGATCAAGAGTTAATTACGTTAGCTGTTAATAATATAGTTGACAGCTGGCCAAACATTGTTAGTTCTACCTTGGAATTGCTTGATAATTCATTTTCAGAGATGAAAACGAAAATTTCTAAATTTATTTGTGGTTTATTACAAATTGGAGGACAAATAAGTGCAATAACATTATGTGGTAATAATGAATTGATTGATAAACTTGTAGATGCTGCAGAAGGATCAGATAAAGAAACTGCTTTATTAGTTATTAAACAACTCATAAATTTAGTTAGTTTCAAGACAGAAACATTCACCGGACAGTCATTTCAGAAGAGTAACTTCTTCCAACCAGTTTTTCTCAGTGAAGAATTTCAGAGTAAAATTGATGACTTGGAGGAACAGTTTGAAGATGACGAAAAGTTTTGTGCTGCTGTTGATGTACTAAGAAACGCTGTTATTGAGCTAAGTGAGAATCCAGATGAACCAATTAACCAAATTGGACTTCCTGAAATTCAAATTGATATATAATACATTTTTTGTTTAGATGCAATCATATTATTATTTTTCTTCAATTTCTCTTAGTTTATTTGACATCAAAACTTTACCTCACAATTTTCTAAGATCAAAAGTTATAATAATAACTATATAGTGCCTTATACGGCTGTTAAACTTTTTTACTGTTAAAATAAATATATCCAGCAATTGGAAAGAGCATCCTTAAAAGTGAACTCATTAAAATGCTTTAAAATAGTCTGCAGGAGTTTCTGTGCAAAGAGAAAGGTTTTAAATATTTGTAAGTATCTTTTTAAAACCTTCTCGAAATTAATGAAATAATATTAAAAATAATAAAATTTTTATTAATTAAAATGAATACAGTAAATAGAATTAATAAGAACTTACTTCTTGTTCTTGTTGGTGTTGTTATCGCTGATAGCGTTGTAGATTTCCATTGATGCAGCCTTAAGAGCATCATACTTCTCTTCGATCTTCTTTTCATCGTTTCCAGCGATTGCATCCTTGAGATCCTTGACAGAATCTCTGATTCTCTTCAACAAGTCAGCTGGCAACTTCTTTTCGTTTTCAGAAATTGTCTTCTCGATCTCGTTGATGTACTGTTTCATAGCGTACTTCTTCTCGAGAATCTCACGCTTCTTCTTGTCTTCAGCTGCGTGTTTCTCAGCGTCTTGGACCATCTTAGCGATTTCATCCTGAGAAAGGCCACCGTGTTGCTGGATTGTCATCTGTTGTTCCTTGTTTGTCTGTTTATCCTTGGCGGAAACGTGAACAATTGAGTTTGCATCGATATCGAATGTGACTTCGATCTTTGGAACACCGCGTGGTGCTGGAGGAATTCCTACTAATGTGAATTCACCGAGAAGTTTGTTTCCTTCTACGAGATCTCTTTCTCCCTGGAAAACTCTGATGTTTACGTGTGTCTGGCCATCAGCAGCTGTTGTGAACTCCTGGGACTTCTTTGTTGGGACAACAGTGTTACGTGGGATCAATCTGGAGAAAACTCCACCCATTGTTTCGATACCAAGAGAAAGTGGAGTGACATCAAGAAGAACAATGTCCTTGTGATCACCGCGCATGACGGAGCCTTGGATGGAGGCACCAATAGCGACAACTTCATCGGGATTAACACCACGGAATGGATCCTTTCCGAAGAATTCTTTGACGGAATCGATGACCTTTGGCATTCTTGTCATACCACCGACAAGGATGACTTCATTGATCTGCTGTGGTGTAAGGCCGGCATCTTTGAGGCAGTTCTTGCATGGATTGATTGTACGAGCGATGAGATGCTGTGTAATCTTTTCGAATGTAGCACGAGTGATTGGCATCTGAAGGTGCTTTGGTCCAGCGCCTGTAGCTGTAATGTAAGGAAGGTTGATTTCTGTTGTCATCATAGAAGATAACTCGCATTTGGCCTTTTCGACGGCTTCACGGATTCTCTGAAGGGCAAGTGGATCCTTAGCAAGGTCAATTTGGTTCTTGGCCTGGAAATCTTGGATGACGTACTTCATAAGAGCGGCATCGAAATCTTCACCACCGAGGAATGTATCACCGTTTGTAGCTTTGACCTCAAAAACGCCATCCTTGGAGATTTCAAGAATGGAAAAATCGAATGTGCCACCACCAAGATCGAAAACAGCGACTGTTTGGCCTTGTTTACGTTCTGTGCCGTAAGCGAGGGCAGCAGCTGTTGGTTCGTTGAGTGTTCTCATAACATTGAGGCCTGCGATCTTGCCTGCGTCCTTTGTGGCCTGGCGCTGTGAATCGTTGAAGTAAGCTGGAACAGTAATGACTGCATCCTTAACAGAAGTGCCCAAATAGGCCTCGGCTGTTTCCTTCATCTTCATGAGAACGAAGGCACCGATCTGGGATGGTGAATACTCGTTTCCTTTCTCATCTTTGACCCAAGCATCTCCGCTCTTGGCTTTAACGATCTGGTAAGGAACCATTTCGCGGCATTTCTTAGTCATTTCATCATCAAATGAACAACCAATCAAACGCTTTGTAGCAAAGAAAGTTGACTTTGAATTTGTAATTGCCTGACGCTTGGCCTGCTCACCAACGAGTCTCTCGCCTGTGTTGGTGAAAGCAACAATTGATGGTGTTGTTCTAACACCTTCAGCGTTCTGAATAACCTTTGGTGTGCCACCTTCAACAACTGAAACACAAGAGTTTGTTGTACCAAGGTCGATACCAATAATTGGTGTCATACCAGCGGCAAAGCCACGGCTGAATAAGGATGATGTACTCCTGGCAACACTACTTAACATTTAAGTGGTCGTGTAAACTTCTCACTTTCGATCGGTACTATCGGCCTTCAAAATTTTGATTGATTCTCTCAAATATTTGAATGACCTTCTCAATTTTATGAAAAATATTATCTGATCGAATAGGTTTATAGTTAGCGGGATGTATATTGTGAATTTTCGTCGAGAATAAGATATTCACTAGGAACAAGGCATGATTATCACAAATGCGAAAAACAACTTTTGGAAAATTTTCCCAAAATGGTGTTGCTTGTTAAAAAATGAAAACAGAATAGGATTTTGCATAAGAATGTGTATTTAACATTCGAATTTATGACAAAATTTTGAGCAATCGGTTCAGCTACGAAAATTTGAAGGGGTAATTATTTGGAGTTATTGATAGTTTGTAAGTATTATACTAATGTATAACGAGTTTGATCATTTATGTCTTATATTTCTCTGTTTTGAAAATAAAAGATTGAAATTAAGGGTTCTGCATGTGAGAGCATTGAAGTATAAGCTGAAAAATAGCTTCAAAGCTTCTGCATTGTGGTATATAAATCGAATTCAATATAAAAGCATTACATAATATATTAAAAGCTTATTATAGGTCCTTCTATATGAATATTTCAGTATAAATCTGTGCATCTACGAATAATATGTTGATGTGTGTACATAGGGTTTATGAATATGAAACAAATTAAAAATGAACGGTATATCGGGAGATTCATACTGACAAAGTGCAACATTACACGGTTTCATGTCACTATGTGTCATTTTTGGAGATATTGCCTGCGCATGGTTCCAGGAATGGCACATTGTTTCGCAATCTTATACTGAAAACGTGAAAAAAGCGAACAATTGTCTTACTATTTTGTCTTTCATCTACAGTGTCATATGATACGATTCAATTTGTTTCCATTTAAAAATATGGAAGACCCATCGAATGATAATCATTTAGAAGAAAATAATGAAATCAATAAAGAATCACAAGATGGGGCAAGTAATAGAAATGATTATAGTTTCTTCGATAATCTTGTGCCATTTTCGCCAATTGAAATGGCTTCACAAATTGATTACTTAATTTCAATATTTCAAGATACATTAGATGAAAAACCAGTTACAGTTATTGGTATATTAGCAAGTATTAGTAGAGTAATTAGAATACATTGCAATAATCTACAATTATTTGAATTTTTGAAGTCACAAACCAAATTTGCCAATATTCTATACGAATATTTTGTTTTATTCAATGATCAAGATGTATTAGTAGAGGTTTCACGTATTTATAACTATATTTCAAATTCAAATGATTTAGATCTTCTTCAGGCATATTTCCAAAAGAATGCAATAGATTTATTGATCAAAAGAATTATAGAACCAGATGATACCTTTTTATTATCCACTTCACTTATGCAAATTCCGGATAATACTCTCAAAGAAAAAGCAAAATATGATATAGTAATGGGTTTATTAGCAACATTATCGAATCTAGCTACTTCATGTATGTATGAAATAGAAAAAATGCAATACGCCATCGAAATAATGCTACAATATTCTTTACATTCACCAAAGATCATTAAACCATATGTTTGTCAAACTTTATTTGGTTTATGTCAATATTTCTATCTTTACGATAAAGAACATGAAACTTTTCATGAGGAACTTTATCATCAACTCCAGGAGCATTTACAGAGCTTAATGAACTCTGATGACATTCAGATTATTTCTATAGCATGCAATCTTTATCTTCTTTTGATAAATGCGTTAAAATCTACGTCAATTGATGATCATATGCAAGAATTTATCGGATTGATGGGTGAATGCATAGAACGACTTCCAGATCCAAATCCATTGTATTATAACAGTGTTTGGAAAGATTTTGTTCAAAATTTCCTTGAATTATTATTAGTATTTAATCAATTACAAGATGGACCATTCTTTGTAGGGAGAATTCTTAACTGGGATCTTCTATGGTCCAAGTTCCATGGATGGAGTGACGATTGTGATGTAATTTTCTTAGAAAAAATGGCAAATCTTTTTTCAGCTGATAAAAGTCCGCTGCAGATAGAAAATGTATTTAGTAAGTTATTACCTTTATATGATCAAGTCAATACTGGTTCAAAAATACAAATTATGAAGATAATTTTTTCATCTTTTTCAGAATTGGATAATGAACAGAAAGAAATGCTCCTAGATAAGGAATTTCTAATGAGCATTGAAATTATATCAACTTCAAATGCTGATGCTGCTCTTTATTACTTAAATATCTTTAATTTGCTTCTTGACTACGTAATGCAGAGTGAAGAACTCAAAATAAAATATGGAGAACAGTTTTCTGACTTGTCAACCATAGAAGATATTTCAGAAATGGCAGAAACAGATCAAAAATTTGAGCAACATGCAATTCTTTGCGAAGAGATTCTATCAAAGGCTGGGGTTGATGATGACTAATCATATATAATAAACTGTTTATATTATTAATTATATTTTCCTATTTACACATAAAATTACGTTTTCCAATTCAATAATTGCTATGTTTAAGTCAACCAATGTTTATTATGAAGCTTGCTTGATTATGAATGATGGAATTTGTTACACATTACGGAAATGAATTCAATTCGAAAAATATATACTACTTTTAGTGATCTAAGTAGTCTTCAATTTATAATGGTCCATATTGGATAGTAATTATATTAATGGTTTAACCTCAAATGCATTTATAAAAAATTATAAAAGATTGATAAAAATTAATAAACAAAACAACAAAGCATTTAATATAAAGACAAATCTAAGCAAGAAAATCTGATATATTGAATCAATATATCTAAACAATAATATAATAATGGTAGAAGCAAATCTACTTGTAATAAAGAATATTTTTGGAAGTAAGCAACTCAAAATACTGGTTCTGGTGTATTGGAAATAAGTTGATTATGTGTTCTGTTTGAATGATGTCTCCGAGTTCTTCCAACAACAAATATGAAGCCTAATGCAATCAGTATTAGAGAAGCTTGTAGTAAGAATATTGTTCCCGTTGTCAAAAAATTATTTCGCAAATTTGACATCAATGTAGGATAACATGCATTCGCATATGGTAATGTACATTTATCTTTAATAAATTCGTATGATTTGAAGAAGCCGCAGCATTGGAAAAACTCCTGAATAGCAATTATTTCTTTTTGGTTTAATAATTGGAGCCAAGACTCCCATTTTGAGGATATTATAGCTTCTGGGTATAGTTTAAAAGATAAACCATAGTAATATTGAACCATTGCAGATGCAAAAATAATTGCAGCTGTTACTGTAATCTGTATTTTGCCTAATGTAAGCTTTGTTAGTACAAGAGAAATTATTGAAAGGAGTATTAAGCCGATAGAATACGTTTCCGCATTTATGAAATCTTGTAATAAAAATGTAAGATTTGCCTTATCAAGCCATTGCTTAGTTGTTAATAATGACCATACTGCTGATAGTAATGATAAAATTAGACAAACTAAAGCAATGAATAAGAAATTCATGAAACACAAAAAAATGTCAAAAATTAACTTAATTTTCCTTTTATACATATTCATTACATTGTATTATGTTAATGCAAAGTAATGTGTTTACATCTTCAATGAGTAAAGTTCTTCCAGTCCTTCCATTATTTAAAAGAACTCAGAAGAAATATGCCAAATGATTGTGTGAATCTATCTACTCGAAAGCGTATATGCTTAAAGACATACGCTGTCAGCAATGACTACTTTTTCATGCATTTATTTATTGAGTTACTAGAGCTATTTCAGGCTTTTTGAGAGCGTTCCTACTAGATCCATCGTATGTTGAGTTTGAGAAAGGCATACATTGTTTGATTTTGATACTTTTCCCACAATCAATATCGAAGATCTTCAACAGCCAAAAAAAGAAAGAGGAGTAAAGAAGAAAATGCAGAAAAATAGAGAACAGAAAAGAAGAAAAGGAGAGAAAAGAATATCAAATTGAATATGATACGTTCTTAATATTGCCGAGGGAGAGGAGCCGTGGATGGGCGATTTCTGACTCCATTCTACCGCACAGAAATATAATATTTCTCGTCAAAAAAAAGTAGGCAAAAAATTGCTTTTAAAATTTTGTTAATATCATTTTTGAATGAAGAAGAGCAAAGTAATGGTGAAGAGGATAATGGTACGTGTTACATGGGATTATCAAAGCCAAAATGAAATTTATTATGAATGTAACCCCAAAGGGATAATTATTCTAAAGAAAAAATGCCCTCGAAATTATGACCGAATCACAGCAGATCTGAAAAGATATAGCAAACCTTTCAATGAAGCAGTGGATCATCCTATTCCAATTCTTCAAATAAATAGTGAATTCAATTCGTCTCAAAAAATTGATCAACAATTTGTAAATAAAATCCAAGACATTGAGATAATATCAGATGAAGAACAATTTAATAACTTTGAAGACGATAATGAAACTAATGATTCAATTTTCAGTACTTTTGACCCAAACATTTAGCTTTCTTCTTGATTCATTTTTACTTGTTCTATTGTATCCATTTCCTAAAAATCAATTAATACAAATCACCACATATCAAGATTTAATTGGTAAATGAAATAAAAATTGTTTTCATATATTTTCAAATCTCAATTCTCTTAATGGTGCAATTACTACAATCTGACATGCTCTTTAAAAATCAATATATCTATATTTTAACAGCAGAAATATATAACAGACATATTAGGCACTATTTAATGATTAATAGTTACTTTCTCCTGACAAAACATAATAGCTTTTGACCTTAGAATATTGGGATAGAAAGCTTGTGTGTCAAAAAAATTGAGAAAATGTCAGAAAGTGGTAAGTGCACCCTTAAGCCTTAAGGGTCGCCTCTACTATCCGTTTTTACAGGCGTGAATTATCAATATTGTTCTAATTTTATATGCATATTTTCCACTTTGTATTAGATTTTGGATACTCAGATCTAGTCACAGTACTTTTATATATGATTGTGATGTAAACACTATTAAATATTTGAATCATAATTGCTTTGGAGAAGAAGTGTAATGCACCACTTACGCCCCTACTGCATGACGCTTCACCCAAGTTGTCAAAAATTTGAAGTAAGTGCAGCCTTAAATTCTTGATAAAAAATGTTCATAAAAATAAAAATAATAAAAAAAATTTAAAATTCAACTTTGAAAGTGAAAGGACCAAATCCGTATGTCAAATCAGTTCTAGACTCCAGGATATCAAACGTCTTGCACTTTTGAGCCTTTTCCTGTGATCTCCTGAAAATCAAACCGTTCTTTGGAACGAAATCATGAACAGTTTCAACTTTGTAGCGATCAGAAACTCTGACTAAATTGTACTCGAAATCATCGCAATTTGAGAAAATTACTGATGCATCAACACCTGTATCATCTGGATATTCGTAGAAACCGCAGTCTTTCGTGTAATACAACAAGTGCATCAATAATTTTGGTGGCAAGTATTGCTGTTCCAAAGATGCGATGAAACCATTCTTCTCCAAATCTTGATACAAATGGAATTTAACCCACATCTCAAGATCCATTGGTTTGATGAAATTGAAGATGTCTTGGGGCAATGGTTTCTCGTACTTCGACAACACTAAGTTGTGCTTGATAGTAAATGGATACTTGTACGATTTCAAAATAATTGTAAGTGTGTTGTTTTCAAGTGTCACTTTTTCAGCACGGCAATTTTCAAATGTCACTTTTTCTGATTCAGTTTGTCTTATTTTTACGATAACTTTCTTGTCTTTGATGAATTTCTGGTTGCCTTCGCCTTCGAACTTGATTTCGAAGGCATCTTCTGTCATCTTTGTTGTCACCTTTGTCTTGAAGCTGTCAGAACCGTTTGTCAAACCACCATCATCGTCAATTACAGTGAAAGATGTTTCTCCGCATGGGAAGACCTCGAAAGTTGCTTCCTTCTTGTCCTGCAATGGAACCAAACCGCCAGCTCTCACAAAAAGTGGAATTGTTGACAGATTTCCGTAAATCATGTGCCAACCACCTTTGTACTGTCTTCCTGTCTGGTAGTCGAACCAGAGGGAGTCATCTGGCAACCAGACTGCGATGAACGAATGTCCTAAATCCTTGTCAATTGGATTTGTAATTGGACATGCAATGATATCATTGCCGATCAAAAATTGAGAAGGACAGTTATAAGCGGATTCACTTTCCTGGTAATCATAGTACATTGGCTTAATGATTTGATCACCGAAGGAAAGTGAGTAGAAGAGAGGTGTGAGTTTGCAGTGGAACTGCATTGCTTTGATTGCGAGTTCTTCAATGGTTTTCTCGTATCCCCATGGAAGTCTTTCGTGGAAAATGTTTCTGTTTGAGTGCATTCTCAATATTGGGAATAATGCACCTGTTTGAACCCATCTGAGGTACAATTCGCCTGTCTCGTGTCCGCCGTAGTGGCCGCCAATGTCATGTGACCAGTAGTTGAAGCCAATGTTGGCAGCAGTGCTTGTGAAATATGGTTGGAACTGTAATGATGACCATTCAACAAAAGTGTCGCCAGAAAATCCGATAGGATATCTTTGGCCACCTAATCCGCACCATCTTGAGAGAATGAGTGGTCTTCTCTTGCGTCCGTTGTCCTTGAAGTGCCAGTTGTTGAGAGTAATGAGTGGATCAACCTTTTCGTCGTTTTGTTGTTGCCAATCAATCCACCAGAAATCAACTCCTTGTTCTTCAAGGGGATGGAGGACACAATCGAAGTAGTTGGTCATGAATTTAGGATCTGAACCACAGAATTTAACTGGTTCTGGTGGTGTTACGCCCATCCTTTTCGCCATCTTTTCATATTGCATCTCGTGGCTCTGAATTCCTTCCGCTGGATGGAGATTCATTGTAACTTGGAGGCCGCGCTTGTGTAATTCGTCAAGAAGGTTCTGTGGATCTGGAATTAATTTCTTATTCCATGTATAACCTGTCCAGCCGTCGCAATGCCAGTCCATATCAATGACATAGACGGAAAGAGGTATATTGTGCTTGATAAATTCGTCGGCAACGTTGATCATTTCTTGGGAAGTGTATGGCCAGTATCTGGACCACCAGATTCCGTAGGCGTAACGAGAAATGATTGGATTCTTGCCACTCATCTGTAGGAAGTCATGGAGACAGACTTTGTAGTCATGATCATATCCAAAGAAGTAGCAATCGATTTCTGATGTGTTCGGTTGAACAGAACCATCTTCAAAGATGTATGCTGACTTATCTTCATAAAATGTAAAGCCATCACGTGAGATTAAGCCAGGTCCGAGTGGGCAAGAGCCTGTGACCATATCTAATGTACGAATTGTTCCGAAAAGATCTTTCTCTGGCTTTGTGCCAAATTTCCATGCAAATTTTTCTGCAAAAATTTGGAAATTCTCCTCATTTGGTTGGCATTCTTTACTTTTGGCAATCAAAGTCAAAGTATCTGTTTTAATTGTTAGATGCTCATCTGTTGGAATGCTTTCAAATTGAACAACAGGCATTTTACGATTTATAAATGATATTGTTGCTTGATCTACAAATTTTTTCTCAGAATTGTATTCAATACGTATGCACCTATTAGTAAGCACAGTAATTCTGTAGTTTCCCCACTGTACGATCGACGCTGGGTCGGAAAGAGGTTCAAAATTCTTGCTCATTTATCAATTGATTTCACTTGACGATATTAATCGTTGTGTTTTTATGGAAATATAATTTATGATGCAAATCATAATATAAGTAAAATAATCGTGTAAATTTTTGCCACATTTTTTGCATTCAATTATTTCTGACGATAGTGGATTTTTTTGAGTAGGGGTAATTTTAGCTAAAAGCGACACGCTTGTAAAAAGTGACACACCCGTGAAGGGTGTGATTACCGATCGGTAATTTCGACAGTTTAGAATTTAAAATTTTTTATGGAACTGTTGCGAGTTTCATAAAGAATTTAAGGAATATAAGCAAAGATTTGAATCAAAATCTTAGACCTAAGCCGATCGCTTCGCTCGCGGCTTTCTTTATTATTTTAAATTTGCATATTTCCATCAAAAGTTCATAAGGTAAAAAATTTCGTTTATATTATTGCAAAATAAAATCTTCATTATCAAAATAATATTAAATGATAATATAATATAATTTATAAACAACTATTATTTAATAAAGTTTAATTGCCAAGGTTCATCTAATTTTTTGATTTTTAATGTTTTATGAATTTTATTTATCATGTATATATCTAATGAAGATTATATATGTAGAAGATAAGTACCTTAATATGTACGTAAAAATTAATGAAATTTATTTTGAATGTAGAACCGAGCAATTTTCAAATTTTGTGCTTTTTTTGAATTTTCTCGATACCAGATAAGTTGTGTTGGCTAAATAATATATGGATACAATGTGTCTTATAGATGAATATATGCACAAAGTTTAAGAGGCCATTTTCTTTCAGAAACCGAGATTTGTGAATTTTTTCAAATTTTGTGCTTTTTTTGATATTGAAATTTCATTTCATTTTTTTGATGCATATCGATGCACCATGCGAACTTAAAGAAAGGCTATCTTATATAGATGCTATGAAAGCTGTCATTGATAACGAATGCCATGCAGGTTGTCCATATCAATTAAAAAAAATCCAAATTTAGGGGGAACAAAATTAAAATTCAGGTGCAGTGCAGATAAATGTGAAGCATGTATCTCATTTCTAAAGGATGATGAAGAATATATCCTAACAGAATATAATGGAACACATAATCACAATCAAATCAAAGATGAGACAAAGAAATACCACACATTATCACAATGCTATCGTCGGGTACTTATTAATTTTATAAAACAGGGGGTGATCCGAAAATGGCTCAAATTGAATGCGACAAAAAACTTGATCTGGATGATCCACTTAACAGGCCATCTTTTTTGAATGCATCTTCAGATCAAATGAAAACAATTCAGGAAAAAGGAAATAAAAAGATCAAAGGTATTCAAAAGTACGATGATAATCAATTCAAGTCAACTCAATTATTTAAGGGTATCAAAGAACAAGAGTCACCAAAAGATTTAATTTATTTCGATGTCGATAATTACAACAAACCAAAGAAATTAATCTTTTATTATGCTTCTTTCAAATTTCTGGACATAATCAAAATTGTGAAAGAGCATTTTATTGATGCAACCCATTCATTACTTGAATTTAAAATGTTGTTTTACATGATATCAGCCAAATTTCCAAATACACATGCATTCCCAATTTTTCAATTTGTCGTTTATCCAAACACTTCAGAAAATATTGCATTCTGTCTCAAGGCATTTTTTAACTGGGCAAAAGTAAAACCAAAATATTTTATGTCAGATTGTGCACAAGAAATCGAAAATGCGATTATCAACTCTTTTCCAGAAGTTATCCTTCATTGGTGTGCAGTTCATGTAATGAGGGCGTTCAGAAAAAATTTGAAAGATTATGCATTTGAGAGTTCAGACAAATTGATATTAGATACAAAAATGAACTATCTTGCATACGGCAGAAATGGCAAGAAAGAATGGATTGAACCAACGTTCAAAAAAATTCTGGAAATAGCCGAAAAATTCCCAGAATTTTCAAAATACATACAAAATCAATGGATATCAAACCAAGAAAGATGGACAGCCGCTGAAAGAGATGAAAATTTAGCTCTCACAAATAACATTTCAGAATCGATTAACAAAAAAATTAAATATTACTACTTTGGCGGAACAATTTTCATGAGATTTGATCGATTTGTGATGAAATTAATCGATTTTATCGTTCCTTCATTTTATTACAGAATTTCTCAAGATATAAGGCTCAGAGACAAAATTCCAAATCCGTTGCCATCTGAAAAAAAGCCAAAAAAGTCTACAATCAGACTGGATACAGAAAAATGTATAATGCTCACTGATAAAATTAAATCGTTAATAGTTAACTCATCAGCAAACTTAAATACGCTTCAATTGGGTTTAGATGACCTACTTGATAAAGTTGTCAAGGCAGCAAAGGTTCAAAAACGAATGACCCAGTATTTTTCGAAATTAAGTATCCCAATGGAAATCAAGCTTAGTATTCTCACGCAAATTACAGAATTTGGATGCAATACCCCTCAATTCATTGTTGAGAATGCCAAGTCTTTTCAAGATAAAATTATTACAGATTTCCACCTTCAAATTTATACAACATTATAAAAATTTATGAATAAAAACTTGATATAAAATAACATTTTTATTTTTACTAAGAAAAAAAAGGTTTTTGATAATAAATTTATTTTATTTCGAAAAAGTAGCAATAATCGTAAAAGGGTATTGATAGGCTTGCTAAAGTAACTAATTTTAGCTGTCAAATACTTTTGTATTTTGAAGTAAATTAGTATAAATTTGTTTTTACTTTTATTTCGAAAAAGTAGCAATAATCGTAAAAGGGTATTGATAGGCTTGCTAAAGTAACTAATTTTAGCTGTCAAATACTTTTGTATTTTGAAGTAAATTAGTATAAATTTGTTTTTACTTTTATTTCGAAAAAGTAGCAATAATCGTAAAAGGGTATTGATAGGCTTGCTAAAGTAACTAATTTTAGCTGTCAAATACTTTTGTATTTTGAAGTAAATTAGTATAAATTTGTTTTTACTTTTATTTCGAAAAAGTAGCAATAATCGTAAAAGGGTATTGATAGGCTTGCTAAAGTAACTAATTTTAGCTGTCAAATACTTTTGTATTTTGAAGTAAATTAGTATAAATTTGTTTTTACTTTTATTTCGAAAAAGTAGCAATAATCGTAAAAGGGTATTGATAGGCTTGCTAAAGTAACTAATTTTAGCTGTCAAATACTTTTGTATTTTGAAGTAAATTAGTATAAATTTGATATTATTTTAACTCCCTTTGAAAACCTCAATTTTCCATACAGAGGGAACGGGAATAGCATCCAATATTCCCTGAGAATGGTTGCGCATTCTCAGTTCCCTCTATATTTCGAACGAAGCTCTCATCGGTCTTTTTTTTAATACTAAACTTTTTTTTTCCTGTCACTTTTAGCGAAAATTTGGGTTTGCCGATTTTTTTTCACTTAACATGACATTGTAACAGATCATATTTAAATATGATAATTAAATTTACATTATTGAATACCATTTTTTTATCATGTTTGATTGTGAACTTGATGAAGAAAAATTCTTTATCAAAAAAAAATATCGATTTTGTAGATCTAAATACTCAATAATGTCTAACATTACACTGATTAATACGAAAAATATAATAAAAATATTCAAGAGTAACGCTAAGTGGTTCACCAATCAATTGACTGTGAGAATTGCTATCGAATCAAATTTCGTCGTGGAATACAAGTGAATTAGTAAGTTATGTTAAGGATGTCAATTCGGAAAATTGTTTTCGTTTTAGGAGAATATAATTTTCCGTTTGGAAAATTTAAAAAGTGAGACGCGCAGGATTCGAACTTTATTAAAAGTTGATTTAAATATATTCTAGTGTGGAATCTAAGGATAATATCATATTTAAAATAAGAATATACGAGTTTAGGTAGTTTTATTTTTTCGATAAATTTGAGAGCATGTACGTTTAGGGCATCAAAAGTGTCAATTCGCTCAGCGAAAGCTGAGCTAGCTTCGTTCTCGAAAGAATAGGGAAGGAGTGAAGGAGAGTCATACAGATATTGACACATTCATATCATTTCAACAAATTTTGATCAAATTGAAATTCAATGAAATTCAATTCACTTCATATCCTTCAGTCAGTACATTGACATCCTTCTACATCACAATTATAACTCGGGCATCAATAGTTCTACAACTAACTCAGAAAAAAACAAGATTTTTACTTCCAGCTTACAGCTTTTAAAAAGTTTCGATGATAAAAATCACTCTACTCTTGTTTATAGATATGTGGTGATAGTAGGTAAACATATTCTTATCGATTTTAATAAAAATATTTTTACGAAAATCTGAGCCAATTACAGAGTTATTCATAAAGTCCATGATAACTGTAATTACTTCATCTTTGTTTTATATTTGAATAAACAATTTAATTTAAATTGCATAATATTTTTTGGTTGAAAGACAGGAAACTTAGTTGAGTTTGTATTATTTTTATCGTTTAATTCATCGTATCAGTGAGTGATCCAGATATTTAAGATATTTAGAAAAAAATTATTATTTTGATTAACAAATTTTAATCAAAATAGCAAAAATCTGTTTGATAGCTGTAAACAAACAATAATTTTTATTTCAAGCAAAATCACTTATTTTCATCTAAACGTATAAAATTGTCAATTTTATGAAAATAAATTGAAAATCTCATGAAATGTAAAGGAGAGTAATATTTTTCAATTTTCTTTTTTTCTTTGTCTCAAATATTTTCTGTTGGGAATTTTCTTGTTATCAAAAAATAATTTTAATATTTGTTTATTTCATTACATACAATAAAATTTTAAAAACTCTATTTCTTCACAAGAAAATTTTTTTCCTTCATATGAAGAAACATTTTGTTCTCCATTTGATACTGAGTCTAAATCTCGATTTTTGAATTTTCTTCTTTCCAAATTTCTTTTTTCCAAATTAGAAGTTTAATTCAAATTTTCAATAGTTTATATATTTTCTCAAACCGTCTCAGATTTTCTCACTTTTTAGGGATTTTCTCTCAAAATATACAAAAATAGTAATATCAATACATGTGTCTAATATACTTTAAAAGCATCTTGACAAAATTCAAAAACGAAGAGTTCTTCTCTCCAAATTTTTTTCAAAATCAAAAAAATGAGATAAAAAAATACGTTTGGGAAATTCATTTTTAGCATTTTAGGAATTTTCTCACTTTTCTTCCAAATTGACATCCTTAGTTATGTTTGTTTTAATAATATTTTTATAGTTATCCAATCTTCAATCAATGAAAGATTCTCGGAGGGTTCTGTAAACTGGATATATTTAATTTAGAGGCAATATTATAATAGAGATAATAATTTATGCTCATATTTATAGTTATATGGCTCAACTACTGATTTTCAAAAGAAATTGATCGGAATTCATGACAAAATTCAAAATTATTTACTTGTTCGATATCAAATATAGTCCAAATATCTTTGAGGCATATATTTTTTTAAACAAGAGTAAAAAACCCAACGTTAGAAATTGGAGATGTGTTATCGTAAATTTGAAAAAAAAACTTCTGAAAACTATTGTATACATTTTGGGGTGATCGTTGAAGTTAATCGTAACTCTAAATGGAGATAAAGATAGGAGAAAGTTGGAACTTCATTTCCATATTATGAGAGACCTTGAGGCTTCAGAGGAAATATGATTAGAACCAACTATGTGTGAAAGATACTAAGGTTAAACATGAATTTAAGATTGAGAGGAAATACCATCAAGCTATTCAAAATTTTTGTAAACTTCACAAATATCCTGACTGAATTGAATTATTAATTTCAACAAAAATTGAACAATCATGGGAAAATTATGAAGCTCGATAAAAAGAATACCATAATGGTAATATTTAGATAAATCTACAACAAAACCGAAAATAATAACAAGATAATATAAATTCTTTCTGAATTAGATCAAGAAATTCTGGATAGAATATTTCTCAATAGGGTTAATTTGAGGAACATTGACATTAAGATCCTTCTTACTACTAGTTGCTGGCCTGTTGCGTGACTCAACTCGTTCAGCTGAAAGTATGAAACCTTCAATAGTTGTGACTTCAAGACCTAGACCAAGACCTTTTCTAACAATAGTGTTATATCTGTTCTTAATGTTGTTACGCGAGCGTGTTGGGAAAAATCTAACTAGTAATTCCCACTTCTTTCCGTATTTTTTAACTTTATGGAAGAGGAGTCTATCTTCATCTTTACTCCAAGGACCTTGTGAAAGCCTTGGACTAAGGTAATTAGTCCATCTTTCTCTGCATTGTCTAGATGATCTTGTTCCTATTTGACGACTTAGATATTCCCATTGGTTTTCACCGTACTGTTCAACAAGTTTCCTAAGAAGATTATCTTCTTCTTCGGTAAACAATGTTCTGTACTGAGTTGGTTTCTCATTGACGGAGAGGTTGGATTTAGAAAGCATGTTCTAATAATGTCACATTTTGCTTTCCACAAGTAATTTCAGAATTTTCCCGTAACTACATTCAAACCCTGTCAAATTTCAAGCCACTGAATTGAGGGTGAATTTCGGTTTGTCAGAAATCCCTTAAAACCCAATCAAAAAATAAAAATTTACAATACCCAATCAAAATTGGAACTTTTAAAAATTTCAAATTTAGACAATCTTATTACGAGTACAATTTCGCAATTTAGTTTACGTTTCATTGAATTTCATGGCTGAACACTTTTGTTATAGAGCGAAAATAGATTTTTTCGGTTTTCTCTTCAAATAATTGAAAGAATGATACTATTATAGGTTTATTATATTATATAGCATATAATCATGCTATAGCCGAAAATTATAAGTTTTGAGAAGATTGAATATAACACAAATAAATTTGAATGTAAGTTAAATTGCTTGTTGTTTTTAATAGATATTTAATGAGAAATCCAATATTGCAAAATTCAAATTGAATGATTGAAAGAACAGAAAAAGTCATTCTTTTCAATTTCGAATATGTTTCATTGTATTTATAATTATATGGCAAATAAGATATTTAAACTTGATTTTTGAAGGAAAATTCACAAAATTGAATAAATTCAAATAATTTTATTCAAAAATAAACTAGTTATTTCAGTTTAATACTAATTATCTATTCAAACTACAAAGTTTGTAATTTAAAATATTTTGTGAGATCAGATTGAATTAATTCAAGGTTCTTTTCAATTAATATTAATGACTATATTACGCATTTTCGAACATTCTAAACCAAATATATAAAAATGGGAGACGAATGTTAAATTTGCTAGACATGGGGGAGTTGTCTGCAAAGTTTTAGCTCTTATCTCTAACAAAAAATTAATTTTTAAAAAAATGACCGAATACGTTTCACAGCGAGAAAAAAATAAAAGGCAAGATAGAATTTTCTAGACATAAAGAAGTTGTTTACCGAGTTTTAGCTCTTATCTCTAACAAAAAATTAATTTTTAAAAAAAATGACCGAATACGTTTCACAGCGAGAAAAAAATAAAAGGCAAGATAGAATTTTCTAGACATAAAGAAGTTGTTTACCGAGTTTTAGCTCTTATCTCTAACAAAAAATTAATTTTTAAAAAAATGACCGAATACGTTTCACAGCGAGAAAAAAATAAAAGGCAAGATAGAATTTTCTAGACATAAAGAAGTTGTTTACCGAGTTTTAGCTCTTATCTCTAACAAAAAATTAATTTTTAAAAAAATGACCGAATACGTTTCACAGCGAGAAAAAAATAAAAGGCAAGATAGAATTTTCTAGACATAAAGAAGTTGTTTACCGAGTTTTAGCTCTTATCTCTAACAAAAAATTAATTTTTAAAAAAATGACCGAATACGTTTCACAGCGAGAAAAAAATAAAAGGCAAGATAGAATTTTCTAGACATAAAGAAGTTGTTTACCGAGTTTTAGCTCTTATCTCTAACAAAAAATTAATTTTTAAAAAAATGACCGAATACGTTTCACAGCGAGAAAAAAATAAAAGGCAAGATAGAATTTTCTAGACATAAAGAAGTTGTTTACCGAGTTTTAGCTCTTATCTCTAACAAAAAATTAATTTTTAAAAAAATGACCGAATACGTTTCACAGCGAGAAAAAAATAAAAGGCAAGATAGAATTTTCTAGACATAAAGAAGTTGTTTACCGAGTTTTAGCTCTTATCTCTAACAAAAAATTAATTTTTAAAAAAATGACCGAATACGTTTCACAGCGAGAAAAAAATAAAACTGTACACTGATTTTAATTTTCATTTCCAGTCACTTTACTTATTATTTTTTCTTTTTTTCATTTTAGTTATAAATTATTTCATAATACGTTTATTTACGTTACCATTTTCTTTATTCTTTTGAATTCCATACTAGACACTTATAGAATATTTTGATTGTTAACGTACTTCATTAGAATGAATCCTTACAAAGGGTATGTCGATCGAATTTACCTAATTGGTATTTCCAATCAGATTGAAGAAGGTAAAATGACATGGGAAGAAGCTTGCACCCATGTTCCCATCGCCCCAACCCTTCAATCAAATGATTTCAAATATTTAGATGTTTCAAAATCTTTTTTACAAAATCAATTTAGCTTACAGAATATCCCATTGCCTAAAGGCAAGAAAGGTCGTAGGGTCAATCCCTACGACCAAATCAAAGCTCTTGCTGTGATACATGACCACTGGGCCTTTCCCTGTGGTCAAACAAAACAATGGAAACGTTTGAAATTACAACAAATTGATGTATCTTATAGAGAAGTACGCAGATACTTCAAAGAAAATCATTTCACCAAGACGCGATTAGAGCATGCCGGGCCAGAAACAGCAGTAAGATATTGGGCGCTTTCACCCAATCTTATCTGGCACGCAGATGTTCATTATTTTAGGGGTGTTCGTGGCCAGTATATTTATGGCATAATCGACAATTTTAGCCGCAAAGTCCTAGCGTGTATACAAATACCAGATATGCTGGCAGCGACGACAGCGAACGTTGCGGCTTCCGCCTTCATTGAATTTGGCGCCCCTTATTGTTTCTGGACCGACAACGGTTCAGAAAATAGGGGCGCCTTTCAAGATCTACTTGATCTTTGGGGCGTCCAATGGCGGCATACAGACTCTCATTCTCCCTACCAAAATGGGAAGATTGAGAGATTCTGGCCGACATTGGAGCGCTGCCAAAGCATTCAGACTATTCCTGCCTTTATTTGGGAGTACAATAATAACACACCGCATGAAGATCTCCTAATTAATCCATTAACTGGAACAAATTACACGCCAAATCAAATGTATCAGCTGAAACCGAAATACACAAATGCAGATACAGAAAGGTTGTGGCAAATATGGGATACAGATACAGGCATGACTGCTGTTGACACATTCACAGCGTAATAATAAACATAATTTTTTAATTTCATTTTTAACAAGTTTTTTTAAATGTATGTAATGAATAATTCATTAGAATATGATAATGCACATTGTAACAGAATAGAACAATCACCAAATTTTTTTTGAAATTAAAAAATAAAAGTAAAAAGTATAAAGTAATCTAACCAAAAAAGATATTTAAAAGAATTTTGGAAAAAACAGAATAAGGATAATGATATTATTTTAGATACACAATCGATGTACTGAAGAATAATCCGGTAAAATGATGATATAAAATTAGATTATTTTACAAATAGCTAAAAGAATAAAACTATAATATAAAATAAATGAAGTTTAATGAAACAATAAAGGTTAAATAAATAATAAAGATTTTTATTTTATATCAGTATTGAGAAGAAGTAACAGCTGACACTTGGTAGACAACTTCTTTATGTCTAGAAAATTCTATCTTGCCTTTTATTTTTTTCTCGCTGTGAAACGTATTCGGTCATTTTTTAAAAATTAATTTTTTGTTAGAGATAAGAGCTAAAACTCGGTAAACAACTTCTTTATGTCTAGAAAATTCTATCTTGCCTTTTATTTTTTTCTCGCTGTGAAACGTATTCGGTCATTTTTTTAAAAATTAATTTTTTGTTAGAGATAAGAGCTAAAACTCGGTAAACAACTTCTTTATGTCTAGAAAATTCTATCTTGCCTTTTATTTTTTTCTCGCTGTGAAACGTATTCGGTCATTTTTTTAAAAATTAATTTTTTGTTAGAGATAAGAGCTAAAACTCGGTAAACAACTTCTTTATGTCTAGAAAATTCTATCTTGCCTTTTATTTTTTTCTCGCTGTGAAACGTATTCGGTCATTTTTTTAAAAATTAATTTTTTGTTAGAGATAAGAGCTAAAACTTTGCAGACAACTCCCCCATGTCTAGCAAATTTAACATTCGTCTCCCATTTTTATATATTTGGTTTAGAATGTTCGAAAATGCGTAATATAGTCATTAATATTAATTGAAAAGAACCTTGAATTAATTCAATCTGATCTCACAAAATATTTTAAATTACAAACTTTGTAGTTTGAATAGATAATTAGTATTAAACTGAAATAACTAGTTTATTTTTGAATAAAAATTATTTGAATTTATTCAATTTTGTGAATTTTCCTTCAAAAATCAAGTTTAAATATCTTATTTGCCATATAATTATAAATACAATGAAACATATTCGAAATTGAAAAGAATGACTTTTTCTGTTCTTTCAATCATTCAATTTGAATTTTGCAATATTGGATTTCTCATTAAATATCTATTAAAAACAACAAGCAATTTAACTTACATTCAAATTTATTTGTGTTATATTCAATCTTCTCAAAACTTATAATTTTCGGCTATAGCATGATTATATGCTATATAATATAATAAACCTATAATAGTATCATTCTTTCAATTATTTGAAGAGAAAACCGAAAAAATCTATTTTCGGTCTATAACAATGGCTGAACACTTTTGTTCAAATGCAAATAAGATAATATGTGTCACCAATGTAGTTAAATCATTTTGGACGGACTTTTGAGTTTAATCATAATCCTTCATTGTTTGATATCTTCTCAATTGATTGTCATTGAGAAAACAAACCTTGCATTGTATTATGCTTTAGTTCACGATTCCAGAGATATAATTTTGGGATAATATTATTTCATTTTTTGAAGATTCAATTTGATGAACTGATAAAATCAAAATCACTTGACATAAGTTTTGGATCGAGACATACAAACGATTTTTTAAATCTGGTGATAATAATTATATCACCTTGAAACTTTTCAATGGTTTCCGAGTTTTCTAAGCTTTTTCAGCCGATGAAATTATGTTTCGAAAATTGTTTAGAGTATGTTGGTACTATTAATTAGGTTAGAATGATATTATGAAGTTCCGTTGCATATTTTGAGAAAGATATAGCAAACCGCAAAAACAAAGAATAAATGTCTCTGCAAAACATAAATATATTCATTAGACGATTCACCTTTTGCAAAGTTAGATTCAATTAACCCTATTCGTCTAAAATTTCAAAAACTTTACTATATCGAATGAGAACTTAATTCAGATCATATTTTCTTGCCTAATTAATAAATACAGCTGATAAATACCATAAAAGTATAGTTTTGAAGAAAGAAGAGATTTATCTTTAGTAAGCACAAAAAAAACTTCGTCAAAACTTTATCGAGTTTAAAGCACTACTAGTTTGTAGTCGATTAAGATAAGGATTTCGGATAGTGAAGCAGATTTTAATCTGTTTATTGAGATAAGATACTTAATATGATTTAAATAGTTTGGTATGTTTTATAAATTAACAGTATGAGAAAATGCTAACTGACATTAAGATTTATTTAGTAAATGTAAAAATTGGATATTAATATTTCCATTTCTTGAAGGTTTTTTTGACTTAAATCTGTTATACTCGCACCAGAAACATCGATCCTCTTTGGTTCATTTTTCCAAAAATTGTGCAAATTGCTAAATATGTTTGCAAAATTCTAGAGCTTTACATTGATTTTTACAAAATTGATTTTTTTTGGAAATTTGAGGTTATTTTTTAATTAATTTTATTTTTCTGATGAAATTAGGCATTAATCAAAGATTTTAAAACGATAAAACAACTCTATTTTTCAAATAATACATTTTTTATTCAATAATTTCACGTTTGTATAAAAAACAAAATGATCGGAATCAAATTTATTACTTTTAATCAAATGTTTAGCAATTCAGTATGTGAAGAGAAAACGTTTGACAAAATCTTACTTGTATTTATTAATAACTGCAATTCATATACGATGATTTGTATTTGCACAGTAAATTGTATGATTATGTGAATTAAGCAAATATATTTTATTCCATCACTGCAATTTTTGGATCAATTAATGTTCAGGGCTGTAAAACAAACAAGCTAAGTACATCAATATCTAAAATTCAAACAAGAGATACAACACCTTATTAAATGGGCCGTAAATTTGTAGCCTATTGCAATACAATTCATGAGCTTCTCGCCAAAATGAAGGGTTTGACTTGAAATAAAATCATCCTTTTGAAATAATCTAAAAAACGCTACCAATAGTAAATAAGCTTGATGTGGTTGCAATACCTTGGAAAAGGAAATGCATTGATGTAATTCAAGTTGAAATAGTTTTTATTAGAAATTTAACATGTTTAACAGCTATTCGAGTAGGTTCTCATCGAATTTCTAACTTGGAGAATACTAATGTATGATTAATTGGAGAATCAGAATTCACTTACTGACATGGATTGAGCAATTTTATGATTCATCTACGTAGTATCAGAGCTAGATGATAGTATGCAGGAATATCGGACAATATTTTGAGGATTAGTGTTTATAGAATCCGATTTGAAAAATTTAGACTATGCTCTTAAAGTAATAGCAGCCCAACTTCGTCAAGAAACAAAAGTATTTTAATCTTTTCATGAATTGTGATCCATATGCAACATGTATAGAAAAAGTATATTTTGAGAAGCTGTTCTTTATCAAATTAACACAGAATTCTTTTCCATCTTATACTAATGAAGTAATCCAAGGTCTTGGGTAGATATGTATTGTTAAATTTACTGGAGAATGTAATTTATTTTAAGGTGAGAGTATGAGATGCTATTAAATTTCACGCAGGATGAGAAAGAAATAATTATTCATTATTAAGGAATAAGGGTTTCGTTTTGCTAAAATTGTCACTTTTATAGCATATTTGTTTTTGGATGTTTTGCGAAACCAAAAAAAAAACTATGATATACAATGTGTGTGTAAAGAAAATACTTTATTTACTAGTTAAAAACTCATTTGGTATTGATCAAGTTATTTTTTCTGGATAAGATATTATATGGATAATTGGATAGAAAATACAATTATATAATCTTGTACCTGGTTTAATTAAGCTAATTGTCATCAAAAACTTGTAATTTTTATGAATTTCAGATTTTCTTTTCATTACTGCTTTTCTTAATAGGTCAAGTTCTTATTTACGTTATAAAGTATGATATTTACAAATATCAAGTTATCGTGTTTTTTGAGAAATTATGAGAAACAAACAAAAATGAAAAAGATAGGAATAGCAATGAATAGTGATGTGGGTATAGAAAATGTAAGAGATATGAATGCAAAGCAATCAGTATTTAGGACATTGACCATAGATTTCGAAAAAAATGCTGCATATTGAGCGAAAACTATGATTATATTATAAGGCTGTCATTTAAAGCATAATGAAACTATTCCCTTTTCATTTTAATCGAATAAGATAGTAAAGATTTTTGAATTAGCTAGAAACTGATGAGATGTTTTCACAAATCAGATTTTTAATCTCTATAATGCATAATTCACTCAATATCTCAATTTTGATATTGCGAGATATTTTTGCTATCGGTTTCGCAATTTTGACACAATAGCAAGAGGGTTCTATAAGCATTATTATCAACGTAGAATCTGAATATCATATCAGAAAATGTCGCAAATCTGACATTTACCCGACCAAATAGCAAAAATAATTGAATACTTTTCGCCAAAACTTTAAAAATCGATAAAAATATGAAATATAGATATTAAAGAGACTTTTTATATAATATTCATAAAGATTTTCCAAAAATATGATACCGCAAAATTAAAAAAGTGACGTCTTGAGTGGAGTCAAAGGTCGAAATTGCTAGCTAAATGTTTTTTAGCGAAATTGCGTATTGTACGTTTTTTTCACAAAACGAAACCCTTATAAGGAAAAATGAAAAGATTGCTCTCTCATTTTTTGAGAGAAAAGTATTTTTTGAATTGATCGTCAAAAGATTGTTTTCAACATTGACAATCTGCACCTTTATATTAAAATATTTTAAGATTCAGAAAAAAATATTTTGAATACTGTTATTTCCATTGAAATTTTCATTATGACAGAGCAAGATATACAGACTGATGATTTGCAGATTTGCCCAATATGCCATAAAATGCGTCATCTTGGAATATTAGAAACATGCACAAAATGCAAAACAGAGCTAATTCATGATAAATCAATTTCAAATGCAGGTTTTTGTCCTATTTGCGAGCCTTTAATACCAAATCAGATTCTCGAAGAATGCTCACTAGCAATTGCTCAAGCAGCACCTGAAGAAATTGGCTGCACAATGTCGTCAAAAGAGAAAAAAGCAAAGAAGTATTATAAATCAATGAATACATGGATAGATACAATAGAAGAGTTGAATGATATAACAAATGATTCCCCCATTCCAGATGATAATATGGAAGCAAGTTGTTGTATAAGATGGGCCACTTATATCTCTTTTATAGCAAATCTCCTTTTGCTCGTTGCAAAAATTGTGGCCGTAACATCTTCTGTTTCATACACAATTATTTCATCTGTTACAGATTCTGCCCTTGATATTATTGCAGGAACAATCATATCATGCACTGCAGCCCATTCGACTTTCACACGAGAAGATCTTGATAAGTTTCCACTTGGTAAATCTCGAGTTCATGTTGTAGGAATTCTTATTTTCTCGGTTCTTATGGCAGCATGTGCAACATATCTCATATTACAATGTATATTATCCCTCATTGGCCACCAAGTACCTGAAAAAACAACCTTATCGGCGATTGTTATTATGGGTGCAACAATTGCAATCAAATTGACAATGGCAATAGTATATTATCTTCTTGGACATCCAATTACTAAAACCCTTGCAGAAGATCACAGAAATGATGCAATTACAAACTCTTTTGGATTGTTTATGTATTGGGGATCATCAAAAATTGGTTGGTGGATGGATTCAGCAGGTGGTATTATTCTATCATGTTTCATTGTTTTTTCATGGACAATGAATGCTATAGAGAATGCAAAGATGCTGCTTGGAAAATCCGCTCCACCAGATATAATAAGATCAATCACTTATGTTGCTGCTCATCATCATCCTCTAATCTTGTCTGTTGAACAAGTTATAGCATTTCAGGCTGGTCCTTTGTATCTTACTGAGCTTCATATCGTTGTTCCGGGAAATCTTCCATTGGAACTTGCTCATTGGATTGGAGAAAGCCTACAATTGAAAGTTGAAAGAATGCCATATATTGAACGAGCGTGGGTTCACGTTGATTGCGAATCTCATAATGAAAATGAACACGTTCTTTTTATGAGAGCATCAGGAAAACTTGAGCAAGAACCCCACGTCGAGCACAATTCAGTTGAACATAATACTCAAGATGCAAATGAATAATACACAAGAGTTCTTTTTACTTCTTCAACTTCTTGCTTAAGATTATCTTAGATGAATTACTCTTTCAACATTGTTACATACACTACCTCTATTATTTAAGGTCAATTTTAATTTTTGAACATCGAAATTGATAATTTTGAAATATCAAAATCTATAACATTATCAAATTGTATAGCAATTATATTAATTTATAACTGTTCATTTCATTCCAGCTTTGTTTTTTTAATAAATTTTCAATTAAAAATATCCATTGATATTCAGAAAGGATTTTTTGATGGATTATCTTAGAATGTGCTTGAATTATCATAAAATATTTATTGGTTTCATTAACCAAAGAAGAAATTAATTAATTATTATTGAATTTCATATAACATATTTCATAGAATAGAACAAGTTTATTTTGTAATAAACAGAAATTCATCAAAAGTGACAGCTCTCAATTTTTTGACATTTGTAAATTCTAAATTGAATGAGAAAAATGAAATAATACTAAGCATAATACAATATTCTAGATTTAATTATAATTAGGAAAAAGTTAGTTTTGAGAGTACTTTTCATAGGCATATAGAATGAAATCTTCTGAAAAATAATATCACATAAACTCATATTATTTTCTAATATATAACTATTTTATATAAAAATCAAATTCAATGATCTTAAAAGCGAAGGATAAACCTCAAAATTTACGAATATAATGAGTGGAAATATAATGCTTATCTATCATAAAACCATATGAAATATTAATTTTTGCTTTACGCCTAATTTTTGACGACAATTAGCAAAAAATGTTAAATGTTAACACTCAGTCCATTTGAATATGAAAAATAAAATTGACTTTGATTAAATGTTTTTATTTATCATGCAATTCTTCTTGCGACCAAAGATTTGAATAAAAGTTCAAAAAATAAGATAGCTTAAAAAATAATATACGGTAGTGTTTACTAATAGATGAATAGTATATAAATTCTATTAAAATGGATTTGATCCAAAAAAAATATAAAACCAAAAATAATTGTTATAATTTAAATGAAGAAGTAATTTAAAACGATTTTATTTATGATCAAATTTTATATATTTTTTTGGATCAAATCCATTTTAATAGAATTTATATACTATTCATCTATTAGTAAACACTACCGTATATTATTTTTTAAGCTATCTTATTTTTTGAACTTTTATTCAAATCTTTGGTCGCAAGAAGAATTGCATGATAAATAAAAACATTTAATCAAAGTCAATTTTATTTTTCATATTCAAATGGACTGAGTGTTAACATTTAACATTTTTTGCTAATTGTCGTCAAAAATTAGGCGTAAAGCAAAAATTAATATTTCATATGGTTTTATGATAGATAAGCATTATATTTCCACTCATTATATTCGTAAATTTTGAGGTTTATCCTTCGCTTTTAAGATCATTGAATTTGATTTTTATATAAAATAGTTATATATTAGAAAATAATATGAGTTTATGTGATATTATTTTTCAGAAGATTTTGTGTTCTTCTTCAAAATTTTATTTTTTTATTAAAAAGAATCTTTACAAAATATACATTTACTTTAATTAATATTTAAAAACGTGCTCTATCAAAAGTTCCAAAAATTCAATATTTTAGCTTTTCTGATGTGTCACTTTTGATGAATTTCTGTTTACAACAATTTCATCAAAATAAAACATGACAGCTTGGTATTTAAATATAATTCAAAAAAAATTAAACAGTTTTAACGAAATTTCCAGTGTTCAATCTAAATTATGATGAAGTACCAAGATCATTTATTAATTTCACAAATTCATCAATATGGAGATTAATTTTGAGAGAAAGTTGATACATTTTTTCCCAAAATAATTTGAATAATTTGTGAAAATATTTCAAATCCGGATGAGCTCATCTATTTAGCATTAACAGACAAATTGGATCCTTTTATTCATCCATACTTCGCTTACCTTGATTAATTTTTTTTATGAATTAGATTACTTGATTAAAAACAAAGATATTGGGGGTAAGATCACAATATCATATACTTTTTAATATTACAAGGAATAGCTCTCAAATATGTATCTAATGCTTTCAATTAATTTAAGGAATTAAAGAAGTTGGTATTTATGATGTCATATCTCTTCTATGTATCTTAAAGCTTAATTCAATTATTCATTTTGCTCATTATGATCGTAATGCTTATTTTTGAATTTCGAAACAAATTTTTTCAATAACATTTGAAAATAACTGACACTTTTATCTGTTAACAATTTTTTCAAAGGTTTTGTAAGATGTTTTCGGAGAGAATTTCATTTCTAACATTATGGATTTATTGTTATTACGCAATATTTTTTAAAAAGATTTTTGATTGTGCTATCGGAATATCATTCAATTATTTGTATCATGTCTCGTATGCAACAGACAGGAGAAATTTTAGAAATGACATCCAAACTTGCCTCACCTGAGCAGAGTGATCGCGATTTTGCTTTCAGCAGGCTTGTCACACTCGAAGCCCAGAATGTAGAGTGTGTTCAAGCTTATGCTAACTTTTGTGGTTATCGCTCTTCAGATCCAAAGGCAGAGATTCGTACACGACGCTTCATTGGCATCTTCAATGAGAGATACTTGGAAGCTCAACCCCAAATTTCAGATTTGGCCATTTCACAACTTCTTAACGAGTTCGAGAAGCCAGATCCACAACTCAAGGGTATTATTGTACGCCAGATTGGTAGACTTATTAATGATGGAAATGTCGAGAGACTTATTCCGATTGTAATGAGAGCCTGTTCTTCTGATGATCCATACGTAAGGAAGGCCTCTGCACTTTCTATTCTTGCTATCCATCAATCACGTTCATCATTCCTCGAAAAATATAAATTAACTGCACAATTAAAGCGTTTAGTTGAAGATTCGAATCCTAATGTTGCAGCTAATGCTGTTTCAGCACTTAATGAAATCAACCAAACTCGCGATACTCCAATTTTCGAACCATCATTTTCAACAATTAACAATTTACTTGCATCCATTGACCAAACAACAGAATGGGCTCAAGTACAGATCCTAGATTATACCTGCAATTACAAGCCAGATAACGCCAATGACGCTCGAGGAATTATTTCTCGTGTAACATCTCGTCTTTCACATGCAAATGCAGCAGTTGTCTTATCAGCAATCAGATGTTGCCTCCAGATGAACATTTACATTGACGATCCATCTAAAGTCCGTGAAACACTAACTAGAGTTGCTTTACCATTAGTAACTTTACTTAATAACACAGCACCAGTTCAATATGCTGCCATCAAGTCCATCTTAATCTTATTACAGCACTACAAGAGACTTTTCTCAAGTGAAGTTTCGATCTTTTTCTGCAAATTTGATGATCCACCATACATCAAATTGGCCAAGCTTGACGTCATTCTTACACTCTGCAGTGCCGCAAATGTAGGAAAAGTACTTGAAGAACTCTACGATTACGCTCAACAAGCTGATGTTGAATTTGTTAGAAAATCTATAGCAGCTATTGGTAAAATTGCAATTACATTCGAAGCAGCAGCATCTTCATGTGTTGATAAGATTGTAGCTTTAGTTGACAACAAAATTGAATATGTTGTTCAGGAATGTATCGTTGTAGCGGCCGATATCTTCAGAAGATATCCATTCCAGTATCTTGGAATCCTTTCCAACATTTGTGGAGCTTTGGGATCGAAGCTTGATGATCATCGCGCAAAAGCAGCAATGGTATGGATTATTGGCGAATACGCCGATAGAATTGGCAACGCTGGTGACTTGTTAGATGCCAATTTTATCGATGATTTCCTAGAAGATACTCCTGATGTTCAATTAGCTGTATTAACTGCAGTTTTCAAGTACTTCTTGGTCAACCAAGAGGATGCTCAGGATATGTTCCAATCAGTAATTACTATGGCAACATCCCAAGTTGATAATCCTTCAATAAGAGACAGAGCATTTCAATATTACTGGTTAATCTCAGAATGTAGCGAATATGCTCAACAGGTTATCATGCCAGAACAAAAGCCACTCATTAAGGCTGAACTATACTCATGCGATGATGAATTGGTCAAATCATTAATTCCAAATATCGGAACTTTGGCAGTTTTATACAACAAGAGACCAGAAGAATTCGTTGAAAATGTCAAGATCATGACATCTATCGGTGATGATTTTAACGTTGTCTCATCTGGTTTTGAACTCCCAATTGTTGTTCAAGGAAAGTCGACAAACTCACTGGAAGTTAGAGGATCATTGATTATGATAGGTAAAGAGTCACAAATAGCTCTCAAAATCACAAATTTCAGTGAAAATTCAGACCAAATCAAAGATATCGCGTTCAACAAGAACATTTTCGGATTTGCACCAGAGCAAAACAACTTCGCGAAGGATGTTCAGTCCCAGAAATCGATTTCTTTGACAGTAACAATTGGCTTCGATGCAAATTACATGGAAGGTGCTAGACCAACACCTAATTTGGACATTGCTATATTGACTAACTCACCTCAGCCATTGATATTCTCCGTTCCAATGAAACTGGAGACAATTTTGGTTACAGATAAAGATGGCGGCAAATTTACACGCGAAGAATTCGTCAAATTCAGGCAATCTCTTCCTCCATCAGCAGAGTTAACAACATCAGTTGATAACGCAAGAGTTGACTCAATTCCTGTATCTAAGAACCAGTTAAATTCCAAGAGATTGTATTTCAATGCGAAAAAGGACACAACTGCTTATTTCTCAGGAAAAACGATCAAAGGCGAAAACCTTGTTGTTTTCCTTTCTTTCTCTGAAGGAGGAAAAGTTCAAGTTGGAATCAAGATGAGTGATTCAACAGTAGCATCTGTTATATTAGAACTCGTCAAATCTATTATCCAATAAACATATATTTCTTTGATTTTTTTTAGTTAATTCAATAATTTTATTCATCCTATAGTTATCTATACATCATAAAATTACACCATCCTTATTAAAAAAAATTATAAGGGTAGTAATTGAGTAGTTTAAGACAAGGTTCTTCGGAGACCTCTCATCGACTGAGAGAATTCGGAAGAACATTGTTCAAATAGAGTGATTATTCATCCGTGTACCATTATGGGCTATGGAACAGTTGTGTGGCAATTTGAAAATAAAAATATCTAAAAAAGATTGACTTAAAAATAAAATCCGAAACTTTTTCTATTCAATATTTCATAGACATCGGGTGAACTCCAATTCAGAGAGCTTAAAAATAAAAAAAAAGAAAAAAAAGGTCACTTTTTAAGGATTATTTCTAAAAAATCGTGCCACTTTGCAGAAAAATTTTAAATGAAATTCATCTTCGAATATATCAGAAAAAGTAATTATATATTTGCACCATGTGAAATAAGAAGTTCGGCTGTTGCTTTACTATTAAGTTGTGTTGCTATATGAAGAGCAGTTTCTCCATTTATATCTTTTTCATTGATATTTATACCATGTGAAATAAGAAGCTCGGCTATTTCTTTTCTGTAATAAAGTATTGCAATATGAAGAGCGGTTCTTCCTTCATTATCTTTTTCATTGATATTTGCACCATGTGAAATAAGAAGTTCGGCTGTTGCTTTACTATTAAGTTGTGTTGCTATATGAAGAGCAGTTTCTCCATTTATATCTTTTTCATTGATATTTATACCATGTGAAATAAGAAGCTCGGCTATTTCTTTTCTGTAATAAAGTATTGCAATATGAAGAGCGGTTCTTCCTTCATTATCTTTTTCATTGATATTTGCACCATATGAAATAAGAAGTTCGGCTGTTGCTTTACTATTATAATCAGCTGCAATATGAAGTGCTGTTTCTCCTTCATTATCTTTTTCATTGATATTTGCACCAAATGAAATAAGAAGTTCGGCTGTTTCTGTACTATTATTATATGCTGCAATATGAAGAGCGGTTTTTCCAGTTTTACCTTTTTCATTGATATTTATACCATGTGAAATAAGAATTTCGGCTGTTTCTTTTCTATTCTCATATGCTGTAGTATGAAGAGTGGTTCTTCCTTCATTATCTTTTTCATTGATTTTTATACCATGTGAAATAAGAATTTCGGCTGTTTCTTTTCTATTCTCATATGCTGTAGTATGAAGAGCAGTTTCTCCATTTATATCTTTTGCATTGATATTTATGCCATGTGAAATAAGAATTTCGGCTGTTTCTTTTCTATTCTCATATGCTGTAGTATGAAGAGCAGTTTCTCCATTTATATCTTTTGCATTGATATTTATGCCATGTGAAATAAGAATTTCGGCTGTTTCTTTTCTATTCTCATATGCTGTAGTATGAAGAGTGGTTCTTCCTTCATTATCTTTTTCATTGATTTTTATACCATGTGAAATAAGAATTTCGGCTGTTTCTTTTCTATTCTCATATGCTGTAGTATGAAGAGCAGTTTCTCCATTTATATCTTTTGCATTGATATTTATGCCATGTGAAATAAGAAGTTCGGCTATTTCTTTTCTATTATTATATGCTGCAAAATGAAGAGCGGTTCTTCCTTCATTATCTTTTTCATTGATTTTTATACCATATGAAATAAGAAGTTCGGCTGTTTCTATGTTACCATTATATGCTGTATAATGGAGAGCGGTTTGTCCATCATTATCTTTTTCATTGATGTTTGCACCATTTGATAGGAAATATTCGCACAGAGATGGAATATTAAACATTCCAGAATTAATAAAACATTTGTTAACATCATTAGTTTGATCGAAACAAACTAAAAATGATTCAAGATTACGATACCATCCACAAGAAAATAAATCAATCTCTATATTGTATTCATTCATCAAGAATGCAACAAAGTCAATGTTGTGTGAAATAATTGCATATTTCATGCATTCTTCTTCTGGTGTTTGATATTTCAAACATTCACTCATAATCTCTTGATTTCCGCCTAAAAATGAAAATTCAAGACATAATTGAGTTATTTCTGAGCTGAATTTAGTTCTTAAGAACTTAAAACAATCAACTGCTCCATGATAACAACATAATTCAAGTAATGAATATCCTTTTTCAGAATCTGGATATAAACTACTTTCAAGTTTTTGATCTTCATCAAATTCATCTCTTTCCGTGAATGAAATGAATCTTTCTATGTCATTATACATAATCGATCTGTAAATAGTACTTTCTGTATGAATATCCAGATTTTCTGAGTTAATTTCTTCGAAATTGGCAGATTTGTCTAATTTTATTCCATATTCTTTGTAAAACAGGAAGTTTGAAACAGAGTTAACAAAGTTCACCTCTGCCACATGATAATCATCAGATATGAGTTTGGCAAGATATAAATATGACTTTGTATAGCGATTATTATACGGAATGATATATAAAACATCTTCAATAATCTTTTTAGTGGGTATTTCTGTGAATCAATTAACTCTGTTTTGAGCATTTTGTAAATTTCTTTTAATTCTTCTTCTTTGTCCGTTTTCAGTTGATACAACGCAATAAACGAATCAATGTACTGCTTATTGATACTTCGCAGTTCGCCGTATTTATTTGGATGAATGTCTTGATCGGACATCAATAATTTTTTAAACGGACATATCTTCATTTTAACATGTTAACATCTTTTAAACTCATTAGAAGAAACAAATATTCTATTAGACATGCGAAAATCAATGATCGGAAAGATTTCGGAAATAATTTCAGATCCAATTTAATTAAGCTTATAGGTATTAATTGACACAACAACAATAGAAAAGTCAAAAGCAATAGGATTTTCATCCAATAAACATAGTTAATTCAATAATTTTATTCTTCTAGTTATCAATACATCATAAAATTACCCAGAATTGAAATATTTTTAATAACAAAACATTTTATGTTCTATAAATGCAATTAAATATTTGCTTGATTCAATATCAATGCAAGAATAAGGAAATTCTCCATTGTTGGCTGTGTGAAACACTGATATTATAGAATATTCTTTTAATGATATTGAATCATGTCAATATGATATTATGACTATTTTTTATCGATTTATGGCATCAAAAGGAGTGGGGGACAAACTCGCCCATTGTCACTTTTCATTAACCTTAAACTTGTAATTTTCATTATTTTTAATTAACCTTATTTCTTTCCCAATTCCTGATTTATTTTATTCACTTACTATTAAAAGTCACATTTTAATAAAATATAATAATTTATTTATAGCATTTTTTACTATACTGTAATAAAAAATTAATTATAATAAATTAAATGTTTATTAAATCAAATGTTTTCTTTGCAATAATATTTTTAATGTTGAGTAAACAATGTTGGGATCAAGTGTATCATTTTTCAGACCTTTCTGAACAGCTTCAAGCATACTGATGCATTCGACTTTTTTAAATTGTGTCATTTCTTCGAAATCTCTTGTGACTTTTTTGATAACTTTAACACTTCTCTCTGAATCCAGACCTTTAATTTGCAACTTAATCAGGAATGAAGGAACAACACTGGAATATAACTCGATGACAAGTTCATCGAGTCGAAGATTTGGTTGTACACCACTTGTATGTGCCGGATACCATTGTGTCAAATTTTTTCTGAAATTAACTTTAAAAGTACTAAGTAAGATCATGAGATATAGCAATATATGTTTAAACCAACTTATATTTTGGTTGTACACCACTTGTATGTGCCGGATACCATTGTGTCAAATTTTTTCTGAAATTAACTTTAAAAGTACTAAGTAAGATCATTTATTTTTGCATAATATAATGCCAATATGGTTTCTTTTGATTTTATTTCATTTATAAGCAAATCAGATTTACCCAAAAACTCCACTCCATAAGCGTTCATTTGCTAAATTAAAAAGTGACAATGGGCTAGTCTGTCCCTTTCTCGCATCAAAAGTGTCATTTTTTTATAGTGCATCTCAAAAAGACATCAAAAGAAAAATCTCAAAATTAACATCAAATTCATTTCTTTAAATCATGCACTATAATGGTATCCATTAAATTCCCAATATTTCGAAATAGAGAAAAAGTCGAAGTCCATTGCTTTCTTTCTTCGATGGAAGCATAATTGTTCTAAATGGTGTCCAATCCAAGGTATACAACACTTCATCAAATCCCCGCAAGCTTTATTTTGAGTACCCGTGCAGTGTTGCGACCGATTGTTATCCCTATGAAATATTATTTCGTCGAGGCATCTATTTACTAGAAGTCTGGGGTGCGCAAGGTTGTAATGTAACTAATAACAAACATGGCCCTTTGATAGAAGGTGGCACTGGCGGCCATTCCGCCGGTGTTTTCATTGCTAGAACCGATAGATTGCTTTATCTCCACCTTGGAGGAACTTCGAACACGACTCAAAACTATCTGGCGACCTATAATGGCGGCGGCGCAGGCAACAATGATGGCGATGGTTGCGGTGGCGGCGCCTCTGATTTCCGAACTGAGAAAGGCGCTTGGAATGAAAACTTTGAATTCCGGATCCTCATTTCAGGGGGTGGCGGGAGCCCATATGGAAATGACTACATATATTATGGGGGAAAAGGCGGTGGCCTTAAAGGTGACTTTGATTCCACGAAAAGATCTGCAATAGGAAACCAAACTGGCTGCGAAGGTCCTGCAAACTCGCAATGCGGCAAACTCGGTATCGGTAAAGGAGGCTGGTGCGGAGCTGGCGGTGGGGGTAAATATGGTGGAGGAAATTATAAGATTGTGACTCCACAAACCGGAAGCGGTGGTGGTGGCGGGTCTGGAAGCATTGATGGCGTTGTTAACTACAGTGTTTGGACAGCCATAACAGAGTTTTCAGATCATCATGGCCTAGGTACTGCTTCCATCACCATTATTAAATCAGGAGAACTTCTTTGTTCTAACATCATATCTTATAGTCCATGGTTCATGACTCATCTGTTGTATATACATTTGTTTTCACCATAATATCACTAAAACTATTGAAATTACTCCTTTAACTTGTTTCAAATATAATATCTTAAAACGAATAAATTGCAAATTACATATCATATCCCGCAACTTAAAAGTCAAAAATAAATCGAACAAGCCCTATATAATGTATTTCATTTCTATATATTTTTTTTTGATATTCAAGTAAATAGAAATGATGAAAGCCATCTACACTACTAAATTATGTAAAATTCAAAACATTAATTATTGCTTTAAAATTTCAAAATCAGACAAAAAAAATTATATCAAATTTCTGTTGATAAAGAAGATCTATATCAATGATTAAGAATCACGTTGACTTTATAGTATAACATTCTTTTAATGATATTGAATCATGTCAATATAATAATATGACAATGTTTTATCGATTTATGGCATCAAAAGTGTCATTTTTTTATAGTGCATCTCAAAAAAACATCAAAAGAAAAATCTCAAAATTAACATCAAATTCATTTCTTTAAATCATGCACTATAATAATATCCATTAAATTCCCAATATTTCGAAATAGAGAAAAAGTCGAAGTCCATTGCTCTCTTTCTTCGATGGTAGCATTAAAGTTGTAAACGGCGACCAATCCAAAGTTTACGAAACTTCATCAAATCCCCGCAAGCTTTATTTTGAGTACCCGTGCAGTGTTGCGACCGATTGTTATCCCTATGAAATATTATTTCGTCGAGGCATCTATTTACTAGAAGTCTGGGGTGCGCAAGGTTGTAATGTAACTAATAACAAACATGGCCCTTTGATAGAAGGTGGCACTGGCGGCCATTCCGCCGGTGTTTTCATTGCTAGAACCGATAGATTGCTTTATCTCCACCTTGGAGGATCTTCAAGCACGACTCAGAACTTTCTGGCGACGTATAATGGCGGCGGCGCAGGAGTCAATGATGGCGATGGTTGCGGTGGCGGCGCCTCTGATTTCCGAACTAAGAAAGGCGCCTGGAATGAAAATTTTGAATCCCGCATCCTCATTTCAGGGGGTGGCGGTGGCTCATATGGAAATGATGAAATTTTTTATGGAGGGAAAGGTGGTGGCCTGAACGGCGGAACTGACTCCACGAAAAGATCCGCAATAGGAACCCAAACTGGCTGCGAAGGTCCTGCGAACTCGCAATGCGGGAGGCTCGGTATTGGCCAAGGAGGCTGGTACGCCGCAAGTGGTGGAGGTAAATTCGGTGGAGGAAACTATAAGATTGTGACTCCGCAAACAGGAAGCGGTGGTGGTGGTGGGTCTGGAAGCATTGATGGTGTTGTTAACTACAGTGTTTGGACAGCCATAACAGAGTTTTCAGATCATCATGGCCCAGGCGCTGCTTCCATCACTGTTATCAAATTTTCTGAGCTTCTGTGTTCTAATATCATATCATATCTCCCACATCTCATGTTCCATCATTTTTATATATATCTATTTTCTCCATAATATCGATAAACACATTAAATTTCTAGACTTTGATCAAATTTAATATTTAATATTTGAATGAATAAATATTCAATATATACACCATCAATGAAGCTTATAATCAAACAAAATGACTAGTAATTAATTATATAAATTTACTATAAATTTCAAATCATATAAATTAAGTGATACTTCGGTTTTTATATCATGCAGATTTTACTTTCACTTATTAGAAAGAAATCAAAATCTTGAATCCATATAAATATTTTCAAAATAATAAATTAAAAAATTATCAAGTTTCAGTTAATAAAATAATAAACAACAAATTATCTTTATTTATTACAGTTTTAAAAGAATTTGATCACTTTCAGGGCAATCTTCACTAAATGACGATAATTTAATCAAAGTTCTAAGTTTTGATTTTTCATTGATACATGCAGCAGCAGCTTTATGGCATCTTATTCTAATCACACCGCATAGCCATGCAGAAGCCTGTATGAAATCGTTTTCATCATTTCTTTCATACAAAACTTTTGTCAAAGAAATGAAGAAAATTTCAAATCTTGGAATGATATTATACAAGTTCGTGCAAATAACTAACAATGCATCATTTGAGGATAGGTTATCAAAGAGGAACTTCATCATTTTGTAAACTATTGAAATATTTGTGTAGTCCTCAAATCCTTGATAATTTTGAATGAATTTGTTCGAAATTGAAAGAACTACGTCTACATCGTGAGAACTCCTGTTTATTTCAGCTTCCATTAAATCTAAAACTCCCTGAACAAGAACATCATTCAATGGAAATGTTATCAACTTTTGTTGATACTCAGATAATCTTCTAATGATATCAAAGCCACTTTCTGCAGCAGAAGCAATTTGAGGCAAAATTTTTATCATGTCAAAAACTGCTGGATTTTGAGGAAGTGGGAAATATGTAGAAAATTCTCGACAAATAGTTCTGTAGTATGATGTATATTCCGATTTCGATAATACCTTCGAAATGAATGATGTGAAGTTCACCACGACGATAGGATTGAAATTCAATCGTATATGGACTTGAATAATTCTAAACAGGGTATCTTTCAACGTTTGCTCAATCCTTTGTTCCGTTGCGTTGTCTATGATGAGTTCTATCATTTTGATGTCTTGCGAGATAACAGAAGGTATATCAGAATCTAATGAACCTTGAGATAAGATCGAATAGTACTGGGAACTACAAGCCGCGTGGTCTGCGTTCATAAGAGAAGAGATGTAATACAATATTGGCGTAGAACTTACTGGTAATGAAGGAATCATCAATTGAATTGTATCTTGAAGGTCAGGAGTCAAAGCAAACTTGGTAGAATAGTAGTAATAGAACCTGGAAATAAAGTCAAGTGGTATATCTGTCTTTGTTTCTAGTTTTTCCATTACATTATGAATAAAAATTTGAGGAACTCCTCTTAAATTGTTCAAAAGCAGTAAACTGAGTAATATTGTAGTACAAAACCTCTTTGTTGATGTGTCTTCTCTCTTAATTTCTTCGTTTACGATGTTCATTAATTTATCTTCTGGTAAATCAAGATTTTCTTGAACAGCCATCGAAGCTATGACAATAGATCTCTTTCTTGTGTTATTTGTGACATCTTCAATGAACTTTTCTGGGAAAATCTTTGAAACTAAAATTGAAACTTCTCTGGATTTTGTTTGTTTCATGACTTTGAACGCGAACTCCTCTAAATCTGGTGAATTAACATCATGCAAGTAGTTTATCATCATCAAATCGAACTTATGAGGTATACATGCGTTGTGAATTTTTAATTTTATATTTTTCTTTGAGCAATAGTCAAGTAATATACCGAAATCCTTTTCTCTGTCTTCTCTGCAGTACTCCACATACAATGAATTCAAAAAATCTTCATTAAAATCAAAAAGATTTTGTTTCATTTGAACAATAATCAAAGGAGAGTTCATATCGCTAGTATAATCCTTAGAATAATCAGCATTGTAGTCGATATTGAGCTTCGCCTTTTCATTATTGTTAATTGTTTCTTGAGATATTTTTTCATTTCTTGGAGTTGGCAGCTCTTTGTCTTCAAAGAACTTCATGTAAATCTTAGAGTCCCTCTTACTCATAATATCCGCAACGTTTTGCTTCCTTTCTTCATCTAAAGTTGAAATTAATTTTTCAATTCTTTCCTTATCATAATAAAAGACAGATCTATATGCAATAAATGCAGTTAACTCTTCATCTGTGAGTTTATCCTGTTGGTTCAAGAAGTTATCTGATAGTTCTCCAAGACAATCTCTTGTTTCTGTCAATTCATGGGAAATTTGCCTTTCAGTTATAAAAGCGATCATTAATGTGCACCAATTAGCAACAGTTGGCTTTGAATTTGATAGTTTTATGAACGAAGGAAGCATTAATAAGGCAGATTGTTTATCTTGCGTTTGCAAATCATCCCAGTACTTAATGAATAGTAATGATGATTCATATGGAGCAATCTTAACAACTTGCCTTGCAATATTTGTCACCACAGAAGCCATTGAAAACAATCTTGGGATATTTAACAACAATTTCAAAGAAGCCAAGAGCGGTGCTAAGAAAGAATCATAGTTCAATGCATTTCCCGATATAATATCAACATTTTTCGATGATATATCGCTATTAACCAAATTTATGTAAAATGTATCTGCTTTTGAAGTGACCAAACCCGAATAGAACTCAAGAGAAGCGTATGATATTGACGAAACAATATAGAAAACTTCCGAAACTAAAGAGGGACGGGCGTTTGACAAGTCGCATAAGGAAAGAAACTCCATTAGAACGATGGCAGTAGCAAAATCCGATCTGAACATGGATAAATATTCGCATGCGATGTCGACCATTGCGACCATTGAAGGATCATCTGCATGAGGATGGAATTTCTTGAGTTCTGTAAGGATTTTGAACGAAGTTGCGAAATTCATACTCTCTGTTAAGTCAAGATTCTGCATCAGCTTGTTACAAACTAAAGAAACATCTTCATCTCGAATAAATTTGACCAAAACTTGAAGAGATTTCGATGAAACGTTATCATTCAAGTTGTAACAAAGCTCAATAATGAGACTAACTATATCATTTATCTTTGCGGCTCCAATTAATGAAATAACTGTTGATATTGAAGCGGCTTTGATTAATTTGAGGATACTGAGTGAATGGAACCACGATGTCTGTTTCGCAAATACTATTTTTGTAAATAAATGTGCTAATTGATTTGTAATTTCTAATTTATTAATACAATTTGAGAGAGAAGTGCACGCAGCATCAGATCTATCATCAAATTTATCTGTAATGAACGAATCGAGTATATTTAAGTACTCAGTTTGATTCTGTGTTGCTAATGTACCTAATGTAATAATTTTTGCCGGAATAATCATTACTGCGTCGTTTTGTTTGGGTACTAACATGTCAAATGGAAGTTTCATCTTGTAAAATGATGGCATAAAATTGTATTTTGTGTAATTAATTTTGCAATTTAAAATTTTGTTGGTTTCAATTGTTAATTCTAAAGTATTACTATTGACTTCTTTGAAAACTGTCTTAAAAGAGTTAGATTGTAAGCTTAGTATGTGAAAACTACTGTCAATTATTGCTTGCTCGTGTTCTTTCTTGTCTGTGAGCACATTGTAGATAATTTCGGCTAGTCGCGCGAGATCTAGTTCGTTTGTATTCATAGGAACCGCTGTAAAAATGTAGGATAGTAATGGCAAGTGAATTGAAGGATTTTCTTGTTTATAAACGTAGTTTAAGACTTCTGGCATGAGTTTGTGCTTGAAGTTCTTCACACATGCGGAAATTGATTTGAACAAGTATCTCTCGGATTGCGGGTCTAAAACATCGAGATAAGAAAGTAATAATGACCTCATCCAGTTCAATTCGAGCCTTTTTAGCTTCGAAATAACAGTAGACAAATGATCAGAGAAGACAGGGTCAACGACGGTAAAATGATGAAAAATCGGAGTATTTTCAATGAAATCTTTCAAATTTGATTCTGGAATCAAATTGCAGATAAAAGCGAATGATGATGCAAGAATAATTGAGCTTTTGATCTCTATAGTCGTTTGCGTTGCTGTCTCTGAGAAAGACTTTGTTACTTCTTTTGCAAAAAATGGCGTGTTTTTCAACAAGAAGAGTCCGGCTGTTTTATATGTGGCAAGTCGAACAGATACAGTATTGTTATTTGCTGCAAACAACAAAAACTTCCATATTTGCGAAAAAACTTCGAGAATTTGACTTTCATTTTGACCAGAGAAGAATTTAGCGTTGACATACTGCTGTATTTGCATAAGACAATTCATCGTAAGATCAATATCCTCTGAATTATCTTCTGCTCGCGCTAGAGAATCTACTAAAGCTTTCGTCATCTCAAAAGTTTATTTTTATAGAAAAAAACAATACAAATTGAAAGGCTTTCAAAATTTTCTGAAAAGTGACAATCTTAATAACTTTACGTTAAAATATGAAAAAAGGAGCTGATTTCAGCGATAGTGATTTTGATGCAGACGAGTTACTCGCTGATCTCGGCCCTGTTGGAGCTGCTCTAAAGTCTACTGCAAAGAAAACAGATAATAAAGAAAAACCAAAGCCAAAACCAAAAAAATCCGACTCAAAAAATGATGACAAACCAAAAAGACGACCAGTAACACGCATGAAAATGAACTTAGACGACTTATTAGATGGAATTAGCCCCAATGCGGCACCAATTCCAACTGTTTCTTCATTCACTCCAGTTGTTCAAAATTCAGCAACTGTCGAACAAATCGAAAGTAGGTTAAATTCATATTTAGCAATGCAACTAAGAACGCTAGTAAATGAGTTTTCCGTTGAAGTAGGAAAAATGTTTGATGGAACAGATGGAATTGACGAGATAATACAGAAATTTACCAACGATATACGAGCTTCTATACGCGATGCATGCAATTTTGACCTCAAAAACGAAAATAATTTACCAACTGCATCTTCGTTATTTGATTTATTTGGAATTGGATTTGCCGAAACATTCAAAGATGCAAATTCGTTTAAATCATACCAACCTGCTGAAGAAATCAAGCGAGTTAAAGCAATTCGAGGAAAAATTGTTCCTCTTCCTTCAATGATCAAAGCAACATATACATCATCACTTAACGAAATGACTCAAGCATTAACAGATAGAGAGATGTACCAAAGCCAATTACCTGTAACAGATAAAGAACTTTCTACAAGATTAAATAACCTTTCTTTAAAGAGGTATGAGCTAGAATGCAAATCGGAAATGCTTAATTCTGAAGCAGAAAAGATAGCTGAGCAGTTCAAAAAGCTTGACGAAACAAGATCTCAGTTTTCTACGGTTATTGAAGAAAATTCAATTAAAATTGAGGAAGATATCAACTCATTATTACATAGAAAAATCTCTGGTATTAAGTCTTTGCTTTCTAAAGCGAAAAAGACTCCATCAACAGTTCAATTATATAAATCTTCGGATTTTCAGTCAGTTACGGAAGAAATGTCGACCATGATTGATGCACATGAATATAATATACAAAATCTTATTATTGCTTGTGAAGGAATGCGAAATGCAGCAACAGTTGCTTCTTCAACGGAAGTTGCTCCTCCAGTTCAATCAACAGCAGTCGCAATTACACATGAGATACCTCAAGTCTCTACTTCTACGTCCACAAATGATTTACTTAATCGTGTAAGAAAACAACTTTCCCAAGTGCAGAAAATGAGAGAAACAGAGTTGCAGAATGCAAACACAATGTTAGCAACATTGAAAAGACAGGAAAAGAGAAGACGGAGACAGCAACGTCAGCAAGAAATATTATATCAACCAGATTCACCATCTTTTGTATGAAAATAAAATATTTGTGTTTATTATTGTTTTTAAACGAATTAACATGTTTCTCAATTCCATTATAGAAATTGTTGCCAATTAATAACTTTTTCAAATGAATTTTTTAAGCATTCGATATTTAACTTGTGTGTCAAGTTCAGAGTAAATAGATAAGTCAAGATATAAATCAGGAAGTAGATTATGAAATCACACCACTTGATTGTGCTATTAAACAGGGATCAGAATTATGTTTCAACAACTTAAAAAATGTGGGAACTCAACACACCAATAACTCTGAGGAATATGCTGTTCAAGGCGAAAATAAAGAGATCTTCTTGCAAATGATGTAAGATAGTAAATCATTTGATAACATGATAAATACTGCATTGAAATATCCAAACAATGAAATTTCTGAATATCTTAAATCAAATTTTGGACAAATGCCTGATTCAATAGCAGAAAGCGTGTATTGGAGAAATTTCAAAGGAGGAAATATCGACAAAATTTATAATCTCTTTCTTTTCATATTTATCATTGTTTTATGCAATCTCCTTTCTATTCAAAAATTTTCCAGAGTGATAAAGATTCTGGAATCTCTTTTTCCAACTATTTGTTTAGTTGTGTGAAGAATAGCAAACATCGGGAACATTAATTTAAATATATGTATTATAAGATTCGAAGGATGTTTGACAAAACTATGATAAGTTGTGTATATATCTATTATTATTTTAAATATCAATTTTTTTATAATTTGAATAATAAAAAAATATAAATTACATTAATGCAACAAGGTCCAAGAACTGAGTGTTATTTCCATCAGTAAAGACCAAAATCTCCTTCTGCTGATCAGAAATAAACTCCATGTGGTTTGCCTCGAATTCAAACTGTCTACTCGACAATTTGTCACCGTTTAAAGTGTAAGTAAACAAGTCTTTTCCGAATGAGAAACAAATAATTCCATAGATATTAGACATGCAAGCACAAACAGCTTTCTTATTTGTTTCAACAAGCATTATCATTCTTCTTGTACTCAAGCTGTAGATGAAGATATATTCACTTGTTGATCCGAAAACAATTGAAAATCTCTCCGAAAGATTTGCAATTTTGATAGGAGATGTAAAGAATGGGAAATGTGCGAAATATTCAAGAGTATTTGAGTACAAAACAACAAATTTGCAATCAGCACATCCAACGCAAATCAAAGAACTATCAATAGAGATACAAACAATTGATTCTTCTGATACTTTCTTCTTGATATCTGGATTAGATCTAACGATGTATCCATCTTTTGTTCCATAAATAAATGAATCATCATCGATCCTGAAACTGACAGTTATATTCTCCAAATCATGTTCTTCTGGATCTAAATCTAATGGTTCTGGTTTCGGCTTGATCTTAGAAATCAAATCAAGGTGGATATCCTTTTCTATCTTCATTCTTTGAGGATGTTTCTCACTGAACAATCGCGAAGGTAATTGTCCTTCTTCTTCTGTTCTCGCGACAATTGACATGTAATAAGAGATATCAGTTGGAGGAGCTTTCTTCCAGACATTTTCATCAACGAAATCGAACTTACTCTGGAGAATTCCGAAGAAATTATCAATGAATGTTGGTAAACTTTCGCTAACTAAATCATTTTCAAATGATTCATAAACTAAAGTTACCAATTTCTCAGAACAATTGAAACCGAATGGTAAAGCAACATCTCTGAAAGCATCGATACAAACGAAGTATTCAGGAACTAAGATGTTGCTTTGTATCGAATCTCTTACGTTACTTGGATTCTTTGAATATGATTTAAATGGCTCTGCAAAGCTCAATAAATCAATTACATGTCTACGAGATAAATCGTAGTTAGATATATCAGTGAAGTCCTTAACAATCAAATGAGATTCTGCATCCAATGCCAAGAAATTCGGGAGAACAGGATAATTTGTGAGGTCATTAAATGAGCGACCACTTATGTTATTTAATTCCATCAAATACTCGAAATTAGTTATCTCGTGGTTTATCCATTTCTCTGTTGAATTCCTTGACTTGAAGTACTCAAGAGGTTTCATTGTTTGTATTTCCGCTTGCGAGAAAGCAGAAAGACTTGAAATTCCACTCAACAGAGTGAGAGAATTCAATTTATCCAAATTCAACAAATAACTTTCATTTGAAACTGTGAAAATCTCAAGACCAGTTGGTAAATGTCTTATTGGTCTGAAGAGGATTTGTTTAACAGCTCTTGCATCTATATTTATCATCTGTTGTTTGTTCTTTATTTCCAAACAATCAGAATAAACAAATAATTTCGCACGAGTTGTTCCTGTGACTTCTATTCTGTCGCAGGTCAAAACAATCTTCAGGTTCTCGTTCTCTTCGTTAAACGAGATCTCGCAGAAATCTGGAATTTGTGGGATTTCTGACATCATGTATTTGTCTCTCAAATATTCAAGGGTATCAGAAATTTGAGGGATCTCATTGAATTCGATCATTTTCATTGGAATATTTTCATAACAATTGTATCTAGAGATCATTCTTCCTTTCGAAGGAGATTTCGGCGTGAACCATGGTCCTGTCTTTGTAGTGACAGAATTTTCGATTGTTTCTCTTCTTTTATTGCAGAAATTATGCATCAAAATGTCATCAGCGATGAAACCTAAAATGTTTTGATGCAACTCAGCGAAAATAGAGTTATCTGTTGTATCAATTAATGTTGCCATGCCATTAAGAACTTTCTCGAAGTTGTGTTTGATTTTTTCAACAACGTCTTTGTTGTAATTAACAATTGTATCATTGTGTTCTCTTGTATCTCTGATGATTCTTTCGAAACAATCTGTATGATCCAAATTCTCTCCATTCATCATGTCAATGTACATTTGGTCTGCGACATTGTCATTGATCAGTTCTTCCATTTGTTCTTTAGCTAAATCAGGAACATCTTTGTATGCAAATTTGGCAAGCATCGCTGAGAAATTATGATAAGTTTCTACTTTCATTCTTCTCGCTTGTTTTATTACATCTATTGCACATTCTGCATCAAGCCATGAACCATCTTTATTCAAGTTCAAGCCAAATGTGTATTCATCATTTATCTCCAATTTAGAAAGTTTGGAAACAAATTCATAACGATTGAAATTCTGTCTGATTTCTGCCAAATTTTCTGTGGATTGTAAAGTTTCCATTGAAATTGATTCTGAAGTCACTTCACTTAAATCGAAATCATCATTTTTGTATTCCATTTGTGGATCGATATCATGGAGAATCTCTTCAACGGAACTCAACTTATGAGTTACTTTTCTAAAGAACAAATGGAAAATGCACAAATCGAAGAAATCATGCATATATTCGAACGACAAAAGTGGTTGTTCCCAAAGATTTTTGACGACAGAATGAATGAAAATTGATTTCGGCCTTGTGTCATCGACTTTTAGAACTCTTGCTACAACATCTATTATAGCGAATGTTGTTCTCCAATGTTCATTTGTGCATTTAGCAATGAACTCGATGATTTTCTCCATAAACTCTCCGCCAAATGTCAAAGCGGTTACGACAGGCCAAAATGCCCAAGATCTTCTTTTCGCGAATTGTTCATTGATGTTAATATATTGGATCAAAGCACCACATGATTTCTCTCCTTCGTGAAGAACGTAGTAGAAACAGAGTGGATAGAAATCAGGGTATTTATTGACCAATGGAATTAACTTCGCGAAATAATCAATGGACAAACTTGAAAGTGGTAATTCTTCAATCAAAACACCAACATGATATTTCACAGGAATTGTTGAGAAATGTTCCAATAAATGTAAAGCTGCAATTGTTTCAATTGCTGCGAAACTGATGTCTTCGTTTCCTGAATTCACCAAATGATGCAAAACATTAAACAATGGCCATGAGTTTTCGACTTTATTGAATGGTTGCTCTTCATTAACAATCATTATTCTAATCAAGAACAAAAAGTCGACAACTTGTTTCAAATCTTTGCAAGCAACAGTGTGAGCAAGCAATGATTTGAACATGTCATCAGTGAAATCTTTTGTAGAAATCATTGCCAAAATGTATATGATTTCTTGTCTGATTTCTTTGATGGAGATTTTTGAGAATCTTGGGTATTTCGAATTAGGAGTACATTGAGCAATTTCTTGTTCAACAGGTTCGTACCAATAATAAATTCTCAAAATCATCAATAAATAGTCGAATGGACAACATTCTTTGCAAAGATTGTAGTGCTTCGAGTAAAGAGTTAATCCCCAATCTTTAACAATGAATTTTTGGTCTTGGTCTGTTGAATGAATCCATATATCAGGATTGACCAAAATTTCTTTCAAAATCACTTTTTTGAGTTTCTCATTTTTAGAAGTCATAAAAGTGAAATAAAACTTTTGGTATGTTGTATAAATCAAATTTCTTTGATTGCTTTGGCTCAAACACTCAGCAATGACTTCAAATCCATGATGAGATACAAATTCATCTTCAATAAATTTCGAAGAAGAAAGAGAATCAATAATTATATCAATAACTGCTCCACTGAAAATTGGAACTAAATCTCCACTTTCTAGTTTCATATCTAATGTTCTGAATAATGGTATCAAATTCTCTAACATGAAATTCCTTGTCAAAATATCGAAGAAAGTGACAGGGACTCTGAATTTTATGTCACTTTTTAGAACGGCTTTTACAGGTTCATTTTGATTTGATTTTTGTGAGAGAACTAAATTTGATTTTATTACTTGAGGGACAATGTAAAGCATTGCCGGTCTATCGAATATTCTTGGTCCCATCTTGTACATCATCAAACAATTCTCAGGTTTATCGAAGAACCCAATTGGTCCCAAATAACATCTTCCTTTTTCATTTGAACCAATATCCAAAGAAACATTATATGATTTGTCTAATCTCAAGGATTCAACAGTGATTATTTCATGTGTTTTGATATCATTGACATAGAGATTGACATTGATGTTAGAAGAGTTCTTTTCCATGCCTAAACAAACAAATGTCCATTTGTCTTCAATGATGTCAAAATTAAAAGTGAAATGTTCAAAATTTTCAGGAATTGAAAACTCGATTCTATTTCCAATCAGGTTTATATTGTATGATCTGTCCTTGTTGTCGTAAATACGGAAGAGACTGGTAACAACATCCTTAGTGTCATCTAAAACATAAAGCCAGAACCCGATGTAAAAATCTTCACTCAAACAACTCGTTGGCAAACTTTCAACAAAAATTGTTGGTTTGTTTTCGCCAAGAGGAAGAGCGGCAATCGGTGATTTGACGGATAACTCAACAAGGTTGAAATGCATGACAATATAAGTGGCATGCAATGTTGACAAAAAGCCGTTTCTTGGCTTCAAAAGTGACAATAATCTTGAAACAACTTTTGGAGTGGAAGAGAATTGGGCAATTGAAGAAACAAGCTGTAGGGATAATCCTATGATATGTATCATATCTAAATTGTGCTCGTTTTCGCGAATAAGGTTTAATAAATCATAGTCAACATCATTGTCACTTAAAATGATGATATTACTGACATGCTGCTGGCAGAGATTGAGTATGAATGTGAATGCATCGGTTGATCTGGACGAATGCATGAAAATTTGCAAGAAATTAAAAATAATATTTGCATTGCGGATTCTTGTGCTTCCTGGCTTGCCAACAATGATTCTTTTCAATATCTTGTAGATGTGATAGCCTGGATCTTGCTTATCTTCTGTCTTTATGAGACATTTGTAAATGACATTTGAATCTTCTTTTGTAAGCTGAGAAATCTTGCCAAGAACAGTATAGAAATCAAGTAAACATAATGATAGTTGTTGGGACTCTATATCTTGCTTCAATTTTGGTATGAAAAACTTGAAATTCGAAGAAATTTTGTGCAAGTTTTCTGCTGAACAATTGCTTTCATTGAATATATCTGTAAATGTTTGAATTAACGATACGATGGTCGGAATATCCATGTTTTGTAAAATGAGTTTCATAAAGTTCAGATGATAAGATGTAAGAGATTCTGAGAGTGATTTGGCAATCTTAACTCTCCGCTCATTAATGAATTTAATGAATAACTGCCTTATTTCATCAGTAAATTTATCATAATAATAATGAAAGACATTTGAGCAGTAAAACATAAATAATTCTGAAGACAATTGTCTGTAAATGATCTGATTTGCATAATCAATCGATTTAAAGACTGATTCGAAGGTTTCTCTGTTATGATAAGACTTATCTGCGAAAAACCAAAGGGCAGCTGATCGTAAAAGATGGTATCCAATGTATAAATGACCTTTGTTCTCTGTAACTTGATACTTCAATATAAAATCGATATCTTTGTAATTAATTGGCGGAGGGAAGTCATATTCTTCTTTAATCTCGTCGACAGACACACCAGTTTTGAGTTTTTTAATGATTTCTTCGGTTCCTTCTAGTGTTTTGTCTGAATATTTGAGAAAGATATTTTTAATTTCTTCTGATAAGGATTTTGGAATAGTGATATCAGGATAATTGATCTGGAGAATATTTGTTATTGGACTGTAATCATCCAATCTCTCCAAATCAATAGAATTCATCACTAATCAATCCACGATAAAAAAAAAATTAATCCAAATTTTTCTATCGAAATTGAATAGATCTTACAGGCGTGTAAATCACAGTCAAATTTTTATTCTTCGTTATTTTTTTTTTATTGCCAATGCATTATCGATTATATAGCATTGGCAATTATCTTTATACACTGAACTCTGAAGGAAAGCTTATTTGCTGTTATTTCAATGGAAATTTCTTTGCTGCAAATCTAGATAACGTAAAAACAAATATAAAAAACTTTGCTTGTAGTGAAAATCGTGTTTTATATCAATATATGGATAATAAATTTCAATATAAATATAAAGGTGAACTAATTGACTTCTCTTTTGGCATAGAAATCAACGATGAAATTATTCAACTCGGAATATCAGATGAATATATCTCTGCGCTTACCAAAAACAAGTTTTATATCAATGACTATGTACATCCGACAACAGTTTTTGAAGGAAAATTCGTGAGTTTTGTTCAATTTCAAAAATCTTTCAGTATATTACTTGAATCTGGTGAGATAGCATCACTAAATCTGCCAGATATGTCAAAGTTAACGATAGAATCCTTAGGAATTGGTGCAAAAATAACAAATATGCTAACTACAAATGATAAACGAATATTTATTCTTGACAACGGTGCCATTCATGTGGAAATGTTACAAGAATCATACACAATTTGTGGCGGTTATAATCCGAAAATGATGTGGGCATCAAATAATATTTTTTGTTTTTTTGACGAAAATGAAACATACTACGAAAAGTTCAAGGATATAAACTTAAAAGTGCCATTTACATCAGTTAGAGCGCAAATTGAAAAATTAAAAGAATTTCAAGATAATGCTTTTTTAAAATTAGTTCCGACCAAAAATGATGTGATTAGTATTCTTCGTAGAAAGTATGTGCGTGCTGTATTGGAAGATTTGAGAGTTGTTGAAGTCGATACAAATTTATTATCAGATTATGGATTTGTAGCAGGTGATGAGATAGAATTTAACTCTAAATTTGATAATCCACTCTCGGGAAGAGTTTTTATCGTTCTTGGAGTTTATGATGGAAAATTATGCATCCAAGAGAATGGAATAGGGTTTTTAATTGAAATTACTCCACAAGAAGCATTAGTAAAGTGGAGATTAATATATCGTTTCGGTGCAAATTTAACGGATATTGAAATAAAACCGAAAATTAAAATTCAAATTGACACAAATGAAGCAGCTTTCATGGGAACATCATTCAAATGCGGTGATATTGTTAAATATAAGGAAATGCAAGGTGAAATACTTGGAATTCGATGCCATAGATTTTGGATTAAATTTAATTCAAAAATTTCATCAGTTGAACTCAAATTCAACAAAGATATTACATTGATTAGTAGACCTGGTAAGATTATTGATAGAATTGACACTCTAATTTATGAAAAAATCGAAAAACCATCAACGATTTTCTCGGTTACCAATAATAATTATTCTCTTGCATTAGCTTTAGGATATTCTAATAATGAGATTGTCTATTATTCGAAATTTAGAAAGGATAAGTACGGGATTGCTCCTTTATCTTATCATTATTATTTTTCTCGTTTTGATGATGATTTTTGGAGAAAATATCCTGTTTTCATGAAAGGAGAGATCGAAGTTAACATCGGATATCATGAAAAGTTTTATCCAACTGATGTGATTTCGAAAGGAAATGAATTTGCAGTTTTTCTTGGTAGAACAAAGGATAATATGAATTGCATCCAGACTCTAGAAATGATGGCTATTAATGATAGAGCACAAGTTATTGATGACGTAACAATTGAAAAATTTAGTTTAATTGCTTCGAGTTATAGAAAAGCCGAAACAAAAAGAATATTTAACTCAAAAGAGATAACGTTATCTCAAAACATTGCTGATGATGGCCAATATCTTCCTAGTGATATAATCTTGACTCCTGAGAAAAAAATCAAATTTGTTATCGGAAATTTTGAAAATAAATCTTATTGTGCGGATAAAACTTATAGCAAAGAAGTGATCCTGGTACCTCCTAAATCAATATTATTGATGAGAATGGTAAATGTTCCAGGAGAATGCAACGGATACTTGAATTGCGTTTATGATTTCTGCGGAACTTCCGTGAAACCTCTTGATGTAATTGATGATAAAATCATCATTGGAAGATACAAAAATGGTAATTTTGCTATTGTTGATGAACTTGGAGGGGAAGCTTCGGAGTTCCCACAAATGCAATTCATAGAAGTCAAATCCCTTATTGATAATTAAAAATTTTTCTTTGTTTTATATTTTTATATAAATCTTTGTTTGTAATTAATGATATAATTTATAGATGTTTCTGATCGATTATATTTATTACATGAGAAGTATTATGTCTCTGATATATTTGAAAATTTTTATTCTTTCATTTAAGATTGCTCATGAACCTATCTGGCTTTATTTCAAATTTCTGACAACGAGAGAGAACGTTAAAAACATATTTGAAGGCCATATCATTCTGATATTAGTGCAGACTTATAAAAAATATTTATTCCCAAGAAGAAAAAAAAATTATTAAGTAAACTAAAAATCATTTTTAGACTTGATCTTCTCTTATATACGAAAAAAAGAGATCTGACATTGTGTCAGATCTCAGTAAAAGTGACATTTACATGTCAAAAAAATAGAATGAGTTTAAGTAATTAAAATTGAGGGTGAGAGTAGTATTGTATGAAATAATATCTCTCACCCTCCAATTCATCCTATGGCGCCGAAAAAATTTTGGTGAAATGCGACCACATTTCACCAAAATTTCTCGGCGCCATATAGAGAACTAGAGCCTGTGAGGTACTGATACTATCCATGTACCTCGCAGGCTCTAGTTCCAAGCCAAAATGGCTAAAAATTGCCCGCAATTGTTCACATTGCGGGCAATTTTTAGCCATTTTGGCTGGGAATTGGAGGGTGAGAGTAGTATTGTATGAAATAATATCTCTCACCCTCCAATTCATCCTATGGCGCCGAAAAAATTTTGGTGAAATGCGACCACATTTCACCAAAATTTCTCGGCGCCATATAGAGAACTAGAGCCTGTGAGGTACTGATACTATCCATGTACCTCGCAGGCTCTAGTTCCAAGCCAAAATGGCTAAAAATTGCCCGCAATTGTTCACATTGCGGGCAATTTTTAGCCATTTTGGCTGGGAATTGGAGGGTGAGAGTAGTATTGTATGAAATAATATCTCTCACCCTCCAATTCATCCTATGGCGCCGAAAAAATTTTGGTGAAATGCGACCACATTTCACCAAAATTTCTCGGCGCCATATAGAGAACTAGAGCCTGTGAGGTACTGATACTATCCATGTACCTCGCAGGCTCTAGTTCCAAGCCAAAATGGCTAAAAATTGCCCGCAATTGTTCACATTGCGGGCAATTTTTAGCCATTTTGGCTGGGAATTGGAGGGTGAGAGTAGTATTGTATGAAATAATATCTCTCACCCTCCAATTCATCCTATGGCGCCGAAAAAATTTTGGTGAAATGCGACCACATTTCACCAAAATTTCTCGGCGCCATATAGAGAACTAGAGCCTGTGAGGTACTGATACTATCCATGTACCTCGCAGGCTCTAGTTCCAAGCCAAAATGGCTAAAAATTGCCCGCAATTGTTCACATTCCCATCTTTTGTTGGTAAGACGAAGAATATGAAATAAATTATGAAGAAGATAATGATGAATAAAATATCACTTTTTATATTTTTGACACGTAAAGTTGTCACTTTTCTGTCAAACTGTTTTTATCGTTTTCGTATATAACACTTCTTTACCTTTATCAGAATCATTGTTGGAACCAGATTTCTTTGGTTTGATGACAACGAAGTAAACAACGAGGCCAACAATTAAGCCGACAACAATAAGAACTGCAATCACTATTAATACAATTGCCCAGATTGGAAGTCCCTCTCCAGGATACTTCTGGTCGATATCCTTCTCTGAAAAGAGACCACCTTCTGTTGAAAGTGCAGCATGGAATTCTGGGATGACGAATTCTTCTGTTTCTTCTTCGTCAGCGCTGGAGGCGGATGTTTCCTGGAACTTTATTTCATTTGAGAGTTTCCAACTTGTTCTCGCACCGATATTCGGATCTTCAATAAAATCTTCAGTGTTTAAGAAAGCATAGAAGGAGTTGGATTTGTATTTTCCGATTTTTCCTTCTTTCTCTTTGTGGAACAAATTTCCTATAGTTTTAAGTGTTCTAGCTTCATCATAAAATGCGTAAAAGTCTGCATATTTCTCTCTTTTATATGTGAACTCCATTAATTTATCATTAATTGCAAGAGCATTAACTTGAACAACCTTGGATGATGAGAGACCTGATGACCAATGCCAATAGACGTTGAATTTATCATTTTTCTTTGTTGAAAGTTCATATTTAGAACCGTATTCGAAACTATATGAACTTCCTTGATATGAAATCTTCATATTAAAATAATATGAAGGCATCATAGGAATTATTTGAAGCTTCATTGCTGCGCCGCTATCCTTTGGAACAATTCTTGTAACAGGATTTAAGTATTTGAAATTATAAGCCAAGGCTTCTTCACCTTCAGCTTGAATAACTCCAAGGGCAGCAAGAGCATTTTCTAATTGAGACTCTTTCCACACGAAACTTTCTCCTTTCTTCTCTGGGACCTTCAAAATAGCATTATATTTAGATTTTGAACCCATTATAAAGCTACCAGAAATGCAAAGAGTTTTTCCTGCAGGGATTTCGATCGTATAGTATGATGGTACTATTGAATACAAACCATAGTCTTTATATATAGAGCACTCTGAGTCTGGGAAGGCTGTTTTTGCATCAAGAACTGAAGTAAAAATATTCTGTGGTTTTCTTGAATGGTTCATTAGTGTTTGATATGCTAATGTGTTTCTCATATCCAAATAAAAAAATGAAGTGATTTTATTATTTATGAATTATGAAAATCGAGTTCAATAATTGAAAAAGTATTGAATGAAAAATTGAAATAGCATTCAATTTTGAATATTATTTTGAATGATGACTACTGAGTATGCAAACGGTTTGAAATATAAAATATTTCATCTTGCTTAGTTTATTACGAGAATAACAAATTAATAAAAATTTATCAATATCATGAAAATTAAATATAAGTCTTAAGCAGTAATGAATCAAGTTATTAAATTCATTAAAATTCTCAAAAACTTTCCAAAAGTCGTAGAAAAGATATTAATATTCACTTCACAAATTATCCAAGCATTCAATTTTATAAATGCTTTATAAGGAAGGACTTAATATGAATTATTAAAATGGCTATTTTGTTTATTTCAAAGGTCTGAAAAACCTCATTCATGATTATAAAATTTCAAACTATTATAGATAGAAGTAGTAGATCTAAATTAGACGAAATTATAATTTGAGTATTTTCAAATTTTGTGAAGGCGACGTTGTCAAATGAAATAAATTCAATATTTGTAGAGTAGGGGTAATTTTAGCTAAAAGTGACACACCTGTAAAAAGCGACACACCCGTGAAGGGTGTGATTACCGATCGGTAATTTCGACAGTTTAGAATTTAAAATTTTTTATGGAACTGTTGCGAGTTTCATAAAGAATTTAAGGAATATAAGCAAAGATTTGAATCAAAATCTTAGACCTAAGCCGCTCGATTCGCTCGCGGCTTCCGCGAATTACAGATCAGCAAAGATTTGAATCAAAATCTTCGAACTAAGCCGATCGCTTCGCTCGCGGCTTTCTTTATTATTTTAAATTTGCATATTTCCATCAAAAGTTCATAAGGTAAAAAATTTCGTATATATTATTGCAAAATAAAATCTTCATTATCAAAATAATATTAAATGATAATATAATTTATAAACAACTATTATTTAATAAAGTTTAATTGCCAAGGTTCATCTAATTTTTTGATTTTTAATGTTTTATGAATTTTATTTATCATGTATATATCTAATGAAAATTATATATGTAGAAGATAAGTACCTTAATATGTACGTAAAAATTAATGAAATTTATTTTGAATGTAGAACCGAGCAATTTTCCCTGTCACTTTTAGCTAAAATTTGGGTTTGCCTTTCTATCCAGACCTCCCTCAGAAAACATGTTTACGAACCAGAATTAACAATTTTATTATATAATGGTAATATATGATTTTAAATGAATTTATATAAAAAGACGTTATAATCTGAATACTTTTCAAAAAAACGACAACAACAAAATTATTGAATTGTGTTTTAGGAAAAATTATATTCATTTTACTATCTATGTCATTAGCTATATATAAATATATAAATTGTGTAAATAACCATTCAAAAATTATTGACTTGAACCGCATGTTTTCCATGGTATTTCGTCATACAAGAAAGGGCCAGTGTAATACCCAGCACACTGACAGAACTTCTGCTGTGTTATACATATATTTTTCAAGCCCAAAATTATTTTTAAAAAATATACATTAAATTTAATTTTCTTCTAAGTGCTAGATTTATTACAAGCAAAGCACATCTTAATTGATGAATCTTTGACGATGATTTATTATTTAAAAAAAAAAATCAATTCTTGGGCTTTGAACCGTAAAATAGTTTACAGTCCAAATGTAATCATTGCGATATTCTGAAAAAATATTAATAAAAAAAACTTCAATTATCGTAATTTACGTTTGCAAATTTCTTGGGTATTACGAATTTGCTTGCGATCACACAGTACTCCCAAATTTGTACAAACTATTTTGAAAAGGCCAAGTCGTCTATAAACTGTTATGACCTAATTCAACGAATTCAAAGAATTGCTGTTTTTATAATCAATACGTTCGTGATTAATTTTATTATATAGCGCGTTCTATCGGCGCGCAGCGAATTTGCGCGCCGATATAAGTCGGGAATGAAATATGATCAGTATTATCTTTATTCACCACATTTTGAAAATTAATTAAAAGCTTTAGCCATTTAGCATAAACTGCATCTATGGTTCAGTTTTGGTTATGCTTGAATTGAGATGAAAACGATAATCCCAAAATAAAACCAACAGACCCCATCATAAAAATATAAAATTACCACAAGAATAAATATTCAACCAATTTATACCTTTTCGGACTTTTGAAAACAGAAATATTCACCACAAAAATAGAGAGGAAACAATTCGCTATTTTGCGAATATAAAGATGAAAGATAGATTTAATAATAAAGTTACATGCCGAAATGATGAAGAAAAGCATCAAGAGTATAGGCAGTAGCTAGCATTTTCTGAGTTAAATAAATTGGAGGTTCAAGTGGTAAAAGAGCAGTAAATGGTTTCATGGGCGGTAAAGCACGCTTAATAACGCCTTCCACTAATGGCGGATTAACAGCAATTGCAGGTATTTCGTCAAATTGTTTGATAGGATTTTGGGATAAGTTTTGTTTCTGATCACGAACACGATTCTTACTTGTGTTGTGTTGTGATTTTAGATGCTTCGATGGCTTTCTAATTTGTTTTTTGAGTTGTTGATAATGATATCTGCATTGAACATCAGATCTGTTGCCCATTGAACTAGCAATCTTCGCCCAAGCAGTTTCACCGAATTCTTCAACAAAATCAATAAGTTTTTTATCTTCTTCTGGGGACCACCTCTTCTTAGAAATGCGTGGGTCCAATCCTCTGAACCACCTTTGAGAACACTGAGCGCGGGTTCGCGTTTCTCCAACTATTTCTGAAACGGCCGACCAACTATCAGTTCCATTTCGGAGGATACCTGCAAGTAATCTACGATCCTCATCAGCGTTCCATGGTCTAGCTCGTTTTCTACCGCTACTCGAAACGGCTCCAAGCGAGTCGGAAAACTCAGAACCTGATGATTCAATCTCTTCATGCGTGTTTATATCGGTTTCAATGACGGATTTGAGCATGTCTAAAGGTGCAGATGTGCCTAATTTGTCCATAAAAAGGGAGTACGCTTGTTTGTAAGGTATTACTTCTTTCATATAGTTAAGAAGAACCTCCTTTAGGTTACTTTCAGTCATGTCATCAATGTCTGGATTTAAGTCCTGGAACTGGGCTGCAAAATATTCTAGAATGTGGTTTTGGCCTTGGAAATTCCTGGTCATGTTATTGTATTGAAAAAAAAATGAATTGAATTCGTTCAGAAAACTATAAAATCGTTCGAAATTGTAAAAATTATTAAAGAATTTGATGAATTGTGCATCTTAATTCAATATTCAATGATTATTTCAGGGAATCATAATTTTACAAAGTTTTACAAAACTTGAAATACCCTCAATTTTTAACTTTTGCAACTCCAAAAACCAGGTGTTTTTCCAGAACTACCATCTAGGATGAGTCCTCTGCATGTCTCCCAGAATGATAGAAAGTTCCGCATTCATAACTTGAATGTGGAACTTTGACCGACAAGAGTGTATTGAGCACTCTTGTCGGTCGCAGTGTCTCATTCTGGGAGACATTGCCTCTGCATGTATCCCAGAATGGAACAATCTTTTGCAATCAGAATGTGATTGCAAAACTTTGACCGACAAGAGTGTATTGTGCACTCTTGTCGGTCGCAGTGTCTCATTCTGGGAGACATTACCTCTGCATGTATCCCAGAATGGAACAATCTTTTGCAATCAGAATGTGATTGCAAAACTTTGACCGACAAGAGTGTATTGTGCACTCTTGTCGGTCGCAGTGTCTCATTCTGGGAGACATTACCTCTGCATGTATCCCAGAATGGAACAATCTTTTGCAATCAGAATGTGATTGCAAAACTTTGACCGACAAGAGTGTATTGTGCATCCACCTTTGTCAATTAACTATGTTTTATAGAGACATCCCCTCACACATATTTTTTCTAATATAATTTTACCTTTTTAATACTTATTTTTTATTTTTTGTGCTTTATATAACTTATGGTGTGTACCGAACTATCTTACAGACTCTACTGAGCTATTTCCACATATAAACATGTGACAATAACGCATACATACTCCCTTCGTATTCTGATCTCATGACATATTATCGCAAAAACTATATTTATACAACACACCTCATAAAGTCTCATTTTAGCCCTATCTAAGCGTTCAAAACCTATTTTCCCCGCGTAATCTGATTCTTCAGGCTCCGCTGATTCGATTTCTGCTGTCAGATCGTGAAAATATGCATCACATAACAAGATAAACCCAAATTACTTAACTTAATATTTTCCTTAAAATTTCCTATTCCTCGCTATGGGAATATTTATTATATCTTCCGTTACCCCTCATAAATATATTTAATTTTCTGAATAATACGTATAATAAAATGAATAACTCAAAAACTAAAATACATTATTAATATTGGGTAATGACTCGATATGATCAAAACTTTTGAATTCATACATTTTTTGAAAAATTTGGATTTTTCAAAAATGATTTTGTTTGAGCATGAACGTGAAGCGAAATTTTAAGGAAAATATTAAGTTAAGTAATTTGGGTTTATCTTGTTATGTGATGCATATTTTCACGATCTGACAGCAGAAATCGAATCAGCGGAGCCTGAAGAATCAGATTACGCGGGGAAAATAGGTTTTGAACGCTTAGATAGGGCTAAAATGAGACTTTATGAGGTGTGTTGTATAAATATAGTTTTTGCGATAATATGTCATGAGATCAGAATACGAAGGGAGTATGTATGCGTTATTGTCACATGTTTATATGTGGAAATAGCTCAGTAGAGTCTGTAAGATAGTTCGGTACACACCATAAGTTATATAAAGCACAAAAAATAAAAAATAAGTATTAAAAAGGTAAAATTATATTAGAAAAAATATGTGTGAGGGGATGTCTCTATAAAACATAGTTAATTGACAAAGGTGGATGCACAATACACTCTTGTCGGTCAAAGTTTTGCAATCACATTCTGATTGCAAAAGATTGTTCCATTCTGGGATACATGCAGAGGTAATGTCTCCCAGAATGAGACACTGCGACCGACAAGAGTGCACAATACACTCTTGTCGGTCAAAGTTTTGCAATCACATTCTGATTGCAAAAGATTGTTCCATTCTGGGATACATGCAGAGGTAATGTCTCCCAGAATGAGACACTGCGACCGACAAGAGTGCACAATACACTCTTGTCGGTCAAAGTTTTGCAATCACATTCTGATTGCAAAAGATTGTTCCATTCTGGGATACATGCAGAGGCAATGTCTCCCAGAATGACATCTTCATGCCAAAAGCAATATATTTCTTATTTAAATTTGCATAAACTCCAATTTTTTTTCAATCTCAATTAAATTTTTTTTCTACTTCTTTAATTCGTTTCATCTTTCTCATAGAATATCTATTCCTTTTACAGACATGAAATCACTAATCAGGCTTTTTCAATACTCATATATTTCATATAAATCATTGTTATTTTTTCTCTCATCGCATATTTTATTAAATTTACATATTTCCTCTCACATATCCCTCTTCACATATATTGAATCTCCACACTCATCTATTAGAACAATATATTTTCGCTTAATCTCATATTATTCATTAACAATCTTTCCTATTCTTATTTCTAGTTAATATACCAATATATATATAGAATATATACCGAATTACATATTCAGATATATTAAATTCAAGAAATTCTTCTAAAATTATTCTCCTATTCATAATAAAATCATATTTAGTCTCACATCACAATTCTCTCAGTTCTCCAATATCATGTCATATTGGTAACATCACATATATCTCTTATAATATCACTTTAATTTGTATTTTTTTATTTTAATTATATTTAATTAGTTCTACATTCTATTATTATAGAGGTTTGACAAATTCATCAATAGTTAAAATCGAAATCTATGCAGATCTTTGAATCTAATGAAAATTACATTTCGATATCTTTTTGCAAGCTTAATTTTTTGTATTATCTTAAAATACATTTAGTAATGTTATGTACATATTGAACTCAAATTATGACGCAGTATTATGCAACTCATCTTGAGATTCACATTTCATTTTCACAATTATTGCATATATACATCAATAACATATTGTACTCATATAGCTACACGACTCTAAACTCAATGACATCAAATAATGCTTCTAATATTTAAAATTATTTTTGTATTTTTGATTCTCAGCTTAACTTCTATAAATGTCACCAAAACATTTCATTCCTACCAAGAAATAATATATTAGTAATTAAGCGTTTATTATCATTGTTACTCACATCATATTAATTCATTTTTGTAATTTTTTAAATAAATGACTGGAATCATAAACCCTATGTACCCATATCAACATGTTAAAATTTCAAAGTCTGAAACTTAGTATACATTGAGTTTCATGAAATCAGATAATCTCGTAGATTTCTTAAATATTATATATTGCTGGCCAATAATGATGCAGCATGATTCTCCATCATATCAGCATTCTAAACATATCTTTATTTTGTCAATTGGCATAAATTAAGGGTGCTTTTAAGGCGATAAATGGTATTTTAGATACCTGGGTATGTAAAAGTCAAAAATTGAGTGTATTCAATTTATTTTTGTAATCAACTGAATTAAAATGTATAAATTTCGCTAATGTATGCGTATTTCTAAGAAATCTAATATAAATTATCAATAATTTTTATATTCAATCAGAATTTATTATAGATATTGGTTTTATTAACTTCATTTTATTATAATTCGAATTTCGATGCTATGGTAATAAATAAATAATAACTAACTAATATGGATAATGAAAAATCATCAAAATCTGATATGAAAAGCATGAATTGAGAAGGCAAAGATTAGTATTAACCGCGTGTATGTATTCTTCTCTGCATGTAGTTGAATATATTGGAAAGTTCATGTTCATTACATCTTATTTCGAGCGGAAAACTTCGGAAATCTTTTCTAAAATCTCATCGTTTTTTCGACAAATCATAGTTAATTTCATAATCGTTTAAAAGCTCATCAGATATACAATACATTAATCTACTTTTGAAATCCCAAAATTGAGGGTTAAAATTCAGAAACGATGGATATGAATGACACTCCACTTCTCTCAGAAAAAGGTAGCCAGGGAATTATAGATGTTGAAGAAAAGGGATACCTTGACAAGAAAATTTTCATCATGGATACTCCACAAGACCAAAACATGTTTGGAGCATTTCAGATTTTAATTAATACTGCAATTGGATCGGGAACCCTCATGATTCCATATTGCTATCGCTTAGGTATCTTCAGTGCACTCTTAATGTCAATTGTTATCGGTATCATCTCTCTCAGTACTTTCTGCATGATGATTGAAGCTGCATATTTTACCAAAAAGTACGATTATAGAGGTTTATTCAATCACCTTTTCAATCCCAAGTACATCTGGATCATTGATTTGATCATATTCCTTGTACAAATCGGATCATGCATGATTTATTCCAACTGGGATGGTGTCTTGTTGAATAGAACCTTTGGATTTAAGGTCAAAGTACTTAACTCTAATATATTCTGGAACTTTTTCTCTACAATGTTAATGGCTTTCCCTATGACCATCCCAAGATCTGTTGCAAAGCTTGAAGGCATTGCAACAATTGGCTTCTTTATGATTATTGTACTTATTTGTCATAGTGTTTACTGGTTTATCAAAGACGTTCATAACTTTGGCTTTGATCCAAACCATCAGCTTACATTTCTCCACTGGGATTTGTATGTTTTCATCCCAGCTCTCGGTATCAACGCTATGTCATACAACTGCATCATCAATTTATTCCCTACATTAGAACATTTAAGGAACTGCACAGTACGTCGTGGCATGCACCTTGCAGCATGGATTGTTGTTGCATGCTTCTTCCTTTACGCTGGTTTCGGCATCTTTACTTACTTAGATAAGTTTGATGCTTTAACTGCTAATTCAGCTCTTGAATTATATCCAGCACATAATCCATTCACCATCATTGCTACAATTTCCGTCGTATTTATTCTCCTTGTTGCTTCTCCTCTTGTTATTTGGGCCGCAAGAACTTCCGTTGACGCCACATTCTTCAAAGACAAAGAAATGACAACATTCCGTTGGGTTTCCATCGGTTTCATCCTTTGTCTCGCTTCAGCTGGTTTTGCAGCAACTTCAGACAATATTTTGATTTTCTTCAACATCGTTGGAGGACTTCTCATTCCAGTTGTTACTCTACTAATGCCATCCCTGTTCTTCCTGAAGGCAACTCCTGGAAGAAAATGGTACAGAACTGTTCAAGCAATTATTTCAATTCTTTTCACTGCTGTCGCAGCAACTGCTTGCACATGGCAGACTGTTCTTGAGATCAAGAAGAAATAAGTTATCTATCATACATCTCTTATAAATTAGTTTCTTTCTATTTTTTCAAAATTTTTCAATTTTTTTATTGTTCTTCGAGTTCGGAAAAGACAATATTCTTTTAATTAATGGGCTATTGTGTTTGTCAAATAGAAATTATATTTTTATTTCTCAGATCGAATTGATAATATTTGAGAAACAAATCGAATTGATAATTTATATCTTATCCAATAAAATATATAAATACTACATCCTCAAAAATATGAACTTGTTTTCCATCTATTACCTTCAAAAAAAGTGCTGAAAATAGTTATTTATGAGGGAATATTGATGATTTTCTTGATTTTCCAAAAAAAGTGCCAAAATTCATGAGTTTGCTTTTATTTTTTTAGCCTCAATTGTAAACGAATGATTTGATTTTTGTAGAATCAAAAGTTAAAGTTGCAATCACATAGAATCTTTAATCAATGGCAAAACAAGGTTATCAGAGCTTAATGTGAAAGATTTGCTGAATTCATAAATATTGACTTTCCTTTTTAAACTATAACCAACTCAAACTTGAAAGCTAACATTCGTTTATTAACTTTTCAGAATAAAAAATATTAAATGAAAAAATAAATTTCAAAACATCTAATTTGTTCTTTCCATGCTCAAATGGTTTTAAATTTTCCGTTTTGCATTCTTCTATTGAAGGGAGTGAAAACCCAATTTTCAAACAATCTGTTTTCATTTCATTTGTATAAATTATGCCATGAAAAGTGCTACTTGCAGTAAAACTATCTACAATGCAGTGTGTAACAGTTAAAATACCATACCATATGCCAATAGTATGAGGAGCAATATTTTCTAAGAAAATACACTCTGAAACTGTAAGAAAGGATGATTCAGAGCCAATAAGACCCCAATGTGTATCTCCAATTTTACATGTATTGTTTCTAAATAAAGATCTTTTGACAAAAGAATCAGGTGTATCATAATGATACATGCCAACAAAAGTTCCTATCGGATTATCATTGGATATGAAACAACAAAAGTTAACATTAACCGGGTTTATTCGAACACGATAACCAGCCATACGATTACATCTTGATTTAGTGTTATTTGTAGAAATAAGAGTTTTATTCCCATATTGATGGAGTATACTGGCATCTCCACTATCATCTTGACCACATTGACAGAGAGAACTTAAATTTACAAAATTTTTATTTTCTTTTCTTTGAACAACTGTGTATGAATATTTTCCATGGTCAGGTGTGTAGCATTTGGTAGCATAAAATCTATCTTGGACAATAGAACTACTACAATTAAAGAAAACGCATCCTCCATTTTCGGAATTTCGGGTGATATTAGTATACGTGCATAATGAATGGAGTAATCGAATAGAATTAATTGTACAATTGATGATATTATCGGAAAAATCCTTGAAGCTTGATGACAGTAAGAAAAAATCAGAAGAAATAGTTGGCTTTGTGCTATCTGTGATACTTGTATACTCTTTTGAGGGCAATCCGTAGTACTCTTCCCATATATCTTTGGGAACTCCAGATTTACCTGAAGCTAGATTTGAGAAATGAAAGGAACTTCACTTTGTCAAAATTAAGGGTGCACACGAGAGGATCATGTAAACTTCAGAATTTAGAACCTTATTTTTAAGCATTATCTTGGCTACCTATTTAGGCTCGAAAAGCAAAAAATATCAAAAAATACAACTTGACTCCATTATGACCCTTTCATGGAGGTAGTTTTTATCCGCTAGTATTTTCCCTTTGAATCTCTTTACAATTCGCAATCAAATTCAAAACTCAGTAGAAGAAAGGAAGAATCGACTTACTACGGTTGTAATACGAATAAATACATATATTTAATTATTTTTATTTACATAATAATTGTTTGAAGCTCATATTCCATCAAATTTTTAAATAAAAACATTAAAATGTTGAAAATGTTCATATATTTTAATAGGGTTTTGGCACTTTATTGAGGAATTACTACATACATAGTCGAACTGAACTTGATATTTTGAAATTTAAATTATTTATCAAAATTAAAATTTAACTTGAAATTTATAATTATTTAGTCATATTTTGCATAATTCTAAGTAGATTTTGTAAAAAATCAAGAAAGAAAAATTTTAACGTGCTTTATTTTTTCTTTTTTATAATAATACAGAGTGCGGGACAAATTTGCCAAGTGTCACTTTTTCAATAACCTTAAATTACACTTTTCTAATTTTTGGAAAAAAACCTTAAATTATATTTGAAGAAATTATGTCTATGATATATGTTTTATGCTAGAATCTTGGAGTTTTCATGCACTACACAAGAGCTCCAAGGTTCCAAGAGTGAATGCTCAATAGCAATTATAGAGATGTACCTTTTCAAAATGACTTTTACTGATTAAATTTAATCAATAGAAGACATTTTGAAAAGGTACCTCTACAATTAGATATACAAGAGATTCAAAGCTTCATTTCAGATAGATTTGAAACTTTGAAACTCTTGGTAGATTTTGAGTGAATGCTGACAATCATCTTTGAGAAGGTTTTCTTAAAGAAAACCTTCTCAAAGAGGTTTTTCAGGAGCTCTGAGGCTCCCTTTCGTAATGATTGGGAGCCTTGGGGCTCCTGAGACGAAGAATGGCTTCGCCGAATCTTTGATCAGCAGAGGCCAAATGAAAAGGCCTCTGCTGATGGATTCTCAGGAGCCCTGAGGCTCCCTTTCGTAATGATTGGGAGCCTTGGGGCTCCTGAGACGAAGAATGGCTTCGCCGAATCTTTGATCAGCAGAGGCCAAATGAAAAGGCCTCTGCTGATGGATTCTCAGGAGCCCTGAGGCTCCCTTTCGTAATGATTGGGAGCCTTGGGGCTCCTGCAGCAGAGTATCGCTCCGCTCCATTATTTTTTTTTTAAAAGTGCCGTGTGGCAAATTTGTCCTGTTCCCTAATAATACATATTATTATATAATTAACATATTCATAATGTTTCACCCTTTCAAAAATATAATCCTCCTCCTCTCAAATAAACGTACATACGGGTGGCCTCTTTTTTCAAAAAATTAAAATTTGAAATTTTGGGCTCAAATATTAGAGATTTTTTCAACCTTCAACGATATATGTTGTCTATATCAGACCTCCTTTCTTTTTGATACTTAACATTGTTCCTAAATCTTAGCCGTTAAGGCTGTTCTGAAAATATTTTTTTTCGAAAAAATTCGAAAAAAATTCGAGTAGGTGACAAAAGTGCATACTCTTAAACAACCGTCGGATTTCCGGGTGAAATCGTGACACACTTTCGTCTTTCGTAGGCAGTGGTGGTTGTTACAAAAGGTAACTTCGAATGTAGCGTGAAATCTGCAAAAAAAATTCTGAAATTTGAATGGAGAACACAAAAATTGAATAGTTTACGTCAATAAAAAAGAGAAAAATGAAGCCAATGTGTCTCGAACCTAGGACTTAGAGCAGCAATCCAACTGTTTATAACATTACACTACATGCATCTCTCACCTCAGTAAATGAGATCAACTATATGATAACTTTTTCCCCATTATATTCTTGTGGAAAAGTGACAAATAGCAACTTTGACCCTCTCTCAAAAAAATTCTTAAAATTCAAAAATCCCTTAATTCCTGAGGATTTTTGAAAAAAGTTTTTACATGAACATGTGTATATTATATGAAGTATATTGATAAGGTAAAAATCAAATTTTATTGCATATTCATCGAGAAAATAAACTAACGAATCCTTCAAAATTGAGAGGGTAATCCTCCTCTCAAATAAACGTACATACGGGCGCACCCTTAAGGGTTCACTTATCATTTTCTGACAATCTCTCAAATTTTTTGACACAAGAAAACTATGATGTAGAATTTCTTGTAAAATAAACAGGATTTTTCTTATTCAAATTTGATTATTATAGTATAATAAACCCATTTTCCTACGTAAAGTCTCCCTATCGTTTTTCTGCCTCAATATCGAGTAAATTTCTATCAAAAATTTGAATAAGAGACTTTACAAAAGAAAAGGAGTTTATGTCGAATCATTCTATTCAATTAAATCAATAGGATAAGGAAAAAATATAAGAATTATATTCCGGAATTCATTAAATACACATTTTAGAACCTATGCTTATTTCGGATTCAAATTTTTTGGATTCAATTGCAGCCAGATGGCAAGACCTTAATTGAGTTCTGTTGATTAAGGTTGATTTTAAACAGATGTTCAGGAATTTGAATTAAGGCTGCACTTACCCCTATCTGACGAGTAGGTGACAAAAGTGCATACTCTTAAACAACCGTCGGATTTCCGGGTGAAATCGTGACACACTTTCGTCTTTCGTAGGCAGTGGTGGTTGTTACAAAAGGTAACTTCGAATGTAGCGTGAAATCTGCAAAAAAAATTCTGAAATTTGAATGGAGAACACAAAAATTGAATAGTTTACGTCAATAAAAAAGAGAAAAATGAAGCCAATGTGTCTCGAACCTAGGACTTAGAGCAGCAATCCAACTGTTTATAACATTACACTACATGCATCTCTCACCTCAGTAAATGAGATCAACTATATGATAACTTTTTCCCCATTATATTCTTGTGGAAAAGTGACAAATAGCAACTTTGACCCTCTCTCCCTATCTGACTTTAATTCAAATTTTTGATAACTGGCGTGAAACGTCTTTGAAAAATCACCTTAAACATCTGAATTGAAGGCCATATCATAGGGGCGTAAGTAAACTATGAGTCAAAAATTTATTAGTAAGCCTTTTGATTTGGCAGTTAAAACACATTTTAAAAAAGAAATATTTGATAATAATATTTAAAAACAAACGTTCTATAAATATATTTATTAATCCTTTTCTTCACGAGGGAAATAAGACAAAACAGTTTGAGCTAATTCTGATATTTCGTCAGAATCATCATCAACAAGATCATAAAAAGTATTCATATACTGTTCATGGTAATAAATTTTGACAATAACATTGTATTCTGTGTTACCCAATGAACTAAGTAGATTAATCAATCCTTTTAAG